ATTGTGTTCCATGTTCACGGGGTGAGAACATTGTGTCTCATGTTCATAAGGTGGGACCATTGTGTCCCATTATCACGGGGTGGGACCATTGTGTCCCATGTTCACGGGTGGGACCATTGTGTCTCATGTTCACGAGGTGGGACCATTGTGTCTTATGTTCATAAGGTGGGACCATTGTGTCTCATGTTCACGTGGTGGGACCATTGTGTCCCATGTTCACGAGGTGGGACCATTGTGTCTCATGTTGATAGGGGTGGGCTTTATTGTTAATTAGCTATGTAAAAACGAACCTAAAAGACATCTGGAAATAGATAGATATGACGACAGAACTTTTGATCTGCTAATTTTTTATTATGCACATATTCAGATCTAAACTGGGGTCAGAAAATATGGACAATGGTCAGGCAAGAAAGACTGGGTGAGACAATGTGGATTGGGGTCAGACAGTATGATCTTAAGACAGACAATATGGACTAGGATCAGACAGTATGGCCTTAAGACAGACAATATGGACTGGGATCATTCAGTATGGACTTAAGGCAGACAATATGGACTAGGATCAGACAGTATGGACTTGAGACGGACAATACAGACTGGGATCAGACAGTATGGACCTAAGACAGACAATATGGACTGGGATCAGAGTCAGGCAGTATGGACTTAAGACAGACAATATGGAATGGGATCAGACAGTATGGACTTGAGACGGACAATATGGACTGGGATCATTTAGTATGGACTTGAGGCAGGCAATATGGACTGGGATCAGACAGTATGGACTTGAGACGGACAATATAGGCTGGGATCATTCAGTATGGACTTAAGGCAGACAATATGGCCTGGGATCAGACAGTATGGACTTGAGACGGACAATATAGGCTGGGATCAGACAGTATGGACCTAAGACAGACAATATGGACTGGGATCAGAGTCAGGCAGTATGGACTTAGGACAGACAATATGGACTGGAATCAGACAGTATGGACTTAAGACGGACAATATGGACTGGGATCAGACAGTATGGACTTGGTTAGACAATCTGGAGAGGGTAAGACAATATGAAGACAGTCGCGACTAGATTCCATATTGCCTAGAAGTCTATCAGACTATAATAGAATATAGTTGATATATCTACTTATTATTGCTGCCCCCCCCCCCCACAGGTCAAAACATATTTTCAGGGATATGCATATTATAGGAATAAATTGGGGATGAGCATAATCTAAAAGTAAGGGCACACATTTTGAGTAATCAGGCGATACATCTCAAGGTAAGATAACCTGTTATGAGTCAACAGACGAGACCTGTCACGTCAAGGTAACACTAGTAATAATATTTATTATGACTAGTCAGGCAGGTCATATTAAGGTTATTTTTTTGTATTTATGAGTGGTCTAGTCCATAGCTCAGAAACCCTTTTGTTTCCACCATAGGCCTTGCCATGGATCCCGCAGCACACCACAGATAAAAATACTAAAAATATACTAAAGTACATAGTGTACCGGTAGTTAACATTCATAATGGCATGTAATGCTATACGGTATGAGATTACACTGTATTGCTCTATATTAACTGTCTGTATTGAACTAATTTATGTCATCAAAGAGTTTGACTGTTTGGTAGGCTGACCAATGTCTTTTCAATGTCAACATGGTTTCATCATCATATTTACATAATCTCTGGTCCAGTGTCCAGTAAGCCTCTTGTGCGACACACCTAACATTTTCTTGCATCACACTAGTTTTCCGTGGTTTACCGATTGTGAAGCTCTGCTCTTGTCAGACAAGACAAGTCAACTCAAGGAATAGCGTCATTAAGTTAGCCAAGTAGTAGCAGATGGAGGGAGTGGTGGCATATTGCAAGCCTATCAACGACCTTTAGTTACCCAGATCATTAGTTTTTACGTTAAAGGAAAAGTAAATAACTATGTTTACAATTGATAACAAGCGCTACATAATTATAATGGTACGGAGTATAAAATAATTTTGTGTTTAGTTTTGTTTTATAGCAAATAATAATAACAGCATTAAAAAAAGTAGCTATTAAAGATATTTGCAAGGATCTTCCATATGTTTGAATTAACTTAATGTGAAATATGCCTACAGCAGATTTGTGCAGACACATTCTTTTTTTCTGTAGTACCAATCTGGTGTAGAAAAGGATTTAGACCCACCTTAAAACTTTATGGAGCCAAATTTCAACATCTGTCAGAAAAAACTAAATATCATAATTTAAATACCAATAATTTTATTATTGCAATGAAAATGTGATGAGTAATAAATAATTTGTGCCCATAAATAATGACACAAATAAGCTCAATATTAACTTCCAAAGTAATTTGTTTATAAAAATTATTTATCAATATAAACTGTTTCTTTTTCAATTGAGTAATAAGCAGACAAAAGTAAAATGGAACTATATGTAAATGTAGAGTCATTAAGGTTTACAACTAAACAAATGAACACACTGTGAGTGGATTTGTTGGCGAATATTTTTTTTTTTTAAACTTGGTACATTAATTAATAAATCGATAATGGTCAAAACTGTTTTGGCTTGAAAAAAAATCAATCGTCCCGTCTTCTTTTGTCAAGCCTAAACCTATTTTGTTCCACAATTTATTGACTTTACATGCCTTGAACGCAGTTCTTCATATATCATCCTTCAAAGAGCACATTTGAAAAATTAACTTTCTTCGAAACAATTGAAATTCAAAGTTACTTTGATTAAATTTAAGTCATGAAGTCCTTTGTTTTCAAGATATTAGAATGTTTCATAAATATTTGGCATTTGCATTTAACAGTCTTTACTTGTTACCTCACTGACCAACCAGGGGCATGCAATAATTCCATCAGTACTTTCACCATCCAGCATAGCACTCATAAATCTTAACATTGCAAGAACAGTTCATGTTAGTGTTAGGCTAGTAACCAGGTTGAGAAAACAAAACAAAAATTAAAATCAACTCTTAAAACAAAGTTTTTCATATAAATCCTTTGTATGGCATTTAAGTAATTGACCATTGTCAAATATTTCGCCTGGTCTAATATATTATGATGATGGCAAATATTCAGATGTCTAATATTCTGATGGCAAATCTTTCTTGGTCACAACACCGACTAGTGTGATTCAAAACATTATGTACATTATGGGTTAATTTTCACAGAACTAGAACATCCACCTGGTACACAATGAAGTGGCAGAACAATATTATCCTCAGGCAAAAGCCCCACAGCAAATCTAACCAAAATACTATCTCGCTCTCTGTTGCTCGATCTAGCTCACTATCTCTAGCTAGATCACTCTGATTCTCTGAAGCTCAAAATCATTGTCTCCCTTTATCACCCCAAAATCCACGTACTCGTACTTGATACTTGATGACAAGAGTTCACACGTGTTCACATTACCCTTTAGTCCCAAATCACAATACACACATTACCTCTGATTTCATGAGCTTGACATGCTCCCCCCTTCCCTTTCCAGATTCTACTTAGTGTAGACTCGATATAATTATTTTCAGGTCATGAAATCATACAAGATTTGGATAAAATGTTTACAATTCTATTGTGAAAAAAAAGATGTTAACCTCCTTAATTTCTGTGGTCGGCCATAAATTGGTCAGCCATAAATTGGCCAGCCTTCTATTAAGACTCGATAAGGGCGGGATATTTCTCTTGTCAGACACTTGCCTGAAACTGAAGCGTGCACATTTTTTCCAATTCTCAACAATCATCACCTGTTTCAGAACACTTGACACAAAGTCCACCCCCCCCCCCCCAAAGCCATGTGTATTTCCCATTACAAAGCAAATCTTTACAGCCTGCTTCATCCAAATGGTCCCATAACTCATCCAAACCAAATGTACAAGCCTCACCTCCCAACGTATGGAAAACCCCTCCACAACAAAATCAAATTCATCAATAACAAAATGTATCTCCCCTGAGCCCACCTCAAGGAAAAAACTGACCTCCTCCACATAAACTCAGTGATCAAGGGCTGACCTCCTCCACATAAACTCAGTGATCAAGGGCTGACCTCCTCCACATAAACTCAGTGATCAAGGGCTGACCTCCTCCACATAAACTCAGTGATCAAGGGCTGACCTCCTCCACATAAACTCAGTGATCAAGGGCTGACCTCCTCCACATAAACTCAGTGATCAAGGGCTGACCTCCTCCACATAAACTCAGTGATCAAGGGCTGACCTCCTCCACATAAACTCAGTGATCAAGGGCTGACCTCCTCCACATAAACTCAGTGATCAAGGGCTGACCTCCTCCACATAAACTCAGTGATCAAGGGCTGACCTCCTCCACATAAACTCAGTGATCAAGGGCTGACCTCCTCCACATAAACTCAGTGATCAAGGGCTGACCTCCTCCACATAAACTCAGTGATCAAGGGCTGACCTCCTCCACATAAACTCAGTGATCAAGGGCTGACCTCCTCCACATAAACTCAGTGATCAAGGGCTGACCTCCTCCACATAAACTCAGTGATCAAGGGCTGACCTCCTCCACATAAACTCAGTGATCAAGGGCTGACCTCCTCCACATAAACTCAGTGATCAAGGGCTGACCTCCTCCACATAAACTCAGTGATCAAGGGCTGACCTCCTCCACATTAACTCCATTGTCAAGGCCAAAGCCGTTAGCCACAACAAGATTGTCTGAGTCTGGAGACTCAACACCACCACGCTTCTCAAGCCTTGAGCAACCCGTGTCTCCCACACTACAAAATCCCACACACTAGTACTTGATGACAAGAGTTCAAACTCGTTCACATAACTCATTGGTCACAAAGCACAATTCACATAATACTTCTGATTTCATGACCTTGACATACATTATTATTCATTTAATTTGGAACCCACTTCCAGTCGCTCTCAGAAACAGCCAGACACTGGAGTCCTTTAAAACCGATTTAAAAACACATCTATTTCGCAAACACCTTCTGGGATGATGCTATCTACCATCTTTTTCAGTTATTGTATATTGGCTTGTGTTGCTTATGGTTGAAACGGGATGAAAGACTTTGACTGGGTATGCTCGTATGTAGCTTTATATTGTTGCGTCTGTTTTTAAATGTGGTAAATTTTAGATTGTTTTAATTTCTCTTTTTAATATGGTTGACTTGGTACCGCGCTTTGAGCTTTTGGGGATGAAGCGTGTTTTTAAAATAAACTTTATTATTATTATTTATTAATAAGCGGTTATGTAAATGGGTAAACTTCTGGTGAAACCACCACTTTCATATTTCCTTCATTTTCCCCTTCAAAAATATATTTTATTTGACCGCATACCCAAATACTTCACAAATACAAATCACATAGCAACAGCTACACAATTAATCTCCACACAAAAATCCTTCACTAAATCATTAACATTCCTCCCCTCTTGAAAACAGGAAAAACTGATTTTTGGGGGTTGGGGCTAAAAATTTGATTGAATTTGTTGTCATCAGCAACAAGTCTATGTACTAAGTTTCAGCTCAAAAGGATAATAGAAAGTGGGTCAAATAGCCTGCCGAAGATTTTGCCTGCCACATAGAAACACCCAAACAAAAATAAAGTTTATAGAAAGGATTTGTTCAAAAAACGTCCATTAACTCCCAAACCACTTCTTATCAAAATTGTTTCTGTAAGCTGTCTTGAATAAGTTGAGAGTCACACTGCTTACTTTTAGCTGTCTATTCAGCGGTGAATACATGATGAGGGGAGACATAAAACTTATATCACAGGTGTACACAATTAAATATGCCCCAACCCTACATCCCAGATCTGCCAAGTGATGTGAGTATCCTTTAGTAAGTCACAAATTGACATGACGCCATGTTCTCCTACTCAAGTCAATCATTTGGTGATTTACAGTTGTTAGAAATGTTTATATTACCATGACCGACTACTGCATTCTCTACTCCACTCATGTTGAATGTAAAGTTGTTGTTTATATTAAATGTGCTCCTGTTAAAAAAATCAGAGGAAAAATTATAATTTCATCATATGATTCTGGAAGAAAAGTGTTAAAAACCTGTAAAATTAAAACTAAAAAGTTCAGTTAACTTCAGCTCATTTTGATTAAATAGTTAGGATAAGTGTGTTTGCTTTTTTTAAAATAAGGAGGGTGGGGTTAAAGTTAGACTTATCTTACTTATCTAATGTTGCAATGTCAGGATATTGAAGAGACTTCAAAATAAAACTACCTAGCTGTCAGTATACTCCAGTTGCAGCCATGGACTGGAGATGGGCTATTGAGCCATCATTACACCCCAAATTGCCTTTACCCCACTTGGGATAATTTAGCCTAGTTTGCCAGCCCCTGCGGAACTTGTAACAAATTTTTCCAGCCATTACATGCATCCCTTCCTACCCTTGTGATGATAAATTAAAATGATATGAAAAGCAATACAATTTCTTAAGGCGGACACTCCAGTAAAAGAAGCCAATACTTACAGAGTAACATTTTTATTATGTTTTGTGGTTTCCATCGAGAGTGAAACTTCTCCAGAGAAAAAACTAGATATCTGTTCATCATCAGGAAAAAAATCTCTAACACAATTCACAATTGCCTTTTTGATGTGCTCTGTTAAACTTTTTTCATGAAATTTGAATTTTTCCACAGTTGGTTTAAGACCTGGTTTTCCATTGTCTGGTTTACTTAAGTCTACATGTCCCAGATAAACTCCTTGTGCATTCCCTGCTGTTGCCTCTGCTAGTTTTGATTTGTCAGTATCAGCAAGCGGTTCATCAACAGCCATTCGCTTGTCATCCTCTATGATAGACACTCTTCTATTTTTTTTAATTGGGAATGATTGGCCAGGAACAGCTGTAGAATGGTTAGAATAAAATAAAATTTAAATCTTAAAATTTCAGAAATATTTTGATCAATTTAATAAATAACGGCACATAAATAAATGTAATCATATAGTAGTAGGTAACAATTAATCAATGTATTATTTCATATTAAATTTCTTTACAATCTTTATTAAATCTAGAACAGTCTTTGGGTGACCCATAAAACTGTCTTTCTTTCAGTCCCAAAGTTGTGAAAGAAAAAAAAAAAACTTAACACATTTTTTTGAAGATAGTATTTTTGTGTGTGCATTTTTCAACTCCAAGTGGAGCAGGGCTCATTAACAATATCTTTCCACAACTTCCTGTCTCTTGACAAATCTTCTCTTTCTGATCTTAATTAAATCCTTGTCTACCTCTTATGCCGGTGTTTTTGGGTCTCCCACGTCCTCTTGATCCTTAAGGGTTCTATACTAGTGATTGTCTTATTTAATTTGCCATGTGTTTTCTCATGGTATTGGTATGACCTATTGATTTCCACTTTCTTTTCCAGATTTCTGGCTCCACTAGGATTTTTGCTGTCATTTCCCGCACTGTCCTATTTGGGATTTTGTGGAACCACTTTGTGTAACAATGTTAAAGATTCTGGGCAGGCAACTATTTATGAAGGTTTAAGCATTTTTTAATCTTTCTTGTTTGATCCTCGGCTTTCTGAGCCATACACAGCAGAACAGTTTCAACAGAAGGGTAAAAATTACAATTCTTCTCTTCTTCTATATCTTAAGGGCCCACGATCAATTTATTGATCATTTTGGCTCCTATATTGTTGTCTTTCTCATTATTTGCCTAGTATTGCAAATAAATTTTAAGAAAAGAAAAAGCTCCTCTGGGCGTCTGTATTCTTCCCTTGATATCTGCCTCAGAATTCCCATCCTTACTAACTAGACTTCCAAGGTAGGTAAAATTATATACTTCTCCAAGAGCTTTCCCTCTTATTGTTACAACTTTAAAGCTAACAGCATTTATCCTCATTGTTTTGTTTTTTTCCCTGATTTATTGGAAGTCCAATCTGTATGACAATTGAATCAAGTTTTGAAGTTTAATCATGCACTTGTTTAGTGCTTTGGGATAATTTTGCTATGTCATCTGTTACATCCACAAGTTCTATTTGTTTGAAGAGGATCTGCTGTATTTGATTTCTTCCACTTTCACATTTCTCATGATCCAGTCCATAACTTTCAAGAACCAAGGGTGAATGTGCAAGAGGGCCAGGCTACAGGTTCGCATCCTACGAGTTTGTTTGTATGGTTTCTAGCAACCCGCCATAGTAAAAAAAACAACAACATTGTTATAAAATCATTTAAACAAATACAAATAAGTTGGTTTAACAGGAAATATTTTGCCATGTAAATGTAATACAATAATACAAACCTCCAACATGAGGCTCAGAATTCTCTGGCCCCAATATTTCACTCATTCTGTTTTTTAACACAGCTTCTTTTCTATCAGTTGACTGCTGTATTCCACTCACAACCCGGCTATTAACTGGCACAGCAAAATCCAAAGATTTAATTTTTTTAATTCCGTCACTTGTGGGTAGTGCCTCTAAGGGCAGGTCCAGATGGTCTAAAATTACAAGATAAACATTTTTGTTATAGGAAATATATTTAAGAGCCAAAATAACATAAAAGTGGGAACTAGGTTCTTACCAGGAAAAAAGTAACGTACCTTTAGTGTAGATATACAAAACTTGTGGTTCGGTACAGCCTTCCACAGACACATTGAAAATAAAAGCCACCTTTATCTGTGTTGTGTTGTCGGATTTGGGAATGGTTAGCTTTTTATTTACATTTTTCATTTGTGAATAAAGTCTGGTGTAGCCTGAAATTTTAGACAACAAAAACTTGGTTAAATATTTATGAGTGGTACTGAAGTATACTTAGAACAAAATGTTTAGCCCACAATAACATTTTGAAACAAGAAGCCAATTTATGTCAACCTTTTTTTTTTTTTTCCTTTACTTTGTTTGACTTGGTTAAATTATTTGTTTAAATTGTAGTTTTAAGAAAATTTACAAAGTTAAGTGCCAGCAAATATAAGTGCTCATTTTCATAACTTTTAAAATCAATGATAAATAATATCATTATTCGGTCAGTGAGATCAAACCTTTTCCAAAATTTTAAAGACATAAAAATACATTTTTCTCACCTTTATGTACATACATCTCATTTACATGTTCTTAGCAAATAATTTAAATAAGAGTCATCTCTTATAACCATATGAACTATTACCACTACCAAATATACTTACAGTTACCTCTTCTGTGTCCTTCAGGATCCTTATATTTAATGTCTACCTCAAAGTCTTTCAATTCAATTGTCTTTAAATCTTTCAGCTCAAATCTCACAAATGAAACTTGTCTATTTCTTTTTTGAAACTGAATATCAACTTCAGATCCTGTGGGAGTTGTTTCAATTCGAGTAAGAACCCTTACAACAGCTTCATCTGAATTTGTCATAAACTCTGCAGATGTGTTGAGCTGATAGTGGTCAGCCAGCAATAATCCATACATCATATTCACTTGATTTGCAGCTCTACCCAATGCCTGATCAGAAAGATTATGATGAGGTAATACTCTTATATCACATAATGGTTCTCGTTGATTTTCTAAGGGCATCCATGTAAGTGGCGCAAGACTTAAAGATGGAGAAAGTGGAGTCATGCCTTCTGTACATAAACCAGTTTCCTTAAGCTCTTGATCAATTTGTTGTTTGACTGGAGCTGTTAAATTAAACAGTCGAATTAGATGAGATAATTAAAGATAAAAAGATTGATGTTTATTATTGAAATATTCAACACAAACGCAGGTTCAGATTATACTGAATCTTTATGGGAGAATTAATTTACCATCTTCCCATTTTTAAAATATCAAATTTTTTTTTTAATGAATTGTTACTTAAATATCAGGAAATTTAACTCAAAGTGAACTAACTTATTTGCATATTTTGATATTAAGTGACAATAAAATCAATGCAAAGAAAAATTACAGTTTGTATAAAAATAAAGGACGCTTTGTTTTTTCCTTCTATATCCCTTGAATATTTCCTGCTCAACATCAATCACAAACATCAGTGTAGTGTGAGTTGTTAATTTTGATTCAAGTACTTTGATTTTTCTTTTCAGTTTGGGCCTCTGAAGGCTTGAGTAGTGTGATTCTGAAACAATACAATGCATTTATAAAGGGCCATCAATGTAATACATAATAAAGAAAATACAGTTTTCATGCCGACCCCCCACTCCCATTAAGTGCACTACAATAAAGAAAATTAGATATTAAATTCTTTGCTGATTCCTATAATTTTTTTCTCAAGCAGCTAAACTACTTTGGTATGTTACAGCAATTTAGATAATTATATGTTTTGCAACAAGTACTTCTGACTTCAACAAAGAATTTTTTGTTATAGTCAGTGTCCTGCCTGTTGATCCCACCGGTAGGGCATTCTTCCCTCCCCAATAATAATAATAATAATAGAGATTATTTAAAAATCATGCTTCATCCCCAAAGGCTCGAAGCGCGGTACATTCCACATTGAAGTACAAAATTCAACATTACAAAACTGAATACAAAAATAACCATTCTAAGTCTTTCAAACCTTGCAACCATAAACAACTCAGGCCAATATACATCTAAAAGATAATAGCTAGATAGACAACATCACCCCAGCAGATGTTTGCGAAATAGATAAGTCTTCAAACCAGTTTGAAAAGAATAGTTGCCTTGAAGGACTGACAATTCCATTCCACCTGGCTATTAGCCCATAATTGAGGAAGACCTCAGATTAATTTAAACACATTACCTGCAGGTTACTTGGCAGACACCAAACCTTAGCACCACTGAGTGGGCCCATGATAGAGAGAAAGTATTTTTTCTCAGGGGTCTCAGCTAAGAACACAAATTTAAACTTGTGCTATATTGAAATATGGCTTAGTACAGCGTCAACATGTTGCCAGACAGTTCAATAATAAATGCAAAGAAATTTTCCATTTTGGTTGTGACAATGAAGCAAACAGTGGGTTGAACTTCTGAGTGTTATTTGTTATAATTCTTGAGTGCATTTGTATTAGTCAAAAACCTTCATTCACATACCTCCAATAGATGTTAACAAATAATATTTTTAAAGGATATTAATCTTTGAGCTTTCAGATTCTCATTTAACTGTCACAAAATTTCTTGATCAAGAAGAAGTGGCTGGGTGAATGAAGAAGTGGCTGGGTGAATGAAATAGTGGATGGATTGATTAAGAAGTGGATGTATGGATTAAGTAGTGGATCTATGAAGTAGTGAGTGGATGGATCAAGTCCTTATACAACATTCAAATACCTGCTCCACTTGGTCCATCAGGTTTGTGGTAAATCTCCAGCTTAATGTCTTTCAACTCTTCTGTTTTTAATGCAGGTAAATTATATCTCACAAATGTAATTTCATTATTCTTTTTTTGAATATGTAATTCTACATCTGCTCCCTTTTCTGAGGTGCAAAGAACAGTTATAATTCTTGCAATGGCTACAGCAGAGTTGGCTTGATAATCAAATGAAATATTGACGTTGTAGTGATCAGCTATTAACATGTCATAATGCAGTTTTATTTCTTGATTATCACTTGGATGATTATACTTGGCTTGAGCCATGACTCAACACTTTCTGCGGATCAAATTGATTTAGGAAATGATATGTTAATCTAGATGAAATTTTCAGGAAAGAAAATGTCACTTTATGATGCAAAATCTAAGGATAAAAATTGAGAAATGAATCATATGAGGCTAATTTAATCTTTTAAAGTTATGCATGCAGTTGACAAGCTTGAATTTTAGATTCATGAACAATATACATCTAATTTACTATATATCTTGAATCTTAAGTATGAGTTAAAATTATAATTAAGAATAAAATATAGATGCTTACTGTTTATTGTTTTTATTTACAATTTTATTATAAAATGTAGTAGCTATTCTATATTGTGGGAGGGAATCAAATACTTTGAGTATAACATTTTTATTAAACAAATACATGACCCCAACATTAACAGATGAGATGGTAAAGCTTTGTCTAATATGAATTTACATAGATGCAGGTCAACCAATGAAAGCCAGAATATCTTTCTTCATCACTTAAGGCCCAAGAATGTAAGCCTGAATGGCTACTGGGACTCAATAATGGAGATGATGATCTTAAAGTAATAATACCTTTTATTCTCATTACCATATGTACTTATTATACTATTATAGCATACACCTTGCATTAAATTATGTATCAAAGTTGAAAATAAATTTGACTTTTTTGTATTACTGTCATAATATTCTGAATGTCATCCATAATTTCATCTGTGTTTGCACAGATAGGTGCTGATAGACAATAATGGGTAATTTTAAAGACGTTATGTTCCTTTATGTGTAAACCTAAAAAAATTCAATCAAGGCTAATTACACATTTCTACATTCATGAGAAATCATGAATCAAAGGTTGAACAAGTTTTTGAAGAGATATTGTCAGATCAATTGCTTTTCCGATCATCAGAATGAACTGCAATGTTGAAATGAAAATTTATACTAAACCGGTATTCTGATAAATTAAACAGGCCTAATAAGAAACCTAGCCTTTTTACATAAGCAATGTACCACAGAACAAATCTAGTTGCTATCACAATAATGCAGTGAACACGTTTATTTTCTTCACAGCATCCAACATTGATGCCATTGAAATCTGACTTTTGCACAGTTAATACTGAGCAATACTATGGAATACAAACACATTTGCGTTATAAAAATCTTTCCCTTCATGTACAAGAGGAATTTCTGGAAATGATGAATGGGTGCTGAAATTAAATGTTTTCTGGATTTCAGACAAAGAAAAATAACCTCAAAGTTCCTAAAAGTTCTGCTGCAATTTTCCACCACTTTCAAATAAACATTGTCTCATGTCTTCATGAAACTTTATACATGGTTTTAGCTATTTCTAATATCCCGCAATTTGACACTAAAGGTTACTTAGTATTTTTTCGCTAGGTGTTTATAGATTTTATCAACTTGACTAAGGCTTTTGACAGGGTCAATAGAGGTGGCCTGTGGAAAATCATGAAGAAGTAAGGATGCCCAGACAAGTTCACCAACATCATCCGTCAGTTGCATGATGGCCCGAGTGCAGATGGCTGTCAGTCATCTCAAGCATTCCCCATCACAAACGGTGTGAAGCAGGGTTGTGTCCTGGCTCCCAAACTCTTCAGTATTATGTATCCTGCAATGCTGTCAGATGCGTTCAAGGACTCCACCACGGGCTTTCCAATCCGGTTTCGCACTGACGGAGACAGTCTTTAACCTTAGGAGGCTTCAAGCTGAAACCGAGGTCAAACGTAACACCATCAGATCAACCAGCTTCTGTTTGCGGACGATTGTGCCCTCAACGCTGCCTCAGAAGCAGCCATGCAACACAGGGTTGATATCTTTTCTGAGGCCTGCAATAACTTTGACCTCACAATGTGACAATTAACACAAAGAAGACTGAGGTGATGTATCAGCCAGCTCCCAGTAAGCCCTATGTTGAACCCAACATCATCATCATTTATGTTGAACCCAACATCATCATCAGAGGACTGTGACCCGGACACACTTAGCAGCTATGCTGAACCGGGTCCCTTTAGACTAAGTCTAAGTCTTAAACTAAATGCTATTATGGGATGTCATTTGTGGTAGTTTATACTAGTTAAACTGAACTTTGAAGAAGTAAGTTTACAAATATATATAAATATGGTAACTTCAGAGAAAGCGGCCCGCGTTTATTTTCATGCGCACTTTTACGTCTTAAATCGATCCCTGTCCCTATGCCTAACCTGAACCCTAAATCGATCCCTATGCCTAACCCGAACCCTAAATCTATCCCTATGCCTAACCCGAACCCTAAATCTATCCCTAAGCCTAACCCGAACCCTAAATCGATCCCTATGCCTAACCTTAACAAAGTCAATGTGGGCCGCTAAATCTGAAATAGCCCAAAATTAAAAATAGTTAAATTTGGAGAGATGTCGCCACATGGCCGCCATATCTAAAAATATTATTGTTGGGTTGGTGAAAGATAATTAAATGGAATATATTTATGGCTATTTCAGATTTAGCGGCCCACATTGACTTTGTTAAGGTTAGGCATAGGGATCGATTTAGGACGGCATGGCATAGGGATCGATTTAGGGTTCAGGTTAGGCATAGGGGTCGATTTAAGACGTAAAAGTGCGCGCATGGAAATAAACGCGGGCCGCTTTCTCTGAATTTACCAATATTTGTTTCATCCCATCCTCTCACTAAGTCACTTCTGGCTCTGTAGCCAAGTCTGGCTCTGGGACCCGGAACCGAATACTCCTTACACTTACTCATTACTCGGAATAGTCTTACTTATAGTCAGTCACTTCGTAATCTTTAAATTTAAATGTAGGTTAAACTTACTGAGCTACTGCAAAATTACTAAAGTAGTGGCCAAAATAAATATTGCGTACCAATATTGCATTATAAATGTAAATAATATGTAGGCTCACTTCAGTAACATGCACTTTTACTTTTGTAGTGTAATTAGTTACGGTAGTATTACTAGTAATAGTAAACAAAATGGCCGATTTTAGGGGAATCCCCTAAATGTTTTGGTACTAGAAAAATAGCTAACTGCGCGCAGCCGTTATTATATTAAACTAGTAGTTATATGACCGTTTTCTAGACCTATGTAATATATAGCATGCATGCCACAACCGGTTAAAGCATTAAAATGGCCGTTAGCTTTATAAAATATGCCTGTATGTAGCACAATATTTAATGGCTTAGACATAGGAATAGGACAGGGATAGTTATATAGTATTTTTAAAATTCATCTGTAGACTATAGTGTACTAAAGGATGAATAATATAAATTTAAATATAATGATTATGAACACATAATCAGCTCTTTATGTTTTTATTGGTTTAAGTTTAGACCGATAATTGGCTTTATGAAAAATAATACCGTTACTAATACAACACTACACTACAAGGGTATATTCACTAAAACCCGAGCAATGCGTTTTGAATGTCCTGGCTCATCATGTTGACTAGGATGTATAGTAGGCCTACTCGTCAGGTCAGTTGTCTTGGTAACCATATGAAAAGTTAAGTTACCTTTAGTATTACTCTACCACTACTAAGTCTCTACTAGTATTATTTTGAGAAAAAGAGTTGGAATAAAAACTACCCTGTTGTGTAACCAGCCCAGAGAAATGGTCTGTATGATCCCTAGCCCGATCTCACATGATTCAAAACATAGTGCCTTAAATTATAATCATTTCTTCTCAATTAATCTACTTCATGACTATAATATAAATATAATAAAAATGAAAACATTGTTTGCTCTTAATGGTGTAAAAATGTCTAATTTTAAGCAAGACATGGACCCTAAGAAAGCCGAAAACCACCTCAATGTATGGGAGAAAAAGTAAATTAACGTTACGGAACTATAAAGGGGATAGTGAAGGTTGGCGAACACACCAATCAAGAACTATACCAGTCATATAAAGACCCAGCACAGTAGCAGCAGTGGCACTTAAAATGTCAGACTTAGCTGAATAGGTCTCCTCAAGACAGGATGGCAGGTCACAAAGGAATGAAGTGGCATAGGAAATGAGTACAAGGTATGGTCAAACCTGAAAAAAGGAACGCAACAAAACAACGAACGTTTTAGCAGGAAGCCTTTGTCAGAGGAACAAACAACAGAAAAAACAGAATAAAATACAAAAATAACACTTAGCTGAGAAGCAGTATTCGAGAGAGCAGCAAAAGAATCGTGACAGAAAATAAGTAGGTAAGAGCTTAGATTAAATAGGGAAAAGTGAAAGAAAAGATAGGAAGTTAGTCCATTGTGATTGGTCGTGACGTGGAGGGGCGGGGAAAAGCCTCAAGCTGTGAATAAAGACATGATGTTCAAGCCAAGTGGTGTCAAGGTTCCATAGTTCAGGATAAGCTTGTTTTCTAATTCACCCGGCTGAGTATGTTTCTGCTGGTCAAGATCGCACTAATTTTATAGTCCGTCATGCCTGTGTGGTCGCTTCTACTGAAGTGTTTAGAGACGGGACACTGTTTATCTTGCGTAATATTACGGAGGTGTTCAGTACACCTATCAGAGTCGGTGTCCTGTCTCTTGAAAGAGAAACAATGATCAGAAAATGAAATTTTAAAAAATAATTATCACATCATTCTCTTTATTTGTAAACATGTAACACTATAAATCTTATTTTTTAAAAGCTGCTAAATTCAAAATATTCAACAATATTAAAAACATACATTTTATTTTATCAAATGTTTAAAAAATGGCATTGAACATATAGGAAGTGTGTTGTGAACACAATAAACAACAAAAACACATAAAGTAACAAATTCCTTGTTTAAACCAGGTAAATGCATCTATCAATATTATATGATACATATTTACATAACAGTTTAACAAAATAATTTTGAAAAAATTGCCAAAGGACATCAGTTGGAGCGGGATTAATTGACATTTATGTATTTCAATAGCTCACATATAAAAACTAATTGTGATGTATATACTTCAATGGCTAAATTTAAAAAAAATAAATGATTGACATTAAAGTTCAACAACAAATTAAGCTCTAAACTTCATCAACCCTATTAAATACATATTAGGGTCTAATACTTTAATTATACATTTACTAAATGCACCACCTGGTGCATATTCTGTTATTATGAATGTATAACTTCTTGGCACCACTAGTAGTGCATGAACTACAGTTTGAGAATCTCTGTAATGATACTTATAGTGCTTAGTATAAGTAATGTGTGTAACCTATTTGAGTAATTGTTTTAAATATCTTTTTTTCAACAACAGATCTGTTTTAAAGTTAGTTTTAAATTTCCTTAATAAATGGTACCGGGTACATAAAATATGAAGTAATGTTTCAAAAAATACATCTACAATCTTCTTTTATGACATGAAGTACAATTATTAGAGCTGCCTTGTCTTTTCCTGTTGACAGCCAACTTTTTCGTTTCACCCACATCTTCTTCTGAGCATCCTTTGTTAGCTGGATCAATGTAGATTGTCTGCAAACCACTGACTATATCTATCTGTCTGCTGTCACTGTCATCTTTACTACTTTTTGCTCTGTCATTACATCCATGTTTCTCTTGACTGTCACATAAATTTACCATTCCATCTGCTTCTATATCATCATTAATGCTGGATCCATCAGTCATACAAATATTAATGTCATCATCATCTCCATCACTAAAGCCAGTGCTGACGATCTCCTTTTCATTTCCTACAATCCTTCCATTTTTACCTGTCAGGACGTATGTGGCTTTCTCTATGTTAACATTTTCTGCTGTGAGGTTGGTAAAATTTCTGTGGGGGAAAAAAATATACTTTATCATAATGTTTCTAAAGAAAAGTTTTTAATGGACCCTAACCTCTTCCTCTTCAAAGCAAACATACTCCCTGGTCAACCTTTATTCCCAAACCTGCTAATGGAATGAAGATGAGTTAAACAAGGATCTATGGTTTGTTTGATATTAATTGGGTACAGTGAGCAATTTCATTCCTTAATTATAATTAAGTTTTTATGTCTTTCCTTTTTTTTTTTACTAGAGTTGTTACAGAATTAACATGAGGAGGACATCTAGGTCATAAAAAATGTCCAAAAATTCCAATAAGCTAGTATGTCAATTTTTTTTTTTTAAGTGAAATTTTTTATTTTGAGTACCCAAAATGACATTACACATATGACATCAAAATCATTATTTATAATTAATATGGTCAAATAAATACGGATGCTAAGATTTGAAAATAAACAAAAGATTTAAACAATATTCAAAAATGACACTTAAAGTTTAAGAACAAGATATAGATAAAAGGCTGCAGTAGTTTTTCCTTACATGCGAAAAGCAAATTTATTAATATGCTTTTCTTATTAAAAGAAAACACCATGAAATTAATATTAAAACTCAAAATATTTAATTCCATCAACTATTAAAAGATTATAAATTATATGTACCTAAATTCAACTCTGTAACATTCTACCAGTCAGAGATAAAAACAGTTGAATGTGATGCCCTAACCCAACAAAAACAAACATTGCCTACATGAAGTTAATAGATAGTTGGGAAAAACAGACAAGGAAGACAATCTACATGCATAGGAGCCAAAATGATCAATAAATTGATTGTGGGCCCTTAAGATATAGAAGAAGAAGAAGAATCTTACGTACCAGTATGAAGAAAATTGATGTACTTACAAATTTATGTTAAAATCTGGTGTAGATTCCACCACTTCATCTTGTTCACCATCAACTGAAATACGAATTGGTCTAGGAGGACGATAAGGATTATGATTCATGTAATGAGTAGCACACAATTTCATGTAGTCAATAAATGAATTGTAGTTGAAGACTCCACTGGAGCCAAGCTGGTTGGGCTGATGTGGAATTGGTGGTGGTGACGGTGGTTTAGCAGAAGGTAGATTGTCTCTATTCACTGATATGTCAGCTTGGCTGGACTGAGGTGAGGGCACTTGGCTAGATACGGTTGAAGGTATTGGTACAGTGGCAGGTACCGAGGCGTGTATCGGCACATCGTTTGGTATGGTTGAAAGTGATGAATAAACATTCTCTGACACCATGGAAGGTGCTAAGGGTGAAGGGTAGTTTCTTGAGTCATTTCTTTCTAATGTTGAATTAGAAGAACCTGGGTATAAATAAAATAAGATGCTTTCATGGATTAAAAAAATGGTAATGTGTTTTTATTACAATTGTACATATTCATTAACTGCTCTCACTAACTTTGATTATGCAGTACCAGTATATCAGGACATTACAGATATATCACAACTAATTTTAACCTAAACACTAAACTGATTGTAAAGTTACAAGGTCAAAACAATCTTGGCCACTTCATAAACATAGTGAAAAAATTTGAGAAAGTATTTTAACATTGAACAATTTCTTCAAATTTACCAATTGCTGGCAATCAATTTATTCCTTGTGTCTGGACAAATTTCATTTCTTGTGTTTCCAATCCACACATGTTAGAGAAATGCAGTTCAATTATTGAGTGAAATTCGTATGACTAAAAAATTGACATTCCCAGATAGTACATTTCATTGTACTATACCTATTTATTGAGTGTGAATTTCATTTATTTATGTTAGTCAAATTGTATGTCACATTTGAATCAGCGCTAATTAATAAATAAGGTGACCCCTGCTTCTCAATTTTTTAAGAATAGAAAATAAAATTTACCGTTTTTGGAAGATGCAAAAGCCCCCAATGTTCCACGTTCCATAATTGTCTGGCAGAGGAATTCGACCACAACAGTGTGCCCTCCTTTATGAGCCAGAGTAAAGGCGGTGGAGCCATTAGTACTGCAAAGATTAACATCAGCCCCATGCTGACATAATAATCTCACAATATCTATTCGACCTTTTCTTGCTGCCCACATGAGCGCTGTACATCCATAATTATCTTGAACATTGACACCACAGCCAAGCCGTAGAAGGTACACAACTACTGCCATGTGCCCACCCTCGGATGCCCACATGAGAGAGGTGTATCCACTGACATTTTTCATGTTAATGTCCCCTCCTTTGTTATGCAATAGCTCCACAGATTGGACATGTCCCATCGTGGCAGCCCACATGAGTGCTGTGAATCCATTGCTACACTTTGCATGAACATCAGCTCCTTGAACTAACAAAGCCTGAACTGTTTCACAGTGTCCACACTGAGCAGCTAACATCAAAGCAGTCCATCCTTGTTTACTAGCAATTTTGACATCTGCCCCGCAGCGACACAACAATTCCACAAGTTCAGTTTTCCCAGAATAAGATGCACACATCAAAGCAGTAAGACCATCAATGTCAGTGGCATCGATGTTACAATTGAGATCAAGAAGTTCCTGTGCTGTTGTGACATAACCATCAAATGCTGCAATCATGAGAGCTGTCCATCCAGAGGTACTGGCCGCATTGATATCAGCCTTATACTTAACAAAGACTTTTAGAATATCATTTTTCCTAGCTTTGGTTGCATACATAAGTGGAGTCCAGTTGTCCTTATCCACTGCAGAAACATTAGAGTTACATAATAAATACTCAACAATTTGTCTATCCCCACTTTCTGCTGCACACATGAGGGCTGTCCTGCCTTCTTTATTGCATGCATCAATGTCAGCTTTGTAATGACATAGTGTTTTAACCACATCAAATTTAGCGGTAATTGCTGCTAACATCAGAGCAGTTTCACCATCAGATCCTTTTGCATTCACTGAGCATTTGTGCTTCAGTAAGCACCTAACAACTTTGGAATGACCTTTACTTGTAGCATACATAAGTGCTGTCCAGCCAGCATTGCTAATAATATCAACATCAACAAGAGACTTACATAACACTTTTACAACTCTGAAATGTCCTTTCCTAGCTGCAAAAATGAGAGCAGTGCATCCATTTTTATTTTTCATGTTGGCATCACAGTTTTGTGTTAGTAAGAACTTGACTGTTTTTGTGTGACCACTGAGAGCTGCAAAAATAAGTGCCGTCCTACCTTGACCACATGCTGCATTTACTTCCGCTCCTTTTTTACACAACACTCTCACAACATCTAGCTTTCCCCTTTTAGCGGCTAACATTAATGAAGTCCAACCACTGTTGCATTGAGCATTGAAATCACAGCCATGTTCAAGAAGAAGTTGCACCGTTTTCAAGTGTCCACTAAATGATGCACACATAAGAGCCGTCAAACCACTTTTATTAAACAATTTTGGATCAGCACCATTTTGAATTAAAGCTATAACAATGTCAAAGTTTCCTTTAAATGATGCTTTAATCAGTGCTGTATTGCCATCACTATCCTTTACATTGGCACAGATGTTGCTTTTAAGAATGCTTAGAACTGAGGTCAAGTCACCATTAATAGCTGCTGCAATTAATGGAATTTCCATTCTTTGATTTCCTTCATTACATTCAGGAACTGGAGCATCATTTGCTGAAACTCTTTATCTGAGACTGTGAGTGCCGTTTTGTACAGCTGGATTGCTTGTACTTGTTAACCTGTCAATACATAAATCAATAAGTTCATTATTATAAATTAATTGTATGGCATTTGTTTAAATTAGGCTAATAGCATTTAGAATATTATTTTAGGAGTCTGCCGAGCTAAAACCTTATTTATTTTCAAGCAATTTGTTTGGAGCTTGCTGCATTTCTATGGTAACATTTCATTTTTGCCTTAGTCTTGGTAAAAAGTGTATGAGAATAAGTTTATTTTAAACATTTGCTAGCCCAGTATGGTACTACTAGGTGTCTTAACTATTCATCATCATCAATGGCACTACAGCCCATGTAGGGCCCTGGCCTGCTCCACCACATCCTTCCGTTCGGAGCGATCCATGGCTTTCCGTCTCCATGCTCGAACCCCCAACTGGTGTAAATCTGTCTCCACATCATCAATCCACCTCATCCTTGGGCGACCGATGAGTTGTCTGCCCCTAGGCTTCTGCCTGTATATGATTTTGGCTGCTCTGCATTCCGGCATCCTTTCAACATGACCTGCCCAGCGTATTCTGCCTTTTTTTATCATTGTCTTAACTATTAATGCAGAGATTTAATTTTAATACATGTTTAGTCAACAGAGATCAGTGGGACTCTGGTTCAACTTCACTTTTAAATTTGGAGCTGACATGATCACTCAATAGTCAATGCACAATTTAAGAGTACCATGTATATATGCAATACAAAAAAGCTGGTTAAACCCAGCTGACTACATTTTCTGACGACCCCCTGCCACACTTCTGATGCAGATCAGTCAAAAGAGATTCATCTTTTATATATTATTCATATCCTCAACACCACTTCTAAAAGGAAAGTAACTTAAGTGTTGCCGTACTATTAGAATTTAACTTTAGAAAGTGTGTGTGTGGGGGGCGTACTACCAGGGAAAAATGTGTACCGGGTACAAGTACAACAATAAAACAAAATTAATTTCTTTTAAAGGACTAAATTGTCATTTTTATAACATTTATAAAAAGAATATTAACTGCTGTAGCTAGTGTTAATGATGGAAAAAGATTTTTGGACAACTGCAGAGTTTGTGTCATGAAAGGGAACACTGCAAAAATGAAAAAGATACATCTGGGTGGACTATCCCATCCACTCTTTTCTACGTCACTGGCTGAGGCTTGAGTGTTTAGCATCAGGGTACAAGATTCATTCTTATGTCCACCTCAATTCTGAAACTAATCATTTTTCTCCATTAAATATCTTCAAAGCCCATTTCGGTGCCTCTGATTTTCTGGTGTCGGGACATCTGGCACTACCTCTCCCCACCCCCCCCACACACTTTTTAGCTATGCCTCTGACACTATCCACATGAAAATCTGAAATGCTCCCCATCCCCCATCCAAAGGAGGAAATAGTCTGAAAGAAACTCTGACTGGCTACAATATTAAACTAAGTCAGGTTCTAATATACTCATCAAAACCATGCACAGAAACGTCTCAGCACCCTCTACAAAAATAGGAGTCAGAATGATCAATAGTCAATATTACATTGATTTTTTAAAATTTATCATGGACCTTCAAAATATAGAAGTGAGTAAGTTGTAACTCAGTAACCAGACTATAACTACCACAATTATATTATATATATAAATATAAGCCCTAGCCCTATGTTAATGTTAGTATTGTAGTACACTGGGAGTATGATGATGAGTGCAAGAACATGCCATTCATAAATTTAGTTGTTATTTTAGGAATGTTCAAGTTGCTGAAAAGTAAGACATAAGTGAATAGGTTGTTATACTATAATATAGTGTTCCAAGTCACTCAAAACTGCAATGAAGTGTGTGCAGTCAGTGCAGTGTCAGTGTAGATTGAGTGTAGTCACTGTGTTAGTGTGTAACTAGTAACATGTACTCTGTACTGTAGTGTAAGTGTGTGAACTGTCACACTGTAGGACTGTACGTATTTATGTTGAGTTGTCACCTGGCTGAGTGACTAAGCTCCCATTGATATTTGCTTGAACGCAATAAGCTAAATGATTACACGAACAGAAGGAATATATTATCAATTGCTTAGTTGGAGCATTCAACTTAATTTGTGATGAAAAAATTGCTATTTATTACTATTAGTAATAGAAGATAGACAGCGGCGGGTATTGTTTTGAATGGCTCTGGTCTCACCATTTAACGCTATCCCTGATAAGGTACGAAATAAATCTGGGATTTCGGTTCTGGCACAAATAATATTGGCCTTAATTTATTGTATTAAAAACTATTGACATAAATAAAAAGGCTTAATTTAAAATTAAAGTTTAAGAATAAAGTAAATTGAAAAATGTAAAAATAATAACTATTATAAATATGTTAATATTTAGCTTTGTAATTTAAAATGTAATGGGCGCCCGCAAGGGGGGGGGCAAGTGCAAACCCTTGCCCCCCCCCCCCTCCTGGATTGAGTGGATAAAAAAAATTAGACAAAAACATTATTAAAGTAAAGAGAAAATAAAGAGAAACTAACTAAGCTGATGTCCTGTCCGTTCGTTCACCATACAAATACGCTACAGTAAATTAAAACTAAATTAAAACATTACTAAAAATTTGTTGCCCCCTGCGGGCGCCCATGCTGATTTGTATTCTTCACTAGCATATCACTTGCATGAATCTAGGAATGAATTTGAAAGATTTGAAGTAGCTGCAAAAGAAACAACACCAGGTGTGGATTATAAGTCAACTTTGACCCGTAATCGTTAACGAAAGACAGTGGTCATTGATGGTGATGCCCCTGAGGTTTCTCAGAATGTCAGAGACACATTTCGTATATCTGCTTTCTACACCATTGTTAACAAACTTGAGACAAAGATGAGTAGACGAGGACAGGTGTATAATGATCTGGCAGTTCGATTTTCTTGTTTTCTCGATGTACCACAAACATCTCAGTGTTGTGAAGGACTAATAAATGCTCATCCTAACGATCGGAAAAATAATTTATATACCGTTACTGAACTACAAAAGTTCCACTCATATATTCGCCACAAGTTTCGTGCATCTAAATCTGAGAACACCACGTTCAGTAATGCAGAACTCTACAAAGTAATAGTTAGAGACAACATCGAGTGTGCTTTTCCAAATGTAGAAATCGCCTTGCGCATATTTTTAACATTAATGGTTACGAAGTGTTCAACTGAGCGCTCTTCTTTTTCTCAGTTGAAACGTACAAAAAATCCAAGTAGATTGACAATGAAACAAGAAAGGCTTGATTCCTTATCTTTGCTGATGATTGAGGCAGACTTGTTGCGCAAAATTAACTTTGATTAATGTACTCAAAAACTTTGCCAGACGTCAATGTAAAAAAAAGAACTTTAAAATGTAAATGTGTGCACTCTCTGACTTTCTTATCTATCAAACAAGTTACAGTATTTCGTCTACTATTATTACAAAATTAATTAACTATTAATTTTAATACAGAAATACCTTATTGTTGGTTTTATTTGAGTGATAGTAGTACAAACATTTGTGTTTACATTTCACAAATGCTTTTCTTTGTTAGTTTTTTTGCATACTATTGAACATACCAGCAGTCAGTGGAGGATCGGGGGCTTGGGGCAGTAGGGGGCATCCATGTGGGTAGTAGGGGGCATCCATGTGGGAAGTATACCAGCAGTCAGTGGAGGATCGGGGGCTTGGGGCAGTAGGGGGCATCCATGTGGGTAGTAGGGGGCATCCATGTGGGCAGTAGGGGGCATCCATGTGGGCAGTAGGGGGCATCCATGTGGGTAGTAGGTGGCATCCATGTGGGCAGTAGGGGGCATCCATGTGGGCAGTAGGGGGCATCCATGTTGGTTTGTGCCCAGGGCACCAAGATGGCTTAATCCGGCCCCGGGGGTATCCTTACAATGTTCTTCACCCTGTCCATCGCAGCATTACTTTCGGCATCAATTGTTTTGTGTCACCCCCTAAGTTGGTGCCACCCGGTGCGGTCCGCACCCCACACCCCTCTAGCTACGCTACTGAGTAGAGGTATTGCAGTAATAATTTAGTTCACCGTATGTTCAACGTGCATGTGACGTATATTTTGTTGGGATACGCCAGTGGCCAGGGGTTCCTAAAAAATTGCGATTGCGGCATCTGTGCCAAATTTAATTTATTCCACGGGCGTCAAACTCTAACAAGCATAGTTTGAAGTCATCATCATCATGATCATGTCCCTTAGTCTTTGGACCGTTGGGGCGCCACAGTTGACATGTGAACTATCCTCCATTCGTCTCTGTCTTCTGCAAGTCTCACAGCATCGCCTACTTTCAGTCCCGTCCACTCTTTGATGTTGTCTTCACATCTTTTTCTCTGTCTTTCTCTTCTTCTCCCTCCTCTTGTGGTCCCTGCATGATATCTTTGGCGAGCCCTTGTTTCCTTGTCACGTGGCCATACCATTGTAGTTTGTGCTTTTTTACAGTCACCATTAGGTCATCGTACTGTTCATTGCCTGACAAACCCTTTCTTTCACTGTATCATTGGAGATATGGTCCCTATAGCAGATGTCAAGAATGCTTCTGAAGCTTCTCATCTCCATCGCCTTTATTTTCCTTTCAAGTTCAGCTGTTAATGTCCAGGATTCGCAGGCATTTGAAATAATAAACACATAAACAACATTTATTTAAGGGTTGGGTCATAATAATTATATACAACTTTGTAGTTCACTAATCATCATCTAGTAACTGCAAACAGTAGTTACTCAAGTGGATTACTGTTTGCACCACGACCGATCGATGTCCATCCATCCCTGTGGCCATACAGCCCATGTAGTAGGGCTTTGGCCTACCTCATCACATCCTAACTAATGCTTTTTTTTTCACTGCTTGGATTCCCTCTGCTGTAGATCTTTTTTCAACATCATCCACCCATCTAAACCTATGTCTGCTTTCCTCTGGGGTTTTGGTGGTGCACCCTCTTTACTCCTCTGCCATTTGGCATTCTAAGTGTCCTGCGTAGTCTGCCCTTTTTTTATTTCTGCTACTAACGTGGGATTCTGATATAGACTATACAATTCCTGGTTGCTTCGTATTCTCCATCCTTATTCCTCCCTTGTTGGTCCATATATTTTCCCGATAAATTTTCTCTTCCATGCATTTAATAGATTTTCTGCCATTTTTGTTAGGATCCACGTTTCACTTGCATATGTTACAATAGGTCTGATAACAGTTTAATAAATAGTTTTCTTTGTTTTTCTTGTAATGTTTTTACTTTTGAGTATTTTCTGACTTCTGAACTATGCCCCTTTCCCGGCCCATATTCTTTATTTTATTTCTGTTAGTAATTCATTTCTTTTATTTATTAACTTAAGGATCCTATTTATTTGAATTGATTTACTTTTTCAAAAGCGTGGCTTCTAATTTTAATGGCTTCAACTGTCTGTTCTTCTCTTATCATGTCATATATATATTATATAATATATAATTTATTTTTGTTGTTAACCATTTGAAGTGGTGCGTCTTCTTATCCCAATGAAGGCTTTTGATATGTCTTTACTACTTTTCCTTAACAGTGCTATGTCATCAGCATATGCAAGATATCGAAGGGGTTGATTGTAGAGAGTGTCTTTTGATTGTGCGTCATGGGCCTCTCTCGGAAAGTATCCTGTTATTTCCACTTGGAGAATCTGACCACACATTGGTCCGCCTAACGCCATGCTACAAACCAGTTTTAAAAACAATGAATACTCCAACAAAAACTATTGAAGTGTGTTCGGATGAGGCGACAGAAAAATTTCAGGGCTGCTTAGAAAGTACAGATTGAGACACGTTTATAAGCATTTGCCCGGAAAATGGCGAGCTAACAAACACTGCCATTTCTTATATTAAGCTCTGAGTAGACGAAATCATCCCCCCCCCCACCCTCATAAAAAAAACAACAAAACAAACCTTGGATGAGCATGGCTTCCGGGTCAATATATCATGTGAGACCCAGCTTCTTGAATTTGTAGAAGACCTGATGTCAATCTGGAGAACCACAAGCAGACTGACGTGCTGGTAATGGATTTCGCAAAGGCATTTGACCGTGTGAATCATAGTTTGCTACTATACAAACTCCAGAGATATGGGATCCAAGGCACCACTAAAACATGGATCTCTAGCTTCGTCAGCCACCGATGCCAAGCAGTAGTGGTGGATGGTACAAGCTCCTCTTTTGTCGATGTGAAGTCAGGGATCCCCCAGGGATCAGTGCTGGGCCCCTGTTAGTTCCTAGCATACATTAATGACCTACCCGAGAAACTGACATTACAAGCAAGACTGTTCGCAGATGACACAGCGGTGTATAAGACGATCGCCAACAGATCTGACCAGGACCAGCTACAACAGGATCTCAATCTGTTAGCTGAGTGGGAGATGAGCTGGAACATGGAATTTCACCCTGCCAAGTGCCAGACACTATTAGTCTCTAGAAGTTTTACTCCTCTACACTACCAATACGAACTGCACGGCCATATACTTGAGTCATTTTCCTCCGTAAAGTACCTGGGTGTCACTATTCAAAGAGACTTCCGCTGGGACGAGCATATTAACAATGTATGTAACCAAGCAAACAAGACCCTGGGGTTCTTAAGGCGAAATCTAAAGATTGGCAACTCTTGTGTGAAAGAAAGAGCACATAAAGCCTTTGTCCGTCCGGTTTTAGCTTATGCATCTTCAGTCTGGGACCCATTTACCCAGAAGAGCGTTGACATGTTGGAGGCGGTCCAGCGACGAGCAGCACGCTTTGTCCTAAACCGCTACAGGAATACCTCTAGTGTTGGCAGCATTCTGGAAACACTAGGCTGGTCACCATTGAAGGGACGACGACGACAATCCAGGCTCTCCATGATGTACAAGATAAATAATGGGCTGGTCCACTGTTCCAGTATTAAACAGAAACTCGTCCCTCTCCCCCATAGACAGCGATGAGGCCATAAGAGGCAATTCAGGCTCATACATCAAGAAGCCAGTATAGGAGCTGCTCATTCCTGCCCAAGACAATCAGGGACTGGAACAAGCTTTCAAAAGGAACGGTAGAGGCGACAACACTAGACATATTTGTGTCTATTGCCTCAAGCCTTCAAACCCCTAGTGCATGATTCCCTCACAAAGTGGCACTGGAAATCGGTGAAATTTCCTCATCAACGCCAGGAACAGAAACATTGGAAATCCCATCTACATGCTTAGGAGCCAAAATGATCAATAAATTGATCGTGGGCCCTTAAAATATAGAATAAGAAGAAATAAGGTAAGCCATACCCCTCAAGAAAACCATACTTGAGATTAGCATCAAGAATTCACTAAAGCTAAAAAATATTGAAGGAAAAAATACATCAGGGTAAAAAACAATGCAAACTAAAAATTAAAAATATACTCCTTACTAACAACTCAAAGGCTTGTTGGGCTGGTCTAAAACAAATAACAGGATATATCCCTCAGCGTGAACCCTTGTGTGTTGAAGTCGTGAAGAATTTTGTAAACGACTTTAATAACTTTTATTGTCGCGTTGACAGTCTTCATTCTGGAAGTGTACACATTGAGGAGTGATGAACTCATTTAAAGATAGCAGTATTACACAGGATGAGATTTTCTTGTTCGTCGAAAAGGGCGTGATGTCGCTATTTAAACAAGTGGATGCAGCCAATGCCTCGGGGCCAAACAAATTAAGTTTTCGGTTTGTTAAACTATGTAACTCGCTCTAAACCAAAATTTGGAAAAAACTTCAGAAAGTATACCAGTTCCATGCATCTTGCAAAAACAACTTAAGTCCCAATTTATACTTACGTCCTATCGCACTTACTTCTGTTGTAATTAAATGTTTTGAGAAACTTATTCTCATAAAAATTTTGAACGTAGTACAGCAAAATCTTGCCCCCCCCCCCCCACCATTTTGAAATAAATCTGCCAGAAGTACGGATGATGCTATCTTACTACTGTTGGAGGTAATTTACCATCACCTAGATAGTCCTAAAAATATGCTCGAGTGCTCTTCTTAGACTTCTCATCAGCATCTAACACTTTCAAACCACACCTTATGATTAAAAAGCTTTCCTCGTTAGATGTAAATTCAAATATTCAAGCTTGGACACTGAACTTTTTAACAAATCGCCCACAATATGACATGTCACGGTGAATGACCAATTATATCTAACCAGAGAAATAAGCACTGGGGCGCAACAAGGTTGTGTTCTCTCCCTTTTCCATGTATACAATCGTTTGATTGAATGATATTCAGAGCTCAAGCAACACCGTTCCACTCGTAAACTTTGCTGATGATACCACTATCGTTGGTTTAATATCGGAAGGAGAAGCCTTATACCACAACTTAGTTACAGACTTTTTCAATAGGTGCGATGAAAATTTTCTCCTGTTGAATATCTCAAACAACAGAGGAAATGGTTGTCGATTTCTGGAATGGGAAACACCAGATTGCAGATCTCAACATAAAAAAAAAAAAATCAATGAGGTTAGGAATTAGACTATATGCTGATACTGTGAGGCGAATAACAATTTTAATGATATCGCCAGTCCTTTCTTTATATTTATGTCTTTAAAGTGACTGCTCTGACAATATTAATAGCACTTTAATTAAATGGTAGGGTTTATCTCCTGGACTAGCGGGATCCCTATGAATTTAGGCTATTTTTTCTTGATCCCGGGATCCCGTTTGAGAAACCATAGAAAATTAAATGCACGGATGAAGTGAAGAAATGAGTCAACAGTGTTTAAATAGTGTAACCAAAGGTCTTTGTTTATTTAAAAATTAAACTTGGCACTACTTCACATTTTAAACTTCAATTACCTATTCTCCATAGACTATAGAAAATAGTTTATAAAAATAGTTCATAAAAATAAACATTCTTTACTTTATCACTTTCATTTGACAAAATCGCAAGACCAGAAATCCTGGACTGTTCCTGGGGCATGGTAGATCGCAAATAGTTCTTTAAAAGTTTTAGTATGAGATGTCACATGAAGTTACAGACACAAAGATCATGATAAACAATTATAACTTTATTGAGAGAGCTGGGCAACTGGGAGACCTCCTAATTAAAATTAGTGATGTGGCATTATGTTTTATTATTTTGATTATTATAAATATTGTGAAAAACTGTTTTACATATGGTGCACGGTCATGGATTCAACTAACTTGCTTATTTAAAAATCAAATTATAATTAATTAAGAATAAACAGCTAAATTTCCCATTATTAAGCGATATTGAAGTGGTCTCGGTATTTTATTGGATCTCGGTAACTGAAGAAATGATACCTAAAAAGTATCACCGGAGTTGCATGTCCTCTACTAATTTCTAAGTAATTATTAACTAGATTTATATTAATAATTATACTGCTTATAAAAAGGATAATTAATCATCTGTCTAAGTTCTACGACTCTAGCGTCCTAATAATTAAGATTCATTGTGATTTTATTTATTAACTACCGTAAGTGTAAGAAGTCAGTTAATAAAGTAAACTGAGTATTCTCTGAACTCTGAGTCTCTGCTAACTGCTAAGACTTAAGACTTAAGACTAAGGACAAGGACTAAGAGTCTTAGTAAGAGTAAGAGTAAAGTAAAGAGTAAAGACTATAAATAATAAAACTATAAAACTAATAATTAATACTAATAATTACTAGGCCTAATATTAATATAGGCAACTAGACTATATAATGGCTATGGCATGGCTATTAAAGTAATAGTAATAGTCTATAAATACTGACTAAATAGTTAAATTTTAGCGAAGTGGATGCGTACACCGCGGCTGTGTACCTAGCGAAACCATCGGCTTTGGCCTGCGTAAACCGCGGCAAAAATGTACCATTGGCATGGTTTTAAGATATGCTTGTTAGAGGAGATCTTGTGTGGTCAAGTGGTAGAGTGGACGCTTGGCGATAATATATTTTGAGATCAATTCCCAGTAGGGGATCGAGTTTTTTTCCCTCCCATTTTAGTTTTAAAATATTTTTTAGCAATTTTAACAATTTAAATATATGTTAAATCAAGTACCGGCTAGGCCAAAAAGTTAAAGACTCGCAAAGACCATAGTTTTGCTACTTTAAATCGCTGCGGTGTACGCAGGCCACAGTCCATGATTTAGCTAGGTACACCGCCGCGGTGTACGCAGGCCAAAGTCAATAGTTTCGCTAGGTACACCGCCGCGGTGTACGTAGTGCCGGCCTAATTTTAGAGTACGAAGCCTGAGGTAGGCACTTCGGTTTCCTCTGGAAAACGCTCGAAAATTGGGTATCGTAATTTGGTTTTCAAAATGGTGACCTCCACTTTTAATTCACCGATGGTATCGTTGTTTAAATTTTTATAGTCGATTTTTAGCATATTAATAAATTATACATCCACCAATTACTAATAGTATAGCCGACATCTTGATGGTTCTTTTGAGAATTGATGTGATTTTTTTTTTTTTGAGGTTAAAGGCATTAAAGCTTTGAAAATTGAAGTTGAAAATATGTAAAATAAACTGATCAATAACTTTTTTAAAAAAAATGCTTTCTTTAAAAAAAAATAGTTTATTTAATTTATCAGTTCATCCAAAATTCATGAGCGTAGACCATTGCCAGGCTTCAAAAACGAAAATCTAAGCGTTCATATTTTTAATTTTTAAGGTTATGTAATTTGTAATCATGGCCACCATGCTTGTCTGCTTATTACAAATTATTGATAGCAGCCGTGGGGTAGTTAATAATTCATTAAATTTGTTTTACAGAATATAAATGGGAATTATAACTATTTATAAATCATTTAAATAAATAAAAAAATTATTTCTAACATAAAGAATTATTATTGGCTTATGGACTTATGAAATATCAGTGTTTTTAAAATTTAGGGGTTGATAACCACTTGTATTTCATTTAGAATAGGCTTAATTGAAGTATAGTAATATAATAATAGTAATGATTTGGTGAGTGGGATAAATAGCTGTTATTACAAATAATACATTATTATTTGGCCTATAAACTTAGTATAATAGATGGTATATTTGAAGTATATATTTTCAATTATCAGCCGCTATTAGGCTGGTAGCCGGACACTTTCTAACGAAATATAATTGCATTTTTAATTTGGGACCGCCATTCTAGGGAGTGCCAATAAGATGTCTATGTCTATATTTTTAGGCATATATTATATTTATAGTTATAGTATACTACTAATTAGGCTTAGCCTTAGTCTTAATTCAGTGATGTGAATCATATTCATATTTGCTGAGACTATTCGTACCCGAGTACCAGAAGTGAGTGGTTGGGATAAAAAAAACTATTTAAAATATTATTGTTTGGTTTATAAGACAAAATGAGGTATCAAATGAAAGATAATTGAATGGACTATATGTTTGTAAACTTAATTCTTCAGTTTAACTAAAATAAACTACCACAAATGAAATTTGAATAGCATTTAGTAAAAATGGCCCCGACTCTCAGCGCCGCCCGCCATTCACACCCAGAGTTCCATGCAGCCATTGGTTTAAAATGTAACTTAAGCCTATTTGATTAAAATTTTGCCTCTAAAAGTAATTATTCTTCCAATTTTTCTTGTCAGGATTTTTTGAACTACCTTCAAATAATATCAAAAATAAAAAGTCTTGATATTATGTAAAAGTTCTGTTGCGTATCCCATTGAAAATGTGTGCTAAAAATTTGTTAACATTATCTTTTGAAATAAAAAAGTTGTTTTCAAAATAGGGTAGAAATGTGGAAAATTGGTCACAAGTTTTATAGTTAAATACAAAGATAAATAAAGGATTTTAAAATGTGCACACAAAAAAAAAAAATCTTAAATCCACTTCTATAAAAGATAGAAAAATGCATTATTGATGGTTTTTATGAAGGTTATGGCAGTCACACAAAATTTAAAATGTATGTCAAAGTACCAACTATAGCCTACTTCTAGGGTTAAACTATAGTTATAACATTACATAGAGTGATGTCTGTGTAATATGTATAATCATGCATATTGATATAGACTATAATATATTTATACGTAGACCTAAGTACAGCCTATATGATGATGATAGAAGTCTTAGATGGTACCATAATATAATTGATTTGATTAGGCATTTATTTTAGTTATTAACATACTTTGTCTATAGGATATCAAATGTATACTGTACTTTAGACATTGGGATCAGTCTCTCTCTCTCTCACACACACACGCGCACGAAATGTTCTGATGAGAATTGTTGCCAGCCGATTCGAAGCTCCTATTTTGAAATTGTGTCCAATAGATTCATTTCCCCGCCAATTCCAGTCTTTCAAACTAGTGAAGGCCTTAAGGCACCAGATGCTTCTGAGAAGGACTTACATAGATTTCCATCTTTTTTCTTCAAGCAGTCTGTCAAATTTGATAATATGTTACCTCGATTCACAAAGGCATTCAAAATTCTTCCATTTGATCTTTTTTGTCCCTCAGTCATTGTATAATATTCTATGTGATGTCCATAGCGCCATGGTCCTGGTGTTTTGTAAGGTGACCGAGTTGCATGCTCAAAAGTTTTGTCTAGAACGGGTTTGCAAAATTTGTAACATCTATTTTGCATCACAAGTCATGTTGAAAAAGCATGTTCAATAGCCCTGGCAATGCACTCTTGAGCATAAGAAACTACCACCTGCTCCTCAACAAAAAAAAGATTAGACCATTGCGAGTAGCTGCCAGGAGACAGAGAGAGCTTATGGCAATTATTGCTCACAATGACAATGTTTCTATTTTAAGTGCTGAATGGTTAGATGATGATGACGTTGACTTGTCTGGTATATCAGTTCCGCAAGATGAAAATGATAAATCAGCTACTATGCCCATTGTTACGATAGAGCAACACCTGGCTACTTTATGGGAAGATGATACTCAATGATAGCAGCTAGAAACTATACTACAATTGTCAGCTGTACTGAAAATAAACACATTCATACTTCCACAAACAATGATATTTAGTCTTTAACAAACTTTTAATTGAGTCTGCATTATAAAATTTAAGTGTAAAAACTTTTTAACTCTGGCATTAATAATCTAAAGATGTAATAAAATGTTTTTTCCTACAATTTTATGGTAATTTAAATAGATCAGCATAAAGTAAGATGTATTTATATTAAATTCTTTTTTTTTTTTTTTTTTTGGGTTGGGGGGGGGGGGGGGGTTTTAAAAATTTTGAGATAATTTTTTTGGGTGTTATAAAAATGTTGACATAATTACTTGCGGGGGGGGGGTGAGGGTGGATCACTGAAAGTTTGACAGTTGTTGACAAGGGGGGGGGGGGGGCAAAAATTGCGTAAAAATTTTTGACGTACTGTAATTAATGGGCGCCCCCTTTGAATAGAATATTCCCCTACAGGAGTAACATTATAGATAAATATGGTCTACATGCTTTGTCATTCATTCATATTAGAATTGAAATTGTCTTTAGCACATCAGTAGGAACAACTTGGCCGGCTTTGACATTTGAATAAATGTTTATTTTTGACATTTAAATTATGAATGCAAAAATGTACCTAGTGAGCAAAGTTATAATGACTTGGGTCACTAATACTATATGAATAGCATTGTTTTCAAAAAGTTGATGCTTGTATGTTTAACAAAGATTGGTTTAAAACATTAAAAAGAAATGTCTGTCTTCAGATAAAGTGATCATAGAAATGTTTCCAGTGAAAGATTTTTTGAGGAACTCATTATTCAAGTCTCTAATATCAGACAGTTCGAACAAGATAAGCTGTATGGTATGTTATCTTGTCTAAGATTTTGTTAAATGTTTTGTTTGATTGAACTAATTGTAAAATTAGTTTATTCTTTGGCGCAACATTGTTTGCTTAGCCAACCCCCTCATCTGCCTCATCACTACTTTACTTCCCATCCTTCTCCCTTCCCCACCATATTAATAAAAATGTGCTTCATTTTGTAATCATAAATAGCTTTAGTTAGATCCAACATAATGAAAAAGATTGTTTGGCGAGCAAGAGTAGTTTTCATTGTCATTTTTAAAAAAAACTTTTTTGTGGTTATTATTTACTATAATCGCAGTAAACTCACTTGTAATGGTTGTTAATTAGTAAACTAAATTTGTTCAACTTAGTTTATTGCAATAAAAGATACATTGTTTCTATATTATAATTTTGTTATATTGAAAGCATTCTAGTCACCCAGTGTTTATATCATTTATAAATTTCAGACTACAAAATGTACAGATTAATCCTCAAGTTTATTTGCCTACCAGGAGTAACAATTTTAAAATATGCCTGTACTTAATATTTCATTTTACAATTTTGTCCTATGTTGTTGTAGAAAAACCTTTTGCGGTTCACCAGCAATGGCAGTGATTCTTCCAGTGTTAACAATAGTTTGACAACCTACAAAAAGGAGAGCAAAGTCGTAACAGACAAAACTTTTGAGCATGCAACTCGGTCACCTTACAAAACACCAGGACCACGGCGCTATGGACATCACATAGAATATTATACAAATGGTATGTGAGATGTCATATACAGATGGTAGGTGGGATATATAATTGTTTGGCTGGATATATACAGTTTTTAGGAGGGATATATACAGTAAGGTGAGATATACATAATCAGTATGTGGGATATATACAGTTTGTATGCAGGATAAATAAAGAACGGAGGGGGGATATACACAGTTGGTAGGTGGATATACGGAGTTCTGCAGGATAATAATGGTAGGCTGGATATATAACTTTGGCTTGTAGGTGGGATATATATTTATAGTTGGCAGGTTAAATATATACAGTTTGTAGGTGGATCCATAAATTCTAGGTGGGATGGTTTAGTGTTGAGACATTATTCTCTCAAATTTGATTGTGATAGTTGTTAGGTTATGGTTTAAAAATATGGGTAGAGTGTGGTGCTGTTTGTTAAATTAAGGTTTGAAAATGTGGTGCTGTAGTTGAAAAGAGTTAGCCAGTTACAGTTACTGAGTAGATGTAGTGTCCACTCTGAGAGTATGTCGAACTGAATTATTTCAGTCTGAAACGACATGAAGTAAAATGTCATCAAGCAACACCCATTGTTTCATAAGCCAGCCCTAATGAACTGAACATTTTATTTATTTTTATCTCCACTCTACAGGTGTGTTGCCACGTCATGAAAGGCCAGTCAGATCATTGCCACCATACAGACCTAAAGACAACTGGGCAACCAAACCTGCTTTATTTGGTCAAAATGATTACATTGGTAATTGAAGTTTTGAACTTTTAAAGTTTTATTTAAACTATTGCTTAAGTGAAATGAGGGCCAGATCATTTAGGCCAGTTTTTTTTCTATTTTAAATTACAAATTGGCACATTTTTTGGGGGGGGGGGGGGGTCATTCTCCAAATTTTTCGAGGGGTCATTCTCCAATATTTTCACACATGAAGTTACTTTAGGCTAGGTTTTCCTTTCTTTTAATATAATGAATGTATTTGTGTATTTATGTAAACTGGGAGAACTTTCATATATAATATTGCTGCAACTCTAGAAATATAATATATTTATTTGAAATTAAATTCTTGATTTTGAAGTAACGGTAAAATTATTTTCTCCCACACTAAAAAAATAAAAGGATTATCATTTCAATAAAATATTTATGAGATATTTATCCACATGTAAATTGTTTGTAAGCCTTCATGACTGCAAACAAAACTAATCAGTCATTTTCAAGTCCAAATCCAATATTATACCAAGTGATTTCTGCTTTGATTAAATACATTGTGATACAAAAGCAGATGTTACTGTAACATCTAATAGATGCAATGGGCCAAGAATATCCTTTCACACTAATGTGAGCTTTCCTTGGTTAAACAATATTTGACACCTTAAAAAAACTCTCATTTAAAAAAAATTAATATACATTTTATTTTACAGTTAATGCTTTATTGATTGCCACTCTTATTTAGATATACTTGGAGATGGCACTGTTCATCCTGCTGACTTACTGACTGGCCCTCGATGGCTCATAGCTTTCAAAGCAAATGAAAGAGATAGAATGTTGCGGAAAATGGAATGGGAAGGACCAAGGCTCAAGCTCATGTATCCATCAGAATACAATCGTATTGAGAAGAGAATACGATATTTGACCAAAATTTATAACTTTAAGAGAGCAAGGAGATGGGTAGATTAAAGTTTTGTGTTGGTTTATTTTATTTGTACATCTTTGATTGACAACTTAGTATAAGTCTAAAAATTATTTGAATGATTAAATCAAGTTAACTGGAATAAAATTATAAAACTTGGAATTCATTAATTATTGGTAATTGATGATAACTATAGAGAATGTAAGTTTCTGCACCAATGTTACACCATTGGCCTACTTTATACCATCTTCCTGGTATCAACTATATAATTTAAAACATATCACAAGTAGCAACAATAAATTAAGTTTTATAATTGTCTCTTGCAAAAAAAAAAAAATAACAGAAATTTGTTCAACTTTTGAAAAAAATATTTTATTTCAATTTTTACATGATGGAAATATACTTCAATATCTTTTTTAATATAAATATGCATTTTCTTAGATCAGTTATTTGAAGATAAAAAAATCTTTTAATACTACCGTATCCAATAGGTTTTACCATAAATCTGTCATACAATTGAGTAATGTAGAAGTACTATCAATTTTCAGAACATTCAAATTTTTGTTCACTGAATAAACCTATTGAAACCTACGTATTCAAACCTACAATTGTAGATAAAGAGATTACCAACTAAATAAAATAATTTAAGGTGACAAATACAATGTTAGAGTAGTGCTAGAGATTAATCACAGTAGAATCACACATGCTTCAATAACATAAACATTTCATTGCCAACCTTTTGAAGTAAAATTTAGAACTTACATGACAGAATTATTTGACCAACTTTGTTATTGTCTGTATCAAAGGTTTGTCAGTGATACCGCACTGTGAGACTAGACACCTGACTGTGTCCTGTAGCTCATACAGGAAGGCTGATATTTTGCACTATAAGAAGCTTACATTTTCAACTGAAACTTTTGACTTAAGAGAAAAAAGTCACTCATGTTCAGGGAATGAAGGCAAACAATAAAAAAAAAATTAAGTTATATTTTTTAACTTCATTTTACACATCTTGGATAACAAATACAAGTATTTTGTACAAAATTCAAATATATTTTACAGCAGATTGTGCTCCTTGGTGATTTTACTTGTATAATTAATACAGACTCGTTTACCCTCACACTCTTAAAATCTTACAATATCATCGTAAAATCAATTAATATGTTAAACTAATAGTAGGAAATAAACATACAATATATAATGTCTACACCTCAAAATCGTAAGAGTAAACAGGTCTGTTCATATTTGAAAAAAACACAAAAGGCCAAGCTTTCCAAGAGTCCATGACAATTAAAAATACTAAAAACTTGAGGTATGCTAATACTACACACACAGCCAAAAGGAAATAAAAATTATAATCTGCAGCCTTCTCAGTTAAAGTAAATATGTCAAGAGCTGAATTCTCACAATCTAATTTTAAAAAAAGGTTTTAAAAAAATTAAATACTTTCATTTATTTTATACTTAAACTGGGTAATTATAAAAAAACCTAACAAGAAAATTATGTCTAAAAGAAAGATGGAACAAAGTTTAATGAAATTATAATTTTGAAAACACCCAAAAGGAAAATAACTAGTTCAAAATTGTATGTAACGTGCTAAATAGTGTCACTTTCAATAAATGAAGATGTGATTATTAATTATTGTTCTCTGTCATTGATTGATGTGCCTTTATTTTCAGTACAAGAGACTAATCAATTAGAAACTATAGAAAAATTGACAATAATTATATAAAAAAAGTAAAATATATTGAATTAAAAGTTCTTTAGGGCCATCATGTGCGTTACAGTGCTCTTGAAATAAATCTGTATCTTATAACAATTTTTTTGAATTATTTGTTTCATGACAATATTGAGAGCAAACTTCTTAAAAATATTTTATCAATAACCTACCACTACCAGGTAGTTAAAAAAAGTCTTTTGTCCATCATAAGGAGTAGGAATAGGACTAGGAGCCAAACAAACAAGCTATTTGATTTTTTTCTTAACAGAAAAATATGATGAATTTATTTGTATAACTTCTGCTGAATTGAAGTTGGAACTCAGAACCAATCAAAATGGAAAATAAAAAAAGTTAATTCTTCAGAGGAATGTAATATTTGACTCAAAATAAAAGTCAACAGTCATACAGTTTCATTAAGTAGCAGTGACTTGTGGTATCTGCAAGAAGCATGTTTTCGTTTATTTCTCAAATACTTCACTGGACATATAACAGCAAAGAACATATTGATTGATTCACTCTCATGGGTGGATTGATGAATATAAAAATAGATTAAATATAAATTAAAGCTAGGAATGTGTGTTTTTGTCTGGAGTAAATAAATCAGAATATGTTGGAATAGTTAGACCATAACAAGACCTGCTTTGTTAGCAGCTGTACTAGATCTGAGCTGAACATTCTGGCAAGTCAGGACTCAATCAAAAATTTTGTGAAAGAATTAATGTTTCAAATTAATTTCTTTCAGATGTACATCATCAGTATCAGGGTTCATGGTACATTTATGTTACAAAGGAGACTTTACATCAACTTCTTGATTAACCTTTCTTCAACTGGGTCTGATGTAGAATAATTACAATAAATATTACAATGTATATTTTGATATTGGTATTAATTTTCTAAAATATAATAAGCCTCAGTGTTTCATAGAGCTTCATGATGAAAATATTTTAATGAATTTAAGGTAATATACAGTCTCACTAATATGTTTATTTGACTATAGGCTTACTGGTATAATTTATAACAATATAGTTTTAAAGTTGAGATTGTCCTGATTCAAATTTTCATGATATTGTATGAAGGACAATAGCTTAAACACTATTCCACTATTTTTTTTACTAATCATTTTTTGCAAAGTTATTGGCAAACAAATTATTACATTATAATGAAAGTTTCATTAAAACTATTGTAGATATAAGGTAAGAAAAGAACAGGAACAAATATATTAACCAAATAAATAGCATGGCTAACATTGTAAACAATTATTCCATGCAATATTTTTTTTTGCTCTCAACAAAAAGTATATATAATATTTATAGTGCATAAGTAAAACATTTAAAATTACTAAATAATTTTTCATTTTTATTTAAGTGGCCAGATTTTGTTACGTGAATCACAATTTTGTAGGATACATCACAGACATGATTTGGAAATTTTACAACCAAAAAAATGAATGTTCAACTTATCTACATGAATGCTCAACTTATCTACATATCAGTTAAGCTGAACATTCATTCTGTAACATTACCTTGTTACCAAAACGTTGAGAGAAAATTCTCAACAAAAATAGATGAGTTTCAATCAACAAAATAAATTAGGCATTTGAGTGTCATTATAACATTTATCAACCTTAAAATCAGTACATAACTCTCATTTTTTATTATGCAGCATTGAATTTAGATAATAAATTATAAAAATCCTTGTTTGTATGAAAAGTTTGCTATAGCAAGTTATTCATAAAACTATGATGTAGATGCAAGGCCCTGACTGAAAGAAATGAATTGGGATTTTAGTTTCTTCACACATACTTAACCACAAGTTTTAATTCTTAGAGTGTAAATCTTGTGTAAATCTAGTACTTTAACATGGTAAAAATCTTGTGTAAGTCTATAAGGTTAACAAGGTGAAAATCTTAGTAAATTTATTACTTTACACTACTGTACCCATATTACATGGGTTTTTAAATTATGACGGATGAAAACAATTACAAAATTTATTAGTTATTATGTATGACAAACATAAAATAATAGAAATATAATTTTTCAATCTTTGTAATTTTTTAACACCTGCTGTCAGTGTAATGCACCTCTATAGGTATTTATAAACAGCTGATTAAGAGTAGTACAAATTTGGTATTTTTGACCATTAGATACCAGTCTACAGGACATAAATTGCTAGTGCGTTTATTGGAATGTTGAAGCTATTGGACATTTTTTAAATTGAAAAATAATATTTTATCTTAATGCTGATAATCTTATAGAAAAATTGGGACTCCACCAGAAAATTAGACAACCTTGAAAAAATAATGTAGACACAGGCATAAATTATACATATAAATCAGCTTCTCATTAATTTCTTCCTATTCTCATTTATGCTGACTTAGCAATCATAACACAGGAACACTCAATATCTATATGTCATTCAACAAACATCCAACAGAAACACCCAATTTATTTCATGAAGGAAGAAACCTATCACTTTTTAGCAGCTTCAGCTTCTTCCCTGAGAAAAAAAATTAATGGAAATTTGCTTGTAAACATTCAATAATTTTATTTTGAAAGAATGGTTTCGAAAATTTTAAATTCTTCAAGTCTAAATAACAATATAGAATGCAAATGATGATTAAAAATTTGTTTCAATATACTTTACTTCCATTGAAAATTTGAATTTATATGTGTCATTTAATATTTATAGGTCATGATTTCATACCTTTAAAAAAAAAATATGTCTGTAAAGCATTAAAAAATGAAAAAATTTAATAAAACAATTTTGATGCAAACTCAAAGATGTTCTGAATATCTTAGCATTATTACCTGACTTGAGCTTCCTTGCGTTCTATCACAGCCCTCTTCCAGGCAGGCATGTTCTTAAACCTCTCCTCATAGTCTTCTGCCTGCAAGAAGAAGGGGACACAATCAAATCATGATTATGTGCCATAGCAGGCAAATATTACTCTTCATAGGAAGATGCATAAAAAAACCATCACAGCCCTATCTAATGTTTGTTTGAAACAATTTTATTTGGGTGATGGTTTACTATTTCACTGGTATGATGTTTTATCATACATTTTAGTTACCATTTTTATGTGTGATGCTATTAAAGATATTTTTTTGTGGCAAGCTAGCTACATACAATTTTCTTTTCTTCAAATTCCTTCTGGGCTTTCTCTGCTGCATGTTTTGCTAAAACTTGACGTCGCCACTCTGGGATGACCAGACCAGTAGAGTCAACTTTTTCAATTTGATCAAGGAAATTTTTGGGGTCAAATTGTCCAGTTAGAGGCCTATGGTCATTCTGAAGGAAGTGGAATATAATTCATTACTTAAAATATCATTTTGAAAAAAAAAAATAAATAATTGGCAACAAGAATAAAAGCTAAAAAAAAAAATTAAATAGAACAACTTTTTACTCAGAAAATTAAAACATTTTTTAAATTTAAAATATTCAATGAGAAATGAAATGAAAAAGATGTAAACCAAGCTTGAAAGAAGATCACTAATTCTATAAATATACTTATAAATAGACTACTATTTCGATGACAATTTTCCTAAAATGTATTTATTAATATGCGATTGATTAATCCTTTACTCTTATAATCATTTCCCCTCTCTTTGTCTAACAAATCAATGACCAATTCCCATGTAAGTTCCAAATTACCTTAGCTTCTACTGAGGTTGTCCCCCCTTTCTTGGACTGGTACACCATGCTCACCCCCTCACCACGGCTTTTAGCTCGTCTCAAAGAAAGATTGGATGAACCACTCACCGCTGACTGAATATCTGTCAACAATTACAATTAGCAATCTAAGTAGCACTGACGAATAATGCACTGCACATTGAGTAAACTTAAAACCTGCACTTCACTATAAATCATTCTCAGTGTACTTAACAGAAAATATGGCTTACTGAGTGTTTAGATGTAGAAAAATATTCCTGGTTATCTTAAAACTGTAAAAAATTCTTTTAAAAAAAGTATGAGAATTATTTTTCATCAAATTTTGAAATTTTAGACAATGAATAATGATGCATAAGTTTGTGTGAGGTAATTAATCAAAACTGAAATAATGCAACTTTTCTTTAAAAATAAACAGTAAAAATGTGGATTACAAATAAATGTATTCTATCAATGAGCCAACATTTTCCAAATAACTCAATGATATATATATATATACTCAATGTTTGCTAACACTGACAAAGTTTAAAGACAAATTCATAATTTGACAGAGAATTCTTTCTTCAGCTCACAATGTTATAATAATATTGTATTTTTATTAAAATATTTGTTTAATGCATTTAGTATGCATAGCAAAAATAAGAACTGCATAACTTCTAAATGAAAGGGTCATTTACTAGATGTGCTTTGTTGATAAATAATGTTACACATTTGCTTTTTTAAAATATAATAATAACAAAAAAAAAAAAAAAACACATCTAAAATGCAAGTCACCAGCAATGAGGTCATGCTTGTTCTCCCCTGGACTGCGAGGCTGGGAGCTAATGGAAGAACTACTTGAACTTCGTGAGTATCCCCTGGGTGATCTGTGCAAGATTAGTAAAAAACAAAGTCAGTATTGGTCAATGTCTGTCTGCCCTATAGGTTGGTTGGTATGATGATTAGATTTAGTTAAATAACTAAGTGAAACCTGTCAAATTGGATAAAAGATGACTTTTTACAAATGAAACTAGTTGAAATATTGCATCCTTTTGCCTAATTTCAAAGTGTTTGTGAGTAAAAACAAAACAGAGAAAAACATCAAATATTTCAAGATTTGGCCTCAATTACAACAGAGCCAAGTGTGTACATAACTTATATGCAGAAGGCAATACATGGAAGAAATACAGGAAAGAAATATAAGAAGGCCATACAGCCAAGCAACGGAAGATGGCTTTAAAGAGAGGCAACACAAAAAGGCCTTGAGAGACAATGCAAGGATACAATACAATACAAGGTGACATTAGAGAGAGGAAATACATAACGGTAAAAAATGGAGGCAATACAGGGTTTCATAACAGAGAGGCATTCAAGATGGTAACTTTGAGAAAGCACTTACTTGATACCATCCAAATCCTTAGTTCCATTGATGTCCAAACTAGTGGCAACTGATGCAGGGCGCACCATGGATGGCATTTTTTGGTGGGACACAGATGAACCCTCTCCACGGCCATTGGCAACTGGAGCTGGTGCTGGGGATTCTTGAAGCTGACCAGAGTTCCTCCTCATTCTTAATTCTTTCATCATTGCTGATACATTGTCACTGGGTGAGGGGGATTGCAGCGGCCTAGATTTACCTTGAGTGGTCAGCTCCGGGCCACCTGAGAGAGGTCGAGGTCCATTTCTAGAAATGTTATCAACATCATCAACATCCCCAGACTTACTGCCGGTGGAAATGATGGTCACATGACCTCCATGAATATTAACAACTGATTTTGAACTGTCAGCCAGTGATCCATTTGTTCCATTTTGAGGAAGATTTGTCTTTTCAACATCACTGGGAAGGGGAGGGGGTGGAGGCGGCATCGTCGATGCCTCAGAGTCCATTTTAGAGAGAGGAGCCTTTGACTGCTTTGATGTGTAGAGCTGCTGCTCGTCTGTAGTGCAGATTTCACCACTGTCTGGGCAGATATGGGTCTGCTTGACGGCACCTCCCTCCTGGAACAATGCCTTGACTTTGGCAAAGCTTGTTTTAGTCCCAGTGTTAAAATCTTGCCTGTACTGTGTGGAATAGTGGGGTCTTCGTATCTTCGCTACACTTTCATCTTCTGTATTTCTGGCTTTGACAGTGTTGACTATTTCAGATGATACCTTAGCGCTTACAGCAGTATTTGAAATGTGATTTTGAATGGGGGCAGACTTGCTTGCCAAAGATTCAGCCGAGGAAGCCTGTTGTTGGGTGGGTTGTGCTGATGCTGACTTTCCTTGTTTGCTGTAGATATTGACAACCCTTGGAGATTTTTCACCAATCAGTGAAACTCTGTTCAATGACCTGATGTTGCTTCTGTGATTGCTTTGATGGCTTTCTGGCTGCTGTGACAATGATGAATTGCTGCTGGCTGTAGATAGGATGGTGTCCTGTGTTGTGTTATGGCTGCCTGTGCTGATGAGGCTGATGTAGCTGCCTGGCCTTGAACTGGGTGTGTTGTGAACATCTGCTTTCACTGTAAGCGTCAAAATCAATAATCAATCAAAACAATAAATGTCACAATTTGATAGGCTAACAGATGAAGTCATTTTCTCACACTTAAAGATTTTAGCTTTTTAGTTTTACTACATGGGGATATTCCATCTTGGGGTGCTTGAAATGTTGTTATATTGAATGAGTGGTGATATTCCATCTTGGGGTCATCTATTTATTACAGATGGACGATGTAATGTGACAATTTTATAGGAAGTCCATCAACTTGCAGTGACAGCAGAAGAGAAAGATTATGTAAAGGGGACATACTTAAGTAAAGGGGGAAATACTTAAGTAAAGGGCAAAGACTTAGGACATTATACACTAAGTACCTCCCCAACCTTTCGTGTAAGCTAAGAATAGTTTTACAATACTGTGTGCCTCTCTGCATCTTTCCCAAGAGGGAAATGGGGCAGCACACATTGTAGGGACATAAAGAGCTTACCCTTAGGTTCACTCACGTTGTTTTGTTGCTGATACCATCACCATGGAGACCGGTTAAGAGAACACCCTATATACAACATAAACAAACAAGCCTTTCGTCCAGTTTAGAAACATTTCAAAGTGCTAATGACAATGGACTTTCGGAGATTGCAGAAATAGGATATTGTAAGCTAGAAGTACACCTGATAAATTTACAAGTTTACATGGCGCAATGGGGTTACTTGTTTGGATGTTATATTGTAATTGAGCCCATTTCCCAGCCGCCCTCCCCTCCCATTCTGATCTTCATTTTCATAAGAGACAGGAGCCCTTTTTTCTTTCATTTTTTAAAAGTAATAGGTGAGACTTACATTTATTTAAAGTAATAGGTGAGACTTACATTTATTTAAAGTAATAGGTGAGACTTACATTTATTTAAAGTAATAGGTGAGGCTTACATTTATTTAAAGTAATAGGTGAGGCTTACATTTATTTAAAGTAATAGGTGAGGCTTACATTTATTTATAGTAATAGGTGAGACTTACATTTATTTAAAGTCTCACCTATACTTACATTTATTTATAGTAATAGGTGAGACTTACATTTATATATAGTAATTGGTGAGACTTACATTTATTTAAAGTAAAAGGTGAGACTTACATTTATTTATAGTAATAGGTGAGACTTACATTTATTTATAGTAATTGGTGAGACTTACATTTATATATAGTAATAGGTGAGACTTACATTTATTTAAAGTAATAGGTGAGACTTACATTTATTTATAGTAATAGGTGAGACTTACATTTACTTATAGTAATAGGTGAGACTTAAATTTATTTATAGTAATAGGTGAGACTTACATTTATATATAGTAATAGGTGAGATTTACATTTATTTAAAGTAATAGGTGAGACTTACATTTATTTATAGTAATGGGTGAGACTTACATTTAGCTTTATAAAATGTAATTGACATTTTAATGTTATCTGTTATAACATTGAACTGAAGAAGGCATCAGCCAAAATATTGACATTTCTATTTGGTCTTTTAATTAAAGCTTACAAGGATTTTTTTATTGACACCAATAGTTTGTGTGTCATGTCCCCAATACATGTTTAGTGGCTTCAATGCTAACATGTTTATTTGCCCAATCTCCACTAGGTGTATCAGTGCTTTCCATGGTAACATGTTTATTTGCCCAATCTCCACTAGGTGTATCAGTGCTTTAAATGGTAACATGTTTATTTGCCCAATCTCCACTAGGTGTATCAGTGCTTTCCATGGTAACATATTTATTTGCCCAATCTCCACTAGGTGTATCAGTGCTTTCAATGGTAACATGTTTATTTGCCCAATCTCCACTAGGTGTATCAGTGCTTTAAATGGTAACATGTTTATTTGCCCAATCTCCACTAGGTGTATCAGTGCCTTCCATGGTAACATGTTTATTTGCCCAATCTCCACTTGGTGTATCAGTGCTTCCATGGTAACATATTTATTTTCCCAATCTCCACTAGGTGTATCAGTGCTTTAAAGGGTAACATGTTTATTTGCCCAATCTCCACTAGGTGTATCAGTGCTTTCCATGGTAACATGTTTATTTGCCCAATCTCCACTTGGTGTATCAGTGCTTCCATGGTAACATATTTATTTGCCCAATCTCCACTAGGTGTATCAGTGCTTTCAATGGTAACATGTTTATTTGCCCAATCTCCACTAGGTGTATCAGTGCTTTCAATGGTAACATATTTATTTGCCCAATCTCCACTAGGTGTATCAGTGCTTCCATGGTAACATGTTTATTTGCCCAATATGCACTAGGTGTATCAGTGCTTTCCATGGTAACATGTTTATTTGCCCAATCTCCACTAGGTGTATCAGTGCCTTCCATGGTAACATATTTATTTGCCCAATCTCCACTAGGTGTATCAGTGCCTTCCATGGTAACTTGTTTATTTGCCCAATCTCCTCTAGGTGTATCAGTGCTTCCATGGTAACTTGTTTATTTGCCCAATCTCCACTAGGTGTATCAGTGCTTTCCATGGTAACTTGTTTATTTGCCCAATCTCCACTAGGTGTATCAGTGCCTTCCATGGTAACTTGTTTCTTTGCCCAATCTCCACTAGGTGTATCAGTGCTTTCCATGGTAACATATTTATTTGCCCAATCTCCACTAGGTGTATCAGTGCTTTCAATGGTAACATGTTTATTTGCCCAATCTCCACTAGGTGTATCAGTGCTTTCCATGGTAACATGTTTATTTGCCCAATCTCCACTTGGTGTATCAGTGCTTCCACGGTAACATGTTTATTTGCCCAATCTCCACTTGGTGTATCAGTGCTTCCATGGTAACATATTTTTTTGCCCAATCTCCACTAGGTGTATCAGTGCTTTCAATGGTAACATGTTTATTTGCCCAATCTGCACTAGGTGTATCAGTGCTTTCCATGGTAACATGTTTATTTGCCCAATCTCCACTAGGTGTATCAGTGCCTTCCATGGTAACTTGTTTCTTTGCCCAATCTCCACTAGGTGTAACAGTACCTTCCATGGTAACTTGTTTATTTTCCCAATCTCCACTAGGTGTATCAGTGCCTTCCATGGCAACATGCCCAATCTGATTGACCAACATTTTTAAAATGAGTAAGAAACTGAAAATAGAAATGAACCTACCAATGTGAATAATTGCCCCTTGCTGTTGTTCAAACACACCAAAATTGGATGCAGTCGAATCAACTGAAATATCCAAACAAACAGAATTATGCTCCAGTTTGAGAACAACTGGTACCAATAACAAAAATCATCTTCAAGAACTGCTCTTTATTATAAAATATATGGGATGACATTAAGCATCTTATAAATGATATCTGATAACTCTATCACACAGCATAAGGAAATTATGGAAGTACTTAATATTAAAAATAAAGTCATATCAATTAGATCTATGACTACTGGTTAAGTCTTATCAATTATCTATGTGACTGCAGGTACAGTCATAAACTGAAGCAAAAAAGTAAGTCTGCCCATAAACCCTAGGTTACTTTACATGAATTTTTTAATAAATTACAGCACATACTTTACTTTACTAATGTCTATCTCACAAAAAAATCATAAATTTATGACATAACACATCATAAATGTATCTCATAACACATCATAGATGTATCACATAACACATTATAAATGTATCCTACACACATCATAAATGTATCACATAGCACATCATAAATGTATCCTACACACATCATAAATGTATCCTACACACATCATAAATGTGTCACATAGCACATCATCAATGTATCACATAACACAACATAAATGTATGACACCTTTTAAATCCATGGTGTCTAAACCATTAAGATGACACAATGTTACTATCTAACTGAATGCAGTGCAGATAGAACACATCACATAGAAGATAACAATTTTTTCTGGTCTGATATTATCATTGTTTCAGTCCCTCTAGTGACTAGTGCCTCTGTCACATTTAGGGATTGCATACAAAACACACACTCAACATTGGCAGCATCACAACTACAAACACTGCTATTTCAGGGTGTAAGATTGAAAAGACAATCATTCTTGTCATAATGGCCTGTGACTTCTCAGATTTAAGACTCAAAGATTTTGTTTCTCTTTATCATGAAAAACCCCTCTGTTGGGATGAGCAGATGGCTGAATCTCAGGACATAAATTGTCTTACCTGAAGACTGCATTTTTACAATCACTACATACACACTGATAGACCAGCCACTTCATACACACTGATAGGTCAAACAGTAACAACTCACTACATACAGACTGACAGGTAAATATGTTACAACCCACTCCATACACACTGATAGGTCAGTACGAGACAATCCCCTACAAACACAATGATAGGTCAGTACAAGACAACCCACTCCAAACACACTGATAGGTCAGTACAAGACAATCCACTCCAAACACACTGATAGGTCAGTACAAGACAACCCACTCCAAACACACTGATAGGTCAGTACAAGACAATCCACTACAGACACACTGATAGGTCAGTACAAGACAATCCACTACATACACACTGACATTGATAGGTCAGTACAATAAAACTATGTTTTTAAAACTAGCATTTAAAGGAGTTTATAGAGGGACACAGACAATACAAACCTCAGGCCTGTAACAACACTACAGTCTCTTTTCACTTCCTCATTTCTCTGTACAACCAAATTTGTTATCTATGAGGACTTGATAATCTTTTCATCAACTTATTTTACCTGGGACCATAATCTTTTCATGTTAACACAATAACAATGTTGATTTTGTTAATTGTAGGGCTGACAATGATTTATTGGGTACAACTGATTTATTTTGTTACTATTGACATACTTTCCAAAAAAGTCTTACTATACGATTATGTATTTGTTAGAAATAATTCTATCTTTAAATGCTAGTTCTGGTGCTTAGTTATCATCAAGTTTGTAACCTGGTTAAATTGGTAATCAGTATGGTACCAGACAAACATACATGAGACTCATAGCCAAAGTAGATATGGTTCATCACAAGGAGATAGACCAAGGTACTTGATGACATCAGAGCGAAATTGATGTAAACTAGACACCTATCAAGAAAAGCAACACAGCTGGTAACAGTGAAACATTCCGCAAAACATGCCGGATGCCAGTCTGTCACATTGAAAAGGATTCTGAAGGCAATGTGATGATAGTACTTTTGATCCTAAGTAAAGTAGTACAGACCCTAGCCAACTAACTGTTCCAAGAGTCGCAGTGTGGCTTCAAAGGTGGATTGTTAATTGTAGTCACGGTGATCTTGCTACACCAGTAGAAGGATAAGGATAGTTGGTGCCAATAGTAGTAACCCCACTAGATTGCTGTCATGGACCTGGCATACACATTTGCCTTGGAAAGCCCGAGTGAAGTTTTCAGATAAAATGTCAGTGAATGCCAGAGTATGACTGATGACATTTCTGGTTGATGACCAGTGTCAGTGAATGGCAGAGTATGACTGATGATATCCCTGGCTGATGTCCAGTGTCAGTGAATGGCAGAGTATGACTGATGATATCCCTGGATGATGACCAGTGAGTGAATGGCAGATATGACTGATAACATTCCTGACTGATGACCAGTGTGAGTGAATGGCAGAGTATGACTGATGATATCCCTGGCTGATGACCAGTGTCAGTGAATGGCAGAGTATGACTGATGATATTCCTGGCTGATTGTGAGGCATGCTGAGGATGTGCTAATAAGAACCTATAAAAATAGAGCCAAACATAAGGTCAAAGACTAAGAATCTATAGGTTCTTAGCACAGACTGCTACAGTATTACAAGTCAGCCATAAAGACTACACCAAGAAGCTACATCATCATGTCGTGATACAGACAATATACATGGTCGTGATACAGACAATATACTTGGTCGTGATACAGACAATATACATGGTCACCACCATTAGAATGGAACATACATATGGTTGTGCTGATGACATATGTTACCTGATACTCTTAAAGTCATACATATGGTAGTGCCAATGATATATCTAACCTGATACTCTTAAAGTCATACATTAGCAGAGCAGATGACATATCTAACCTGATACTCTTAAAGTCATAAATTAGTAAGAGCAGGTGACATATTTTACCTCATACTCTTGAAGTCCTACATATGGTAGAGCAGGTGACATATCTTACCTGATACCCTTGAAGTCATACATTAGCAGAGCAGATGACATATCTTACCTGATACCCTTGAAGTCATACATTAGTAAGAGCAGGTGACATATCTTACATGATACTCTTGAAGTCCTACATATGGTAGAGCAGGTGACATATCTTACCTCATACTCTTGAAGTCCTACATATGGTAGAGCAGGTGACATATCTTACCTCATACTCTTGAAGTCCTACATATGGTAGAGCAGGTGACATATCTTACCTGATACTCTTGAAGTCCTACATATGGTAGAGCAGGTGACATATCTTACCTCATACTCTTGAAGTCCTACATATGGTAGAGCAGGTGACATATCTTACATGATACTCTTGAAGTCCTACATATGGTAGAGCAGGTGACATATCTTACCTCATACTCTTGAAGTCCTACATATGGTAGAGCAGGTGACATATCTTACCTGATACTCTTGAAGTCCTACATATGGTAGAGCAGGTGACATAGCTCACCTGATATTCTTGAAGTCCTACATATGGTAGAGCAGGTGACATAGCTCACCTGATATTCTTAAAGTCCTACATATGGAAGAGCAGGTGACATAGCTCACCTGATACTTTTGAAGTCCTACATATGGTAGAGCAGGTGACATAGCTCACCTGATATTCTTGTAGTCCTACATATGGTAGAGCAGGTGACATATCTCACCTGATACTCTTGAAGGACTTCTGTGGAAGGTCTCTCTTGCAGTGTTTGTGCCTGTGTCCCTGTTATTGCTTGGGGGGCTTGAGACTAAACTTGTGATAGTTTCTTGGTCTTCTTCATTGATTGGAGTAGGGGGTGATATGGGTGAGCCGATTGTGGAAGGGGTCGATGTGGGTGGAGAGAGGGGCAGAGGAGGGGGTGGTAGCGGTGGAGATGTAGCTCCGAATCTGGTATTGGTGCTTGCTGTGGTAGTGACGGCCCCCGAATCTTCAGGGGGAAATGGTGGGGGTGGTGGGAAGTTCAAGTGTGGAGAGCGAAGGTGATGTATTCGATGGATCTGAAAGAAAACAATTTTTACAATAATATTTAACTCTATTTTTAAGTTATATTTAGCAACAGTAACTGCTAAATGCTGTGTTATGTTTATTGCAATATAAAAGAGCAGGACAACAAAAAAGCAAGAAAAATACCATAAACACTTTTAAGATTAATTATTAAACAAGTGTTATCAAAATCACCTTGATATTTATACCTAAAAAACAGCTTGAATAAAAATGTGGACATTTTCCAAAGCCCAACATAAATATCTAGACTTGCTAATCCTTCCCCAATACCAAACAATCCTATTCTGGACATCATATACTGGACTTTTCAAAGTCAATATCTACTTAAATTAAATATTCCTTGCCTCCTGCTGGAAGTTTTAGTTAAGTAAATTCTGTTTTCCAAACACAATAGAAATATAGAATGAAAATCCAACCTTTTCAGCACTTGATGAATGTGGGACATGGCTCAATTGGTCAGCAGTTATTTCCCCTCTAATAAGAGCAGCTAACTCTTTTTCATTACATTTGTCTGCAAGATCTGCAGCAGTCAACCCCTCGTTGTCAACAAGTATGACATCACACCCTGCTTTTAACAGTGTCACTACAGTCTGCAACAAGAACAAAACATTTTGATAACTCAGGAAAAGTCTGATCATAAAAAGTCTGATCATGAAGTTGTTTTTGAATATAACATTTAAAAAACCCCAATAAAATATGGCATCTCAACTACTGCATCCTGCAGTCTACTCAGTACCATGCAAAGTTTACCTTGCAGTTATTCAGTACGCTGCAGTCATTTAGTACCATGCAAAGTTTACCTGGCCGTCGTTCAGTACCATGCAAAGTTTACCTGGCGGACATTCAGCACCATGCAAAGTTTACCTGGCCATCGTTCAGTACCATGCAAAGTTTACCTGGCCATCGTTCAGTACCATGCAAAGTTTACCTGGCCGTCGTTCAGTATCATGCAAAGTTTACCTGGCCGTCATTCAGTACCATGCAAAGTTTAAATTGCCGTCTTTCAGTATCATGCAAAGTTTACCTGGCCGTCATTCAGTACCATGCAAAGTTTACCTGGCCGTCATTCAGTACCATGCAAAATTTACCTGGCCATCATTCAGTACCATGCAAAGTTTACCTGGCCGTCAATTCAGTACCATGCAAAGTTTAAATTGCCGTCTTTCAGTATCATGCAAAGTTTACCTGTCCGTCGTTCAGTACCATGCAAAGTTTACCTGGCCGTACCTGGCCATCATTCAGTACCATGCAAAGTTTACCTGGCCGTCATTCAGTACCATGCAAAGTTTACCTGGCCGTCATTCAGTACCATGCAAAGTTTAAATTGCCGTCTTTCAGTATCATACAAAGTTTACCTGGTTGTCATTCAGTATCATGCAAAGTTTACCTGGCCGTCGTTCAGTATCATGCAAAGCCAAAACTCATGATACATACATGAAATTATAGATTTATTATAAGGGCTGTATGAAGCCTTAGTTTATTATATAATCTATATATCAAATGATAAAAGGATGCTCTCCCTCTTGATAGTTTACAATTATGTAGAGTTTCAATTTATACTCATAGTCTCATCAAACTCAATAGACTTTGAGAGTTCAGGTGCTGGGTGGCCGAGCGGTCTAAACTGTCTCAAACCAAAAAGCCGGTGGTTCGGAGCTCAATCCCCACCAAAACCATCCCAAGCACCCCGGGTGGATGGGACTCGTTAGCCTTGGACGGCAACCCATCTAAGAGAAGGCAAACTCTGAATTTAAACCAGGAGCCAGAATGATCAACAAATTGATCGTGGGCCCCTCAAATATAAGAAAAAAAAAAAAAAAAAGGTCACCCATATGCTCAGAAACTTCTTACAAAATCTAAATGATTACTTCTAATTGAGTCATTACTGTCACCAAGGGAGTGAAGTTTTAGGGTAATATGGCTGATTTTTATGTTTGAGAAATACTTCATTCAAGAATTCAATGTGGCAACACTCTGACATACTGACCGCACTCAAGACTTCAATGTGACAACACTCTGACATACTGACCGCACTCAAGACTTCAATGTGACAACACTCTGACATACTGACCGCACTCAAGACTTCAATGTGACAACACTCTGACATACTGACCGCACTCAAGACTTCAATGTGACAACACTCTGACATACTGACCGCACTCAAGACCTCAATGTGACAACACTCTGACATACTGACTGCACTCAAGACTTCAATGTGACAACACTCTGACATACTGACCGCACTCAAGACTTCAATGTGACAACACTCTGACATACTGACTGCACTCAAGACTTCGATGTGACAACACTCTGACATATTGACTGCACTCAAGACTTCAATGTGACAACACTCTGACATACTGACTACACTCAAGACTTCATTGTGACAACACTCTGACATACTGGATGCACTCAAGACTTCATTGTGACAACACTCTGACTGCACTCAAGACTTCATTGTGACAACACTGTGACTGCACTCAAGACTTCATTGGGACCTACTTGAGAATGAGAAGTTTAGCTTGACTCATGGCTCAGTGAGTACAACAAAGAAAGCAATAAGGAACTATTCACTACAGAGACTGATAGTGATCAGTCTTGGGGGAGGGGGGGATCCAATTTTCAGCCACAGTCTGAAAAATATACCCAAGTGTACCAAATCAACGAAAGAAATGTCAAGTCTATGAAAACGATGCCAAGTCTATGAAGGCAGTGTCAAGTCTTTGAAAGCAATGCCATGTCTATAAAAAAGATGTACAAGCGAATCTGCTGTCTATATTACTTCTAAAGTGCAGTCCTACCTGATGAAATATCAAAAGTATTGAAAATAAAAGCCAGATTTTGAGGCAAAAAATACAAATATAAGATTGAACACTATTGATTTCAATGATTTTAAGAGCAATCCTACGAGTCAACATTTAACTATGTATGCTCACTTAAATATACTGGCAAATTGAAGGAAGGTTGTCTTAGTCCCTTATTAAAACCAACAACTTCTAACACTTGATATCGACACTGTCTCTCCTAAACATCTATGAGCCACACAATAACCCATAGTACTGCCTATCTTGGAGAGATGACATTTGGATTGACCTCAACCTTACACCGTCATGGGTTTTCTTCTTTGACAAAATGATCCACGCGCCTCCCCAGCCAAGGTTAAACACCGTGCTATCAATGCCCTGGGCTTGGTCCAGTGGATACCCGCCATTGACATGGTCAATCAACCAGAGAATTATTCATTTTGTGCGGTACTAGTCAGTGGCGTCACAAGGGGGTGCGCGGGGAGGATGCGGACAGCACCGGGTGACAACCTCACAAGGGAGGGAATAACACCCCTATAGGGAGGCTGACTTGCCAACTAGAAAAAAAACAACTTATAACAACTTAAATTTACCGACAAATATTATAAATTGTATATTTTTTAGTAGACATTTTAAAAAATTAACCGACAAAGCTAACCCCCAACACCCCCCGCCCCCCCCAAAAAAAAATAAAAAATAAAAAATAACAACAACCCAATTGAACATGATGATGTTTCCATAATTATGTCGGTATGACTCATGTGTGAGGGTGTGTTGTACCTTATTTTATGGTGAGGCATTCTTAATCAGTGCTGAATTTATGTTGAATATGACTCAACAAGTTTCAAGCAATTAAGAAACATTTTAATAATTGAGATATCCCCCACTTTGGGGTCAAGAAAAGGTGAGTTCAAAGTCTCATTTTTGACTGGACATTCTAACATTCTAAAGGATACTTACGAATAAGTCATTACAGGTCAACATTTGACTAACTGCTCATCAATTTAAATTTGGTTGGCAGCCCAATGGAAAATGAACATTTGAAAGTGTTCACTTCAGTAGGTTTCATAATGGAACACAGTTACATATAAGAACTGAGAAGGGTAACAACTGAGCAGGGTGACAACTGAGCAGGGTAACAACTGAGCCGGGTGATAACTGAGCAGGGTAACAACTGAGCAGGGTGACAACTGAGCAAGGTAACAACTGAGCCGGGTGACAACTGAGCAGGATGACAACTGAAACGGTGACAACTGAGCAGGGTGACAACTGAGCAGGATGACAACTGAAACGGTGACAACTGAGCAGGGTGACAAATGAGCAGGATGACAACTGAAACGGTGACAACTGAGCAGGATGACAACTGAAACGGTGACAACTGAGCAGGGTGACAACTGAGCAGGATGACAACTGAAACGGTGACAACTGAGCAGGGTGACAACTGAGCAGGATGACAACTGAAACGGTGACAACTGAGCAGGGTGACAACTGAGCAGGATGACAACTGAAACGGTGACAACTGAGCAGGGTGACAACTGAGCAGGATGACAACTGAAACGGTGACAACTGAGCAGGGTGACAACTGAGAAGGATGACAACTGAAACGGTGACAGCTGAGCAGGGTGACAACTGAGCAGGGTGACAACTGAGCAGGGTGACAACTGAGCAGGGTTACAACTGAGCAGGGTTACAACTGAGCATGATGACAACTGAGCAGGATGACAACTGAGCTGGATGACAACTGAGCCGGGTGCCAACTGAGCCAGGTGACAACTGAGCAAGATGACAACTGAGCGGAATGACAACTGAGCGGGATGACTACTGAGCGGGATGACAACTGAGCAGGATGACAACTGAGCAGGATGACAATTGAGCAGGATGACAAGTGAGCCAGGTGACAACTGAGCAGGATGACAAGTGAGCCAGGTGACAACTGAGCAGGATGAGAACTGAGCAGGATGACAACTGAGCCAGGTGACAACTGAGCGGGATGACAACTGAGCAAGATGACAACTGAGCAGCTTTCTCAATCCTCTCAGCCAACAATGACAGTAGTCACCAAATGGAGCAGTACTGAAACGTCCACATCTTGAAGGCGTACGTGGGTTTGTCAACGGTGTACAGCGTGTTCCCAGTAGTCAAAAGGAATAAAAGTTGGGTGCTTGGAAACTCCACAGTTGCAAAAATAGTTCATGTTATTTTTGCTGATACGTAAGTTGTCGTGAACAGAGAGTATGATAAAGTTGCAGAGCAAAGTTCCAAATTTTTACATTTGAAAAAATTAAATACATTTCTGACGGCCAGAAAGGGAACAGGGGAACTCATTAAGATTTAATATAAACCTTTTTAATGAGACGTAGCTCTTCTATTATTTATGCATTTAAGCGAACTAATTTATTAATCAGTTAGAAATGGAAGTATTTAGCATGACACTTCCGTGGTTGAGTTAGTAAAAACTTGTCCATAAAATCGAATATTGATCTCTTCCAGGACCCACACACCTTTTCAGGACCTACACATCCTTCCAGGACCCACACATTCTTCCAGGACCCACAAATCCTTCCAGGACCCACACATCCTTCCAGGACCCACACATCCTTCCAGGACCCACACATCCTTCCAAGACCCACACATCCTTCCAGGACCCACACATCCTTCCAAGACCCACACATCCTTCCAGGACCCACACATCCTTCCCATGTCTCTCTTCAAGTCATTATAAATGTCAGTCCCACGCTCCTACCAATGTCTTACCAAAGCGCATGCAACATTGTAATAAATCTTAAGAGATGGCCATTGAGGTCTGACCACCTTGAGCTCATAATGAACTATTATCAATATCAAAAATGTTCATAATCCAAGAACATGTATCGACATAATCCCAGACCATTAGATGGACATAATCCCAGACCATAGATCAGTGGTTCTCAACCTTTGTATTCCCGATCCTTTAATAGAGTTCCTAATGGTGTGGCGACCCCGAGCCACAAAATTATTTTCATTGCTACTTCATAAATGTAGAGCATATGTGTTTTCAGATGGTCTGAGGCGACCCCCTGGAAAGGGTCGTGCGACCCCCAAAGGAGTCGCGACCCACATGTTGAGAACCGCTGCCATAGATGGACATAATCCCAGACCATAGATGGACATAATCCCAGACCATAGATGGACATAATCCCAGAACATAGATGGACATAATCCCAGACCATAAGTGTTGTGGCAAACATACATCTTTAACTGATGCAAGCAAAGTATCTAGAACTGCTGACGTCATTTAGTCAGCTCAGTAGGAAAAAGTCACGGGCTAACACGACGCTGTCACAAGAGAAAGGGAGGGGTGGTGTGGGGCTAACAGAACGCTGTCACAAGAGAAAGGGAGGGATGGGTGTGGGGATAACAGGACGCTGTCACAAGAGAAAGGGAGGGATGGGTGTGGGGATAACAGGACGCTGTCACAAGAGAAAGGGAGGGGTGGTGTGGGGCTAACAGGACGCTGTCACAAGAGAAAGGGAGGGGGGGGTGTGGGGATAACAGGACGCTGTCACAAGAGAAAGGGAGGGATGGGTGTGGGGATAACAGGACGCTGTCACAAGAGAAAGGGAGGGGTGGTGTGGGGCTAACAGGACGCTGTCACAAGAGAAAAGGAGGGTGGGTGGGGGGCTAACAGGACGCTGTCACCAGAGAATGGGAGGGTGGGTGTGGGGCTAACAAGACGCTGTTACAAGAGAAAGGGAGGGGTGGGTGTGGGGGTAACAAGACGCTGTTACAAGAGAAAGGGAGGGATGGGTGTGGGGCTAACAAGACGCTGTCACAAGAGAAAGGGAGGGGTGGGTGTGGGGCTAACAAGACGCTGTTACAAGAGAAAGGGAGGGGTGGGTGTGGGGCTAACAAGACGCTGTTACAAGAGAAAGGGAGGGGTGGGTGTGGGGCTAACAAGACGCTGTTACAAGAGAAAGGGAGGGATGGGTGTGGGGCTAACAAGACGCTGTTACAAGAGAAAGGGAGGGGTGGGTGTGGGGCTAACAAGACGCTGTTACAAGAGAAAGGGAGGGATGGGTGTGGGGCTAACAAGACGCTGTTACAAGAGAAAGGGAGGGATGGGTGTGGGGCTAACAAGACGCTGTTACAAGAGAAAGGGAGGGGTGGGTGTGGGGCTAACAAGACGCTGTTACAAGAGAAAGGGAGGGGTGGTGTGGGGCTAAAAGGACGCTATCCACAAGAGAAAGGGAGGGGTGGTGTGGGGCTAACAGGACACTAAGAGGATTGAGACTGAGACCAGGGAGTTAATGAAGGACAGCAAAGATTGCTGTCATTGGTGGGGAGGTTAACATAGCACTCTATCGTTTCATTGCTCTGTAAGAGATGACTGATAGATGCCAGGATAACAGAACTGTCACAGAACACTCGTATATTACCGACGAATTGTCAGAACAGAACTGATACTGCTTACTGATAGAAACGGATCAAACTGCTTCATCACAATGATATACTGCCCGTTATTCATCATGTTTATTTATAGACCATCATTTCATGACTTTTTTTTTTTAACTTAAACCTTTTAACCTATGTTGTTCATTTTCCATTGATGTGTTTCAAAGATTTCGTTGATGTGTTTCACAGATTGCGTTAATGTGTTTCACAGATTTCGTTGATGTGTTTCACAGATTTCGTTGATGTGTTTCACAGATTTCGTTGATGTGTTTCACAGATTGCGTTGATGTGATTCTCAATTTTCTTTGATGTGTTTTACAGATTTCAGTTTGTGAAGAAAATGTCCACTTGCATCCTTCACCTTTTAGTTCCAGGTGAACATTCTAAAACAAAACTGGGGATCGTAGAGAATGGCTAGAAATGTAAACAAATTAATCCCAAGTACAATACGAATACATCATCCTGTGCCCCAAACATCATTCGGTATTGTAGGGAGTTTTGTCACTTTTCCTGTCATATTTATATAAAACCAGCACATTCATACAGGCTCAAATGAGGTCTCAGGTATATAAAACATAACAAGACCAACGAGACAAAAGATGTGTCGCCTGGTTAGGGAAGGTGACACAGTTACATGAAGGCAAATGAAATCAAACACTACACACACAGTCAAAGAAAGAAGTCTCAGTGGAGTTGACTTACTTCATGGAACCGTTTTCTAAACATGTATATTCATGCTTACGATCTACATCCTCCTTCAACTTGCAATCTACATCCTCCTTCAACTTGAAATCTATATCCTCCTTCAACTTGCAATCTATATCCTCCTTCAACTTGCAATCTATATCCTCCTTCAACTTGCAATCTATATCCTCCTTCAACTTGCAATCTACATCCTCCTTCAACTTTCAATCTACATCCTCCTTCAACTTGCAATCTATATCCTCCTTCAACTTGCAATCTATATCCTCCTTCAACTTGCAATCTATATCCTTCTTCAACTTGCAATCTATATCCTTCTTCAACTTGCAATCTATATCCTCCTTCAACTTGCAATCTATATCCTCCTTCAACTTGCAATCTATATCCTTCTTCAACTTGCAATCTATACCCTTCTTCAACTTGCAATCTATATCCTCCTTCAACTTGCAATCTATATCCTCCTTCAACTTGCAATCTATATCCTCCTTCAACTTGAAATCTATATCCTCCTTCAACTGCAATCTACATCCTCCTTCAACTTGCAATCTATATCCTCCTTCAACTTGCAATCTATATCCTCCTTCAACTAGCAATCTATATCCTTCTTCAACTTGCAATCTACATCCTCCTTCAACTTGCAATCTATATCCTCCTTCAACTTGCAATCTATATCCTCCTTCAACTTGCAATCTATATCCTCCTTCAACTTGCAATCTATATCCTCCTTCAACTAGCAATCTATATCCTTCTTCAACTTGCAATCTATATCCTCCTTCAACTTGCAATCTATATCCTCCTTCAACTTGCAATCTATATCCTCCTTCAACTTGCAATCTACATCCTCCTTCAACTTGCAATCTATATCCTTCACCTTACAATAGAGTAGAGACCGACCGAAAGTGATTTTCTGATTTCAACCGAAGCCGAAAATAGGCCGAAAGTTTAAAATGACTTTCGGACGAAACCGAAAAAAGGCCGAAAGTTAAAAATGACTTTCGGCCGAAACCGAAGCCGAAATATTTAGATATTTTTAAATTCGTTCCCGCATACATTTTGCACACATCGAAAATGATGGGGAAAAGTATAAATATTTACATTCTTTTTATTAAAAAATGAGATAATCGTGAATATTAATAAATAAACATCTAATATAACATCTTGTTGTTAAAGATCGTTTAGTTTGTTCTTAAAGATCGCTTAGTTTGTTGTTAAAGATCGTTCACTTTTTTGTAATGGTCGCTTTATTTGTTCTTAAAGATCGGTTAGTTTGTTCACAAGGATCACTTAGTTTTTTTGGTTAAAAATCGTTAATTTTGTTTTTTAAAAACGCTTAGTTTGTTCTTAAAGATTGCTTAGTTTTTGTTTAAAGATCTTTTAGTTCGTTATTAAAGATAATTTAGTTTGTTCAAAAAAGATCGCTAATTTTTGTTTATTATAGATCGTTTATAGATTGTTTCTCCTCCACATTACAATCTACATTCTCCTCCAAATTACAACGCTGTGTCAGATATAACACTAGTACTAGAGTACGCTGTGTCAGATATAACACTAGTAATAGAGTACGCTGTGTCAGATACAACACTAGTACTAGAGTACGCTGTGTCAGATACAACACTAGTACTAGAGTACGCTGTGTCAGATATAACACTAGTACTAGAGTACGCTGTGTCAGATACAACACTAGTACTAGAGTACGCTGTGTCAGATAAACACTAGTACTAGAATACGCTGTGTCAGATATAACACTATAACTAGAGTACACTGTGTCAGATACCTTACCATACACCACTTACAAACTAATACAAACCTTGTATTGAAGATACAACACTTACAATACAACAGTTACAAACTAATACAATCCTCGTATCAAACATTCAACCGTTACAAACTCATAAATGCCAATAGACATTCTCACGTGATATGTCTGGTATAACAGTGGCGGAGCAAGGGCTAGTACCACAGCAACCGAACCGGACGAGAGGAGAGACTTATCTATCCCACTCACAAGAGAGAGTCATCAAGAGAGACTCGTATTCCACTCACAAGAGAGAGTCATCAAGAGAGACTCGTATCCCACTCACAAGAGAGAGAGTCATCAAGAGAGACTCGTATCCCACTCACAAGAGAGTCATCAAGAGAGACTCGTATCCCACTCACAAGAGAGAGTCATCAAGAGAGACTCGTATCCCACTCACAAGAGAGAGTCATCAAGAGAGACTCGTATCCCACTCACAAGAGAGAGTCATCAAGAGAGACTCGTATCCCACTCACAAGAGGCAGCATCTTACCCACACGAAGAACTAGCACATCTTACATACGAAATACTAGCACATTTTGCCCCATTGGTACGGCTCTACGGTTCTTGTGACCACATGCTGCTTTCTGTGCTAGAGAGTGTCCTCCATGTACACATGGTAACGAAAGATACTTAATGAGACAGACAGACCCGCACGCTCTTTATCATTCAATCAATAGTCAAGTACAAAATGGCGTATTTTGTTTGAGGTTGCCAAGGAAACTAATTGCTTTCTGTTACACAATAGTAGGGATTCTCCAGCTTTTTACACTTGGGATCAGTGGTTCTCAAGTCATTGTCAGTGTAACCAATGCCAGAGATTTGTCGTTAGTTTTTAATGTAATTCAAATTTAAATGTATTTTATGTACATGTATTTATCATTTGTAAAGACATCGTGGGGAAATGTTTAGCCAATACAAAGTCCAGGTTAATATCTAAACATCCGAGGAACACTTTAGGCCGATCTTTGAAACAGATGTATGTCACGCAATAATGTGGGTCATGGGTACTCAAAAGCAATAATATGGCTTATGAGTTGCTCAAACAGTAATAATATGGCTCATGTGTTGCTCAAACAGCAATAATATGAGTCATGGGTTGCTCAAACAGCAATAATATGAGTCATGGGTTGCTCAAACAGCAATAATATGTGTCATGGGTTGCTCAAACAGCAATAATATGAGTCATGGGTTGCTCAAACAGCAATAATATGGCTTATGAGTTGCTCAAACAGCAAATATGAGTCATGGGTTGCTCAAACAGCAATAATATGAGTAATGGGTTGCTCAAACAGCAATAATATGAGTCATGGGTTGCTCAAACAGAAATAATGTGAGTCATGGGTTGCTCAAAAAGCAATTATGTGAGTCATGGGTTGCTCAAACAGCAATAATGTGGGTCATGGGCTGCTCAAACAGCAATAATGTGAGTTGTGGGTTGCTCAAACAGCAAAATATGGCTTATGAGTTGCTCAAACAGCAATAATATGGCTTATGTGTTGCTCAAACAGCAATAATGTGAGTCATGGGTTGCTCAAAAAGCAATAATATGGCTTATGCGTTGCTCAAACAGCAATAGTATGAGTCATGGGTTGCTCAAACAGCAATAATATGGCTTATGAGTTGCTCAAACAGCAATAATATGGCTCATGAGTTGCTCAAACAGCAATAATGTGAGTCATGGGTTGCTCAAACAGCAATAATATGGCTTATGAGTTGCTCAAATTGCAATAATGTGAGTCATTGGTTGCTCAAACATATTTAGTGATGACAATGGCCAGTTCGTTTGTAAAGACGTAGGTCAACTATAAAAAAAAGACGTTCCACATTTGGTATAAAAACATCTATTTCATAGTTCTTACATCTGACATTGCTTGGAAAACAAATATATTTGTCTAGGCACAGTTTGATAAGCTGAATAAGCAAAGACAAACAATTCTCTCTAGAGCAGTGGTCCTTACATTGGGGAATGGGGTTCGAGGGGCGCTGAAAGGCTTTGCAAATTTGATTTGGGGGATGGGAGGGGGGGTTGGTACCGTAAAAAAAAAAGGGGGGGGGTAGCGTTTTCCAATTAAAATGACATAACGTAGAGATTATTTTGTACGTATATTTGGTTTGGATTAGCTGTGACAAACATGATGAGACGAGACACATAAATACTGAAACTCGAAGATGAGATGAAAGATATAATGGGGTAGCGTTTTCCAATTAAAATGACATAACGTAGAGATTATTTTGTACGTATATTTGGTTTGGATTAGCTGTGACAAACATGATGAGACGAGACACATAAATACTGACACTCGAAGATGAGATGAAAGATATACATACTGACACTCGAAGATGAGATGAAAGATATACTTACTGACACACGAAGAAGATAAAGAAGAAAACTTGTTTTTCAAACGGATGTACTAGCGTCTATAAACATGTCTATTTTGGTAAGCACTGTGAACTGAAAAAACTAAGACGTGTAATGAACGTCACAAATGACCAGCAGACAGACACGCATGATTTGATAGGATTTTAATGTCTCCCCCCCCCCCCCCCCCCGCGGAAAATCAGGAGGCTTGCGTGCACCATATGACAATGTTGTTTTGATTGATAAGTCGGAATAGTTCTAAACATAGGTGAAGTATTCATCCTCCAGCTTTTAGTGAGATTCTATCAGAGACACATTGGCTGACAATATGGAGATTAGTTTAGTGCATAGAAAAATTAGCGGTCATTTCTATCGGATGAATTGACTCTCAAGTAATGAATCTTTCAAGCATTGACTATTCCTGACGTTCAAAATGATTGACTATTCCCGACGTTCAAAATGATTGGCTATTACTGACTTTCTGTGTTGAATGCGATGCCGTATAAATTTTTTGCACAAATGTTTCTCAAGGTTCTGACTGCACAGACATCACACACAACATTACCACTAATAGTACTGACTACACAGACATCACACATATTATGACTTCTCATAGTTCTGACTACACACGACATTGCTAAAAATAAATTTGCAATTGTGATGGAATAAGACATGTCTTATAAAAATCAAACTCCGTTCCTTTGAATTCCAAATGACAACTCTGTAATATTCAAACTCGGTCTAGGACCGACACGAGCTACGAGTCATACTAGTTCTACATTAGCCCATCAGAGTTAGAAGATAATGGTGATTTTTAAAATGACTTCTTGCTAGAGCGATTTTAAAATTACCATTGAATGGAATCCACGGATTGGATGGGTTACATCCAATTCTTATGATTAATACAGTTGGTGTAGTAAGGCTTATTTAAAGAAAAAAAAAGTATTTTAAACCAAGGTTTAAAATTGTCATCAAAGGTTTTGCCTTCGGTGTAACATTAATTACATTATCCACAGTGGACTGCTCCTAGCTGCATTCGTATTGTATTTTTTTGTTGAAATAGATTTAAGAAAACCAGAGCGCAGTGAGCATGCTAAAGTAGCATGGATTCCAGCACTATATTAATATCCAATCAATCAATCAAAAGGTTATTTTAGTGAGATTTACCCTCTTTTGTATCTCAAACTCTAGCTAAATAATGATCTTACTTAAGATATCGCAGGAACAAATTTTTCAGCTTATAAATGAATGAAGAAAATAATAAAGATTCATTTGTATTTTGATTAATTGCTAAAATATGTTACAGTTCTACACATCATTATGTAATTATCTCCCATGGAGGGGCGTGGAAAACTTATTCTTCAAATGCTTATAATTGGATTCGAAAGGCAGCCGGTGTGGGGCGGTGATCGGAAAAAGTTTTAGAACCACTGCTCTAGGGTATAGTATCTATGTACATGTACGATAGTCCAGGGATAGAACCAAGGAAAGAAAAGAAACAAGATATCTCTCTATGATAGTTGACAATAGGTTTCACTGAAAAGATGAGAAGGGTTGGTTTGTCCAACAAAGAAAGCGAGAGAGAGAGAGACGACTGTGTAGAACGACAGAGATGAAGTGAGAGATGGAGAGAGAGACGAAAGTGTAGAACGACAGAGATGAAGTGAGAGATGGAGAGATCGGGCGTGACAGAGACGTATGTAGGAGATCGAGAGAGAGACTGTGTAGAACGACAGAGATGAAGTGAGAGATGGAGAGATCGGGCGTGACAGAGACGTATGTAGGAGATCGAGAGAGAGACTGTGTAGAACGACAGAGATGAAGTGAGAGATGGAGAGAGTAAAGGTTCGTGACGGGGGTTGCTCCAGGTCATAGACGAAAGAACCGATTCCTATCCAGAACAGTATCGCCAGTGACGCGATCAGTCCCGCTATTGAACCCTACATCATAAGGAGAGAAATGTATCTAAAACTGTGGTCAATGTTTCACAAGTGGTACACTTCCTCAGGTGGTACAACAAGATGTAAGAAAATCTTTTACATATACATATTTTGATACTGAATTACAAAATACATTCTGGATCATGAATTTTCAGTAGAGTATCTTAAGTGTATAACATTCCGAAAGTTTGAGAGCTATTGGAATAATTTTAAAAATAAATAACGGGAAAGGGAATGCATTTCAGAAAATAAATTATATTTTATTCAACAGACGTTGCCATTCATCTACTTATCACTGACATGTCTATTCGCCCACGGAAAGAACATCCCCAGCGTGAACACTCCAAGAAGCGGACCATTGAGTATCCCGAACACAATGTACACAGCCTGGGCAGGAGTTAGAATTAAGGTGTATGAAGATAGGCTCGCAAAAATGAAACAAATGATCAGCACACCACGAACCTATATTAAATACTTGAGTCTTGCTACTTTGGTGGCTAATGCCTGTTTGATCAAACTAATGGTAATATATATATCTGTACCTATNCCCCCCCCCCCTATTCTCTGTCCACAGATGAAAGCGTTCCTTCTATTCTAAAGATATACAAACTCTATGCCGGCCCATTTGTCTCTCCCGGCCCCACCTGACATAAAAAATGTATAGCTGGCCTTTGGCTCAAACTTACACCTAAGACCCAAATAGCCGAAGCACCTAAGACCCAAATAGCCGGAGCACCTAAGAGCAGGTTTATTTATAGCCAAAGTATTGGACGTTGGTGTCGTTTTTAAACCACCATTTCCAAATATTTATTTTGTCAAGTGTGTCGCTATATTAGCCTGGATCTGGAATGGTGGACTCACCTGGTGGGCGGGCTTAACTTTGTGGAGTTATAGCTTGGCTTATCCACTGGTTAGCAATACATCTATAAATAGGGTGATAGCCACCGTCGTTAGCACTAAATGTGTTTTAAATGTGGTAAATTAAACATTTGTTTTTTGTTGACTTTGTACCGCGCTTCGAGCCTTTGGGGATGAAGCGTGTTTTTGAAATGAACTTTATTATTATTATTATTAAATCTATAAATAGGATGCTGTCCACCAATCGCCATTGTACCAGGCTGCTTCCTGTGGGATCCAGAGCGATTTTTAGTCAACAAAACTTCCCGGGAAACAAGGGATATAAACTTGTAGACATCAGTTTTAGTGAACTTTTTGATTTGAAGAAGTCCCAGATTGTCATAAGCCAGGAACGATAAACTATAAGCTAGTTAACTAACTGTGCTGAATCTTTATAGGCTCAGTCACTCTAGTTTAAAAGATTCTTGTCCATTTTCAAGTCTCGACCATATTTATTGAAGAAAAATAACCCTTGAAGCATAATATTGAAATGAAAGGCTTTGAAATAGGAAACACATTCTTGGAAATGAAAATATATCGAACTAGATTTTTATGTAGGCCTACAATTTAATTGTAATTAACGAGCTATTTAATACCATGAATGGAACTATAACTCAATCTTTAAGGTACCAAATAAGAAAACAAAACTTTAAAAAAATCACTATTTCTCTTAGTCTATTGTTTCAGCCGGCTGCCATACAGAAATGGAATTTATCCGCAACCCCCATTAGATGTCCCATGAGCTGGGAATGTGGTCTAGTAACTTGATTCTACCAGGCTTCTTATGTGTGAACATTATGGTATATTATGTAGTGCTTTTTTGTTTTAAATAAACACAATAAAAAAATCTAAATAGATATAGCTACATCTATTAATTAATTTTTTTAAAATTCGACACCAAACCTTGTTCCAAGTTGTAAGAAACTCAGAAACTGCTTGTAAATATTTCGTCTAGAATTTGCGACTTGTAAACTCTACAAAGTGTCAAGCTTTTTCTACAGGCGGTCATATACGACTTCTGCCTTAACAAGCATATTGCTAACTAGTTATGAATTACTATACGACTTCTGCCTTAACAAGCATATTGCTAACTAGTTATCTACTACTATACGACTTCTGCCCTAACAAGCATATTGCTAACTAGTTATGAATTACTATACGACTTCTGCCTTAACAAGCATATGGCTAACTAGTTATGAATTACTATACGACTTCTGCCTTAACAAGCATATGGCTAACTAGTTATGAATTACTATACGACTTCTGCCTTAACAAGCATATGTCTAACAAGTTATCTAATACTATACGACTTCTGCCCTAACAAGCATATGTCTAACTAGTTATCTAATACTTTACGACTTCAGCCCTAACAAGCATATTGCTCATGCTGACTAGTTATCTAATACTATACGACTTCTGCCTTAACAAGCATATTGCTAACTAGTTATGAATTACTATACGACTTCTGCCTTAACAAGCATATTGCTAACTAGTTATGAATTACTATACGACTTCTGCCTTAACAAGCATATGTCTAACAAGTTATCTAATACTATACGACTTCTGCCCTAACAAGCATATGTCTAACTAGTTATCTAATACTTTACGACTTCTGCCCTAACAAGCATATTGCTCATGCTGACTAGTTATCTAATACTATACGACTTCTGCCTTAACAAGCATATGGCTAACTAGATATCTACTACTATACGACTTCTGCCTTAACAAGCATATGGCTAACTAGTTATCTAATACTATACGACTTCTGCCTTAACAAGCATATGGCTAACTAGTTATATATTACTCGGGCAGGGCCGGTGCCGTTTGGGGGGGGGGGGGCTTGGGAAGATTAAAATTTGCAGGGCCTTTGACATTATATATACCCAGGCGGATATGATATTAATACACGCCATAGTCCTTGTGGGTCTACTGGTCACAACAGGAAACGTCATGCTACACAAACGTCATAGACATCAAGGGCCTTATTGGTCATAATAAGAAACGTCATGCTACTTAGGCGCCTTAGTCATTGAAATTATTATACGGCAGTATTCGTGTAGCTGATGAAACAGACCAAAAAACTGAGTTCTTCATCGTGGAGGGCGGTAACAATGTCTCCTTCAACTGGCGATGTTGACAATCCATTCAAACGAACCTGAAACATTGATGATCTCAAAAAAGTTTATCAACTTTAATGTTGAAGAAAAACAGCACTTCTTCAGGCACTTGCGGCGGTTACCGTCACTGTCAACATTATTTTGTACGCGATCTCAGTATTCGGAAAAGAATCTGCCAGGGGCACAAGCAAGTGAAGACGCTGTAATGCTGTTGGTAATTTTCCTGAAAACATTTCTCTCAAGATATTCAGTTTTTCTAGTCCGAACCATATATATAACGTGAATCAAGACCTCTCAAAGCCATACCCATATCAAGACCTCTCAAAGCCATATCCATATCAAGACCTCTCAAAGCCATATCCATATCAAGACCTCTCAAAGCCATATCCATATCAAGACCTCTCAAAGCCATACCCATATCAAGACCTCTCAAAGCCATACCCATATCAAGACCTCTCAAAGCCATACCCATATCAAGACCTCTCAAAGCCATACCCATATCAAGACCTCTCAAAGCCATATCCATAAAGTGTTTGCTCAAGGTATCCAGAATCATGAAACGGAGCGGCTGTATATCATATAGAAAGCCAGACATGTCATATGTACAAGTACATTTGTTGGAGACCACAACATCTGTGGTCGACTAACCACAAGAACTATCCTGCCATGAGAGTATCGTCGGGTGTCTGTTGTGCCTCGTCTCTAGATGCCTATTCAAACTGCCGCTGTCTTCGGCGTTCTTTGAACACCGGCTCAATGTTCCATTTTTAAAAGCACAATTTCCTTTTCAGTTGTCATTGCTGATGCACACCCATTACTGGATTTTGTGAAAAAAAACTGATTAGACCTTTGCCTTGTATAATGGCTATTTTAAGTTGTATAGTCAAGTTCTGCAAATAGTCAAGTTAGCAAGATCTTGCTCACAGCAAACAGGATGTCATATTCAAGGCCGAGCAAAGGATTTTTGGGAGCAAAGGATTTTTGGGTAAAAAGAGATCCAGTACGTAATAAGGCCAGATAACTGGTTCAGTCTTGAACCATAGTTGAGCTAATGAAATTTTTGATAAATTAAAAAAAAAAAAAATTACACATTTCCAGAAAAGTAACACGGCTTAAATTCAGACTTTTGCCAGAAGATTCATTGGAGAAAGACGAAAGTAGGAAGGCTGAATGGGTGGTTTGGAAGAGGAAGCATCAGTGATGAAATCTATATAATAGATGATTAAGGTAAGGTGCGGGGGACGTCAAAGGTAGCCCCGTTCACCAACCCCTAGCGCCGGCCCTGACTTGAGCTAAGCAGAGGAAAATAAAGCCACAGGTATCAAGTGAAAATTAAAGCCACAGGTCACAGGTATCAAGTGAAAACTAAAGCCACAGGTCACAGGTATCTAGTGAAAACTAAAGCCACAGGTCACAGGTATCTAGTGAAAACTAAAGCCACAGGTCACAGGTATCAAGTGAAAACTAAAGCCACAGGTCACAGGTATCAAGTGAAAACTAAAGCCACAGGTCACAGGTATCAAGTGAAAACTAAAGCCACAGGTCACAGGTATCTAGTGAAAACTAAAGCCACAGGTCACAGGTATCTAGTGAAAACTAAAGCCACAGGTCACAGGTATCAAGTGAAAACTAAAGCCACAGGTCACAGGTATCTAGTGAAAACTAAAGCCACAGGTCACAGGTATCAAGTGAAAACTAAAGCCACAGGTCACAGGTATCAAGTGAAAACTAAAGCCACAGGTCACAGGTATCAAGTGAAAACTAAAGCCACAGGTCACAGGTATCAAGTGAAAACTAAAGCCACAGGTCACAGGTATCAAGTGAAAACTAAAGCCACAGGTCACAGGTATCAAGTGAAAACTAAAGCCACAGGTCACAGGTATCAAGTGAAAACTAAAGCCACAGGTCACAGGTATCTAGTGAAAACTAAAGCCACAGGTCACAGGTATCTAGTGAAAACTAAAGCCACAGGTAACAGGTATCAGATGATCAACTTTTCAACAAAACTTAGTATCATTTTTTAAAAATCATTAACAGACAAAAACAATTGAGCAATAATACAACGACTTTTGGATGGTTTAATTCAGCTCATAATATTTGTTGAACTAAATACATTGACAGAGGGATTTCCCAGGATCCCATGATGAGATTGGCCTTTGTCCCGTTCCCCAGGATCCCATGATGAGATGGGCTTTTGTCCCGTTTCCCGGGATGAATGAAAACCCGAGAAAAAAGAAAGCCTACTCCGTACCGTCTATGTATTTGTACTGGTTTTTATTGATGAGATCAGCCAGTGTGGCACATTCTGTGGGAATGGGGCCGTAGATCACGTGGTTATCGTATTGCAGTGTGGGATCGTGACCTGATTAATTATGTGTGTGTATGGTGGGAGGGGGGTGTAGGTGTGTGGCGAGGTGGAGCAGACTTTCTTACTGATAGTGTATGAAGTCTGCTGTGGGTGTGTGGCGAGATGGAGCAGACTTTCTTACTGATAGTGTATGAAGTCTGCTGTATGTGTGTGGCGAGATGGAGCAGACTTTCTTACTGATAGTGTATGAAGTCTGCTGTATGTGTGTGGCGAGATGGAGCAGACTTACTTACTGATAGTGTATGTAGTCTGCTGTGGGTGTGTGGCGAGATGGAGCAGACTTTCTTACTGATAGTGTATGAAGTCTTTGGTTAAATAACAGGTAAGAGCGCAGTGTTTCCTCCAGGTAAATGTGTTCTTGTTAACACAGGCGAATACGTTAACAGACGACACTAAAGATAAGAGTAAGAGCTTGTCACGGGTGAACACCCTTGGCCTGTCATAAAACGTCTACACAAATTATTAAAGACATTCGAAATGTTAACTTATTTTAGTCTTGAGTGTTGACATTATGCAACATGGGCATAGACAGCATTAGTCAAGAGTTGACATGTGGCAATGACATATTGTCGAGTCTATAAATGGTAGCTTACCACAAAAGTGAACAAGCACGGTAAAAAAAAATATGAATAATACGGTAAATGAAACGTGATAAACATTGACTGCAAAGTAACAATCAGAGAAATGGCACTGCAAAGAAACAATCAGAGACATGGCACTGCAAAGTAACAATCAGAGACGTGGCACTGCAAAGTAACAATCAGAGACGTGGCACTGCAAAGTAACAATCAGAGACGTGGCACTGCAAAGTAACAATCAGAGACGTGGCACTGCAAAGTAACAATCAGAGACGACACTGTCACAGCAAAGTAACAATCAGAGACAATGCTGGCACAGCAAAGTAACAATCAGAGACGTGGCACTGCAAAGTAACAATCAGAGACGACACTCGCACAGCAAAGTAACAATCAGAGACGTGGCACTGCAAAGTAACAATCAGAGACAATGCTGGCACTGCCAAGAAACAATCAGAGACGTGGCACTGCAAAGTAACAATCAGAGACATGGCACTGCCAAGAAACAATCAGAGACGACACTCGCACAGCAAAGTAACAATCAGAGACGACGCTCGCACAGCAAAGTAACAATCAGAGACAATGCTAGCACAGCAAAGTAACAATCAGAGACAATGCTGGCACAGCAAAGTAACAATCAGAGACGACGCTCGCACAGCAAAGTAACAATCAGAGACGACGCTGGCACAGCAAAGTAACAATCAGAGACGACGCTGGCACAGCAAAGTAACAATCAGAGACGTGACACTGCAAAGTAACAATCAGAGACGACGCTGGCACAGCAAAGTAACAATCAGAGACGTGGCACTGCAAAGTAACAATCAGAGACGACGCTCGCACAGCAAAGTAACAATCAGAGACAACGCTCGCACAGCAAAGTAACAAACAGAGACAACGCTGGCACAGCAAAGTCATCATCAGTTTTGTGGGAAGTGTGTGGCGGGCAGAGAGGTTGTGCTGTAGAAGAGATTAGTTTCTACAATCAAAAAAAAAAAAAAAGTTGTTAAAAGACTATCTGCCCCAGAAATACAAAAGATCGGTTGTAAGGTTAGTATTGCAATAGTAGTTCTGTATAGCTTGACAGGCAGCCCCAGGAAGGCTAACTTGTATGTTGTACAAGTGGTTAAGTGTGATGTTTAAATGGCCATGTGTGTGTGAAATTGGTATATATGTACCATTGGTATATCAGCACTATTAAGAATATGTGTACAATTGGTATTTCAGTACACGTGTGTGTACAACAGAGTGTGCATTTAAAATTGGTCGTCGGTTTAAGTGTATGTTAGTAAAGGGATGTAGGGATTCCGTTTGTATATGTGGGTATGTGTGTACAGTCAAATCGGGCTACCTCCTGACACCTAGCGTCAGATAGAAGTCATCAAACTATCTCTACAGATAGTAAGTAGGCCCGCATGTTCCAACAGATAGTAAGTAGGCCCGCATGTTCCAACAGATAGTAAGTAGGCCCGCATGTTCCAACAGATAGTAAGTAGGCCCGCATGTTCCAACAGATAGTAAGTAGGCCCGCATGTTCCAACAGATAGTAAGTAGGCCCGCATGTTCCACTTGGAAAGGTTTGCTCTCATATTACAAGCACAGTTTAAGAGTGTTTCAACGACATAAATCGATGTACAAGCGATCTAAGTATGATAAACTCTAGCAGAAGAAGTGAGACGTTTTGGCGTAATATGATGAGACATCCAATAAGTTTAAACAAAAATATATCATGTTGTTACTGGCATCTAGTATTTACGACAGTGTGCTATAACTATGCCAGATGATAGTGCTAAAACTATGCTAGATATTGCTATAACTATGCCAGATGATAGTGCTAAATCTATGCCAGATATTGGTATAACTATGCCAGATGATAGTGCTAAAACTATACCATATAGTGCTAAAACTATGCCAGATAAGGTTATAACTATGCCAGATAATGCTATAACTATGCCAGATATTGCTATAACTATGCCAGATAGTGCTATAACTATGCCAGATATTGCTATAACTATGCCAGATAGTGCTAAACTATGCCAGATAGTGCTTTAACTATGCAAGATAGTGCTATAACTATGCCAGATAGTGCTACCTATAATTAAACTATTTCAGATAGGGTTATTTGTAAAAATTGTCAGACATGGCTACTTGTAATAAAATTATGTCAGATAGGGCTACGTTTCATAAAACTTTCACACAGAGCTACCTTTAATAAAACTGTATCAGGTACGGCTACCTATAATAAAAATGTGTCAGGTAGGGTTACCTATAATAAATGAGTTAAGCAGGGCTACCTATAATAAATGAGTTAAGTAGGGCTACCTATAATAAATGAGTTAAGTAGGGCTACCTATAATAAATGAGTTAAGTAGGGCTACCTATAATAAATGAGTTAAGTAGGGCTACCTATAATAAATGTTAAGTAGGGCTACATTTAATAAATGAGTTAAGTAGGGCTACCTATAATACATGAGTTAAGTAGGGCTACCTAGAATAAAAGTATGTCAAGCAGTCCTACATATGATAAAAATGTGTCATAAAAGTATCTCAGGTAATTCTATCTATGATAAACCTGTGTCAATAGGGCTACCTCCATAAAACTGTGTCAGGTAAGGCTACCTTTAATAAAAATGTGCCATGTAGGGCTACCTATAATAAAAACATGTCAGATAAAGCAACCTATAACAAAAGTATTTCAGGTAGGGTTATCCATAATAAAAGTGTGTCAGGTTTCGTTACCTATAATAAAACTGTGCCACGTCAGGATGCCGATCAGATAGGCTAAAATACGGCTGGGTGCACTTAAAACTACAACCTTTAGTTTCCTGGTTTTTAACAATGCTGACTTTTCAAGGAGTCGGGGAAAATAATACCAAATCTAGAACCACGGAACTAGCGGCCAGGTCAAACCAAGGTCATTTAAGGTCACCGACAGACTAACATAGCTTTTTCATTTATCAAAGTTAGTCACCAAGCTCGCCAATAACAAAACGATTCCACACATCAGATGGATTCATTCAACAACATTTAGTCAACTGAAACCTGGACCGGAAAGTTTATGTTAGAAATGAGAGGTTCTTGGGGCCCTCCATAAAGTACGTCAAGCTCCGCAAGGGGTGCGGGGGGGGGGGGGCGGGGAAATACTGTAGGGGATAACAACAGTCTATGTGATTATATTTTAAAAGCAAGAAATTAAAGACTGTGTGACGTCACACTTTAAAAAATAATTTTAATTTTGTATGTAAAACCTGAAATTGACAGTGCTGTTGAATTTTCTGTTGAATAGATGTATTCTGACAGAAGATTTCAATTTTATAAATTTTATATTTTTTTTATTTGTTATTTTTTTAAAACAAATTAGCTCGAAATTGTGACGAACTTTGTGATTATGTCAGAGTGTGCCCCGGGGAGGGGGGTAAATACTGTCCAAAAATAGCGTGACGTACTTTGCAGATGGCCCCCTTACCATAGGAGTAAGGGCATCAAGGTAACAGTGTCAACAGTGCGGGTGGTGCACAGGCTACACAGAAACATTGTTTTGCTGATTGATATTCTGTCTTTGCAATGAACTTGAATTCATTGTTAACCATACATGAATACAGTTACCAAAACTTGAATGTTAACCAAACTTGAATAATGTCCAAAATTGAATGTTAGCCAAATTTTAACTTGAATAAAGTGTTCCCCAAACTTCAATGCATTTATACAAATTATGGCATTCTGTGTTGCACAAACTTTCATCCAGAGATACAATTTGGTTATGATTCTAGATTAAACAAACTTGAACTTGTGCATCTTTTCAAATACATTATTGAATTGTCAGTGTATTTTATAAAACGGGAAATTCAGCTGAGTACGAGTTCATTGTTGATTCGAACAAGAGTCGGACTCTTAAACAAGAGTCCGCCAAGCACACTGATAACAAGAGCACTTCTGATACAACCTGACCCGTGCATCATACTGAATAGAGCAACAAAAAAAAACATGCAGACAATATACTTACGTAAGCTACTTAATCGAACAGGTCATTACGTCATCATACGGATAAGTAAAGTAAACGTACTCTCAGAACAGAGTTCTATCTTGATAAAAATAATATTTGGTACCAAAAAGATCCGATGATTCTAGCTATCCAACAATCCTGGGAAATAGAGAGATTCGTCCATTGCAAACAACTGTTTGAATGAACTGGTAATAACTGTGCCGGGGGGGGGGGGGGGGAACACAGACCATCACACCGACAACTCGGGACGAATGATGTCGGCGACGACGTGCCACCACAACCCTCATCGATGTAGCACCTGACTGGGGGAAACAGCACACCTCGGTCTTTGTATGCTCCTTAAGACTGAACAGTGCTTCTCGAGCCTTACATGTGTTGTGTACAACACTACCAGTCCTTGTAGGCAGTGCCGGGTACGGCCTCATGAATTCAGGGCCTGATTGGTCTTGATCAAAATAAATTTACTTTATGTATCATTAGGCCTACTATATAATTAAAAGGACGTCATTTGGTTCAAAAATTATAAATGATTACCACATTAGAAATCTGAATAATAGCGAACATTAACATTCCAATGTGCACCGCCCACCTACCCTCCACCCAGCTGTTAACAAATCAATCACATTAACATTTTCATAGAGGAACCTGCAATATTACTTTCAGTCTTTAAAGTTCACCAGAAGTTCACAGCCAAGTATTTTGAGAACCTTCTATGGCAACAACAGGGAAATAACCGGTGATATTTTCATTCCAACTTCCGTCCCCCCGTTACGTGCCAGTAGGACACAGTAGAAAAACAAACCAGATATTCCAAACATCGGGGATTTCATACGTTTTAAGTCAACTAAAATAGTTTAACATTGTTAAGTCAACTCAAATAGTTTAACATTGTTAAGTCAACTCAAATAGTTTAACATTGTTAAGTCAACTCAAATAGTTTAACATTGTTAAGTCAACTCAAATAGTTTAACATTGAGTACATATCACAACAACCAGATAACTTGATGTACACCACTTCGATAACACTTTGTACACCACATAGATAACATCTAGAAGCATCGATGATGCTATCTTACTGTTATTAGAAAGACCTTACCCTCACCTAGACCTAGACAGTCCTAAAAATAATGCTAAACAATATTTAGACTTCTCATTAGCTTTTAACACTACCCAACCATACACTATGATTAAAAAGCTGTATTAAGTTACAAATTCAAATATTCAACCGTGTCTACACAACATATTTTTAAAAAAATCACCCACAATATGTCAAGGTGAATGACCAAATATCATTAACTACAAAAATAAGTACAGGGAAGCCACAATGTTGCGTTCTCTCCCCAGACCTGTCTACACTATATCCCCATCCAATCCATGGCCCATGCTGCACCATTTCTATAAACTATATCCCTATCCAATCCAGAGCCCATGCTGCACCATTTCTATACACTATATCCCCATCCAAACCAGAGCCCATGCTGCACCATTTCTATACACTATATCCCCATCCCATCCAGAGCCCATGATGCACCATTTCTATACACTATATCCCCATCCAATCCAGAGCCCATGCTGCACGATTTCAATACACTATATCCCCATCCCATCCAGAGCCCATGCTGCACCATTTCTATACGCTATATCCCCATCCCATCCAGAGCCCATGCTGCACCATTTCTATACGCTATATCCCAATCCAATCCAGAGCCCATGCTGCACCATTTCTATACACTATATCCCCATCCCATCCATAGCCCATTCTGCACCATTTCTATACACTATATCCCCATCCAATCCAGAGCCCATGCTGCACCATTTCAATACACTATATCCCCATCCAATCCAGAGATCATTCTGCACCATTTCAATACACTATATCCCCATCCAATCCAGAGCCCATGCTGCACCATTTCAATACACTATATACCCATCCAATCCAGAGCCCATGCTACACCATTTCAATACACTATATCCCCATCCCATCCAGAGCCCATGCTGCACCATTTCTATACACTATATCCCCATCCCATCCAGAGCCCATGCTGCACCATTTCTATACACTATATCCCCATCCAATCCAGAGCCCATGCTGCACCATTTCAATACACTATATCCCCATCCCATCCAGAGCCCATGCTGCACCATTTCAATACACTATATCCCCATCCCATCCAGAGCCCATGCTGCACCATTTCTATACACTATATCCCCATCCAATCCAGAGCCCATGCTGCACCATTTCAATACACTATATACCAATCCAATCCAGAGCTCATGCTGCACCATTTCTATACACTATATCCCCATCCCATCCAGAGCCCATGCTGCACCATTTCTATACACTATATCCCCATCCAATCCAGAGCCCATGCTGCACCATTTCAATACACTATATACCAATCCAATCCAGAGCTCATGCTGCACCATTTCTATACACTATATACCAATCCAATCCAGAGCCCATGCTGCACCATTTCTATACACTATATACCAATCCAATCCAGAGCCCATGCTGCACTATTTCAATACACTATATACCAATCCAATCCAGAGCCCATGCAGCACCATTTCTATACACTATATCCCCATCCAATCCAGAGCCCATGCTGCACCATTTAAAAACACTATATCCCCATCCCATCCAGAGCCCATGCTGCACCATTTCTATACACTATATACCAATCCAATCCAGAGCCCATGCTGCACCATTTCAATACACTATATCCCGATCCCATCCAGAGCCCATGCTGCACCATTTCAATACACTATATCCCCATGCCATCCAGAGCCCATGCTGCACCATTTCAATACACTATATCCCCATCCCATCCAGAGCCCATGCTGCACCATTTCTATACACTATATACCAATCCAATCCAGAGCCCATGCTGCACCATTTCTATACACTATATCCCCATCCAATCCAGAGCCCATGCTGCACCATTTCAATACACTATATCCCCATCCCATCCAGAGCCCATGCTGCACCATTTCAATACACTATATCCCCATCCCATCCAGAGCCCATGCTGCACCATTTCAATACACTATATCCCCATCCCATCCAGAGCCCATGCTGCACCATTTCTATACGCTATATCCCCATCCCATCCAGAGCCCAAGCTGCACCATTTCAACACACTATATCCCCATCCAATCCAGAGCCCATGCTGCACCATTTCTATACACTATATCCCCATCCAATCCAGAGCCCATGCTGCACCATTTCTATACACTATATCCCCATCCAATCCAGAGCCCATGCTGCACCATTTCTATACACTATATCCCCATCCAATCCAGAGCTCATGCTGCACCATTTCAATACACTATATCCCCATGCCATCCAGAGCCCATGCTGCACCATTTCAATACACTATATCCCCATCCCATCCAGAGGCCATGCTGCACCATTTCTAAACACTTTATACCAATCCAATCAAGAGCCCATGCTGCACTATTTCTATACACTATATCCCCATCCAATCCAGAGCCCATGCTGCACCATTTCAATACACTATATCCCCATCCCATCCAGAGCCCATGCTGCACCATTTCTATACACTATATCCCCATCCCATCCAGAGCCCATGCTGCACCATTTCAATACACTATATCCCCATCCCATCCAGAGCCCATGCTGCACCATTTCAATACACTATATCCCCATCCCATCCAGAGCCCATGCTGCACCATTTCAATACACTATATCCCCATCCCATCCAGAGCCCATGCTGCACCATTTCAATACACTATATCCCCATCCCATCCAGAGCCCATGCTGCACCATTTCAATACACTATATCCCCATCCCATCCAGAGCCCATGCTGCACCATTTCAATACACTATATCCCCATCCCATCCAGAGCCCATGCTGCACCATTTCAATACACTATATCCCCATCCCATCCAGAGCCCATGCTGCACCATTTCAATACACTATATCCCCATCCCATCCAGAGCCCATGCTGCACCATTTCAATACACTATATCCCCATCCCATCCAGAGCCCATGCTGCACCATTTCAATACACTATATCCCCATCCCATCCAGAGCCCATGCTGCACCATTTCAATACACTATATCCCCATCCCATCCAGAGCCCATGCTGCACCATTTCAATACACTATATCCCCATCCCATCCAGAGCCCATGCTGCACCATTTCAATACACTATATCCCCATCCCATCCAGAGCCCATGCTGCACCATTTCAATACACTATATCCCCATCCCATCCAGAGCCCATGCTGCACCATTTCAATACACTATATCCCCATCCCATCCAGAGCCCATGCTGCACCATTTCAATACACTATATCCCCATCCCATCCAGAGCCCATGCTGCACCATTTCAATACACTATATCCCCATCCCATCCAGAGCCCATGCTGCACCATTTCAATACACTATATCCCCATCCCATCCAGAGCCCATGCTGCACCATTTCAATACACTATATCCCCATCCCATCCAGAGCCCATGCTGCACCATTTCAATACACTATATCCCCATCCCATCCAGAGCCCATGCTGCACCATTTCAATACACTATATCCCCATCCCATCCAGAGCCCATGCTGCACCATTTCTATACGCTATATCCCCATCCCATCCAGAGCCCAAGCTGCACCATTTCAATACACTATATCCCCATCCCATCCAGAGCCCATGCTGCACAATTTCAATACACTATATCCCCATCCCATCCAGAGACATGCTGCACCATTTCTATACACTATATCCCCATCCCATCCAGAGCCCATGCTGCACCATTTCAATACACTATATCCCCATCCCATCCAGAGCCAATGCTGCACCATTTCAATACACTATATCCCTATCCCATCCAGAGCCCATGCTGCACCATTTCAATACACTATATCCCCATCCCATCCAGAGCCCATGCTGCACCATTTCAATACACTATATCCCCATCTCATCCAGAGCCCATGGTGCACCATTTCTATACACTATATTCCCATCCCATCCAGAGCCCATGCTGCACCATTTCAATACACTATATCCCCATCCCATCCAGAGCCCATGCTGCACCATCCCAATACACTATATCCCCATCCCATCCAGAGCCCATGCTGCACCATTTCAATACACTATATCCCCATCCCATCCAGAGCCCATGCTGCACCATTTCAATACACTATATCCCCATCCCATCCAGAGCCCATGCTGCACCATTTCAATACACTATATCCCCATCCCATCCAGAGCCCATGCTGCACCATTTCAATACACTATATCCCCATCCCATCCAGAGCCCATGCTGCACCATTTCAATACACTATATCCCCATCCCATCCAGAGCCCATGCTGCACCATTTCAATACACTATATCCCCATCCCATCCAGAGCCCATGCTGCACCATTTCAATACACTATATCCCCATCCCATCCAGAGCCCATGCTGCACCATTTCAATACACTATATCCCCATCCCATCCAGAGCCCATGCTGCACCATTTCAATACACTATATCCCCATCCCATCCAGAGCCCATGCTGCACCATTTCAATACACTATATCCCCATCCCATCCAGAGCCCATGCTGCACCATTTCAATACACTATATCCCCATCCCATCCAGAGCCCATGCTGCACCATTTCAATACACTATATCCCCATCCCATCCAGAGCCCATGCTGCACCATTTCAATACACTATATCCCCATCCCATCCAGAGCCCATGCTGCACCATTTCAATACACTATATCCCCATCCCATCCAGAGCCCATGCTGCACCATTTCAATACACTATATCCCCATCCCATCCAGAGCCCATGCTGCACCATTTCAATACACTATATCCCCATCCCATCCAGAGCCCATGCTGCACCATTTCAATACACTATATCCCCATCCCATCCAGAGCCCATGCTGCACCATTTCAATACACTATATCCCCATCCCATCCAGAGCCCATGCTGCACCATTTCAATACACTATATCCCCATCCCATCCAGAGCCCATGCTGCACCATTTCAATACACTATATCCCCATCCCATCCAGAGCCCATGCTGCACCATTTCAATACACTATATCCCCATCCCATCCAGAGCCCATGCTGCACCATTTCAATACACTATATCCCCATCCCATCCAGAGCCCATGCTGCACCATTTCAATACACTATATCCCCATCCCATCCAGAGCCCATGCTGCACCATTTCAATACACTATATCCCCATCCAATCCAGAGCCCATGCTGCACAATTTCAATACACTATATCCCCATCCCATCCAGAGCCCATGCTGCACCATTTCAATACACTATATCCCATCCCATCCAGAGCCCATGCTGCACCATTTCTATACACTATATCCCCATCCCATCCAGAGCCCATGCTGCACCATTTCTATACACTATATCCCCATCCAATTCAGAGCCTATGCTGCACCATTTCAATACACTATATCCCCATCCCATCCAGAGCCCATGCTGCACCATTTCAATACACTATATCCCCATCCCATCCAGAGCCCATGCTGCACCATTTCTATATACTATAACCCCATCCCATCCTGAGCCGATGCTGCACCATTTCAATACACTATATCCCCATCCCATCCAGAGCCCATGCTGCACCATTTCAATACACTATATCCCCATCCCATCCAAAGCCCATGCTGCAGCATTTCAATACACTATATCCCCATCCCATCCAGAGCCCATGCTGCACCATTTCTATACGCTATATCCCCATCCCATCCAGAGCCCAAGCTGCACCATTTCAATACACTATATCCCCATCCCATCCAGAGCCCATGCTGCACCATTTCAATACACTATATCCCCATCCCATCCAGAGCCCATGCTGCACCATTTCAATACACTATATCCCCATCCCATCCAGAGCCCATGCTGCACCATTTCAATACACTATATCCCCATCCCATCCAGAGCCCATGCTGCACCATTTCAATACACTATATCCCCATCCCATCCAGAGCCCATGCTGCACCATTTCAATACACTATATCCCCATCCCATCCAGAGCCCATGCTGCACCATTTCAATACACTATATCCCCATCCCATCCAGAGCCCATGCTGCACCATTTCAATACACTATATCCCCATCCCATCCAGAGCCCATGCTGCACCATTTCAATACACTATATCCCCATCCCATCCAGAGCCCATGCTGCACCATTTCAATACACTATATCCCCATCCCATCCAGAGCCCATGCTGCACCATTTCAATACACTATATCCCCATCCCATCCAGAGCCCATGCTGCACCATTTCAATACACTATATCCCCATCCCATCCAGAGCCCATGCTGCACCATTTCAATACACTATATCCCCATCCCATCCAGAGCCCATGCTGCACCATTTCAATACACTATATCCCCATCCCATCCAGAGCCCATGCTGCACCATTTCAATACACTATATCCCCATCCCATCCAGAGCCCATGCTGCACCATTTCAATACACTATATCCCCATCCCATCCAGAGCCCATGCTGCACCATTTCAATACACTATATCCCCATCCCATCCAGAGCCCATGCTGCACCATTTCAATACACTATATCCCCATCCCATCCAGAGCCCATGCTGCACCATTTCAATACACTATATCCCCATCCCATCCAGAGCCCATGCTGCACCATTTCAATACACTATATCCCCATCCCATCCAGAGCCCATGCTGCACCATTTCTATACACTATATCCCCATCCAATCCAGAGCCCATGCTGCACCATTTCTATACACTATATCCCCATCCAATCCAGAGCCCATGCTGCACCATTTCTATACACTATATCCCCATCCAATGCAGAGCTCATGCTGCACCATTTCAATACACTATATCCCCATCCAATCCAGAGCCCATGCTGCACCATTTCAATACAGTATATACCAATCCAATCCAGAGCCCATGCTGCACCATTTCTATACACTATATACCAATCCAATCCAGAGCCCATGCTGCACCATTTCTATACACTATATACCAATCCAATCCAGAGCCCATGCGGCACCATTTCTATACGCTATATACCAATCCAATCCAGAGCCCATGCTGCACCATTTCTATACACTGTATACCAATCCAATCCAGAGCCCATGCTGCACCATTTCTATACACTATATACCAATCCAATCCAGAGCCCATGCTGCACCATTTCTATACACTATATCCCCATCCAATCCAGAGCCCATGCAGCACCATTTCAATACACTATATCCCCATCCCATCCAGAGCCCATGCTGCACCATTTCTATACACTATATACCAATCCAATCCAGAGCCCATGCTGCACCATTTCTATACACTATATCCCCATCCCATCCAGAGCCCATGCTGCACAATTTCAATACACTATATCCCCATCCAATCCAGAGCCCATGCTGCACCATTTCAATACACTATATCCCCATCCCATCCAGAGCCCATGCTGCACCATTTCAATACACTATATCCCCATCCCATCCAGAGCCCATGCTGCACCATTTCAATACACTATATCCCCATCCCATCCAGAGCCCATGCTGCACCATTTCAATACACTATATCCCCATCCCATCCAGAGCCCATGCTGCACCATTTCAATACACTATATCCCCATCCCATCCAGAGCCCATGCTGCACCATTTCAATACACTATATCCCCATCCCATCCAGAGCCCATGCTGCACCATTTCAATACACTATATCCCCATCCCATCCAGAGCCCATGCTGCACCATTTCAATACACTATATCCCCATCCCATCCAGAGCCCATGCTGCACCATTTCAATACACTATATCCCCATCCCATCCAGAGCCCATGCTGCACCATTTCAATACACTATATCCCCATCCCATCCAGAGCCCATGCTGCACCATTTCAATACACTATATCCCCATCCCATCCAGAGCCCATGCTGCACCATTTCAATACACTATATCCCCATCCCATCCAGAGCCCATGCTGCACCATTTCAATACACTATATCCCCATCCCATCCAGAGCCCATGCTGCACCATTTCAATACACTATATCCCCATCCCATCCAGAGCCCATGCTGCACCATTTCAATACACTATATCCCCATCCCATCCAGAGCCCATGCTGCACCATTTCAATACACTATATCCCCATCCCATCCAGAGCCCATGCTGCACCATTTCTATACACTATATCCCCATCCCATCCAGAGCCCATGCTGCACCATTTCTATACACTATATCCCCATCCCATCCAGAGCCCATGCTGCACCATTTCTATACACTATATCCCCATCCCATCCAGAGCCCATGCTGCACCATTTCTATACGCTATATCCCCATCCCATCCAGAGCCCATGCTGCACCATTTCAATACACTATATCCCCATCCCATCCAGAGCCCATGCTGCACCATTTCAATACACTATATCCCCATCCCACCCAGAGCCCATGCTGCACCATTTCTATACACTATATCCCCATCCCATCCAGAGCCCATGCTGCACCATTTCAATACACTATATCCCCATCCCATCCAGAGCCCATGCTGCACCATTTCAATACATTATATCCCCATCTCATCCAGAGCCCATGCTGCACCATTTCAAGACACTATATCCCCATCCCATCCAGAGCCCATGCTGCACCATTTCAATACACTATATTCCCATCCCATCCAGAGCCCATGCTGCACCATTTCAATACACTATATCCCCCATCCCATCCAGAGCCCATGCTGCACCATTTCAATACACTATATCCCCATCCCATCCAGAGCCCATGCTGCACCATTTCAATACACTATATCCCCATCCCATCCAGAGCCCATGCTGCACCATTTCAATACACTATATCCCCATCCCATCCAGAGCCCATGCTGCACCATTTCAATACACTATATCCCCATCCCATCCAGAGCCCATGCTGCACCATTTCAATACACTATATCCCCATCCCATCCAGAGCCCATGCTGCACCATTTCAATACACTATATCCCCATCCCATCCAGAGCCCATGCTGCACCATTTCAATACACTATATCCCCATCCCATCCAGAGCCCATGCTGCACCATTTCAATACACTATATCCCCATCCCATCCAGAGCCCATGCTGCACCATTTCAATACACTATATCCCCATCCCATCCAGAGCCCATGCTGCACCATTTCAATACACTATATCCCCATCCCATCCAGAGCCCATGCTGCACCATTTCAATACACTATATCCCCATCCCATCCAGAGCCCATGCTGCACCATTTCAATACACTATATCCCCATCCCATCCAGAGCCCATGCTGCACCATTTCAATACACTATATCCCCATCCCATCCAGAGCCCATGCTGCACCATTTCAATACACTATATCCCCATCCCATCCAGAGCCCATGCTGCACCATTTCAATACACTATATCCCCATCCCATCCAGAGCCCATGCTGCACCATTTCAATACACTATATCCCCATCCCATCCAGAGCCCATGCTGCACCATTTCAATACACTATATCCCCATCCCATCCAGAGCCCATGCTGCACCATTTCAATACACTATATCCCCATCCCATCCAGAGCCCATGCTGCACCATTTCAATACACTATATCCCCATCCCATCCAGAGCCCATGCTGCACCATTTCAATACACTATATCCCCATCCCATCCAGAGCCCATGCTGCACCATTTCAATACACTATATCCCCATCCCATCCAGAGCCCATGCTGCACCATTTCAATACACTATATCCCCATCCCATCCAGAGCCCATGCTGCACCATTTCAATACACTATATCCCCATCCCATCCAGAGCCCATGCTGCACCATTTCAATACACTATATCCCCATCCCATCCAGAGCCCATGCTGCACCATTTCTATACACTATATCCCCATCCCATCCAGAGCCCATGCTGCACCATTTCTATACACTATATCCCCATCCCACCCAGAGCTCATGCTGCACCATTTCAATACACTATATCCCCATCCCATCCAGAGCCCATGCTGCACCATTTCAATACACTATATCCCCATCCCATCCAGAGCCCATGCTGCACCATTTCAATCCATATATCCCCATCCCATCCAGAGCCCATGCTGCACCATTTCTATACGCTATATCCCCATCCCATCCAGAGCCCAAGCTGCACCATTTCAATAGACTATATCGCCATCCCATCCAGAGCCCATGCTGCACCATTTCAATACACTATATCCCCATCCCATCCAGAGCCCATGCTGCACCATTTCTATACACTATATCCCCATCCCATCCAGAGCCCATGCTGCACCATTCCAATACACTATATCCCCATCCCATCCAGAGCCCATGCTGCACCATTTCAATACACTATATCCCCATCCCATCCAGAGCCCATGCTGCACCATTTCAATACACTATATCCCCATCCCATCCAGAGCCCATGCTGCACCATTTCAATACACTATATCCCCATCCCATCCAGAGCCCATGCTGCACCATTTCAATACACTATATCCCCATCCCATCCAGAGCCCATGCTGCACCATTTCAATACACTATATCCCCATCCCATCCAGAGCCCATGCTGCACCATTTCAATACACTATATCCCCATCCCATCCAGAGCCCATGCTGCACCATTTCAATACACTATATCCCCATCCCATCCAGAGCCCATGCTGCACCATTTCAATACACTATATCCCCATCCCATCCAGAGCCCATGCTGCACCATTTCAATACACTATATCCCCATCCCATCCAGAGCCCATGCTGCACCATTTCAATACACTATATCCCCATCCCATCCAGAGCCCATGCTGCACCATTTCAATACACTATATCCCCATCCCATCCAGAGCCCATGCTGCACCATTTCAATACACTATATCCCCATCCCATCCAGAGCCCATGCTGCACCATTTCAATACACTATATCCCCATCCCATCCAGAGCCCATGCTGCACCATTTCAATACACTATATCCCCATCCCATCCAGAGCCCATGCTGCACCATTTCAATACACTATATCCCCATCCCATCCAGAGCCCATGCTGCACCATTTCAATACACTATATCCCCATCCCATCCAGAGCCCATGCTGCACCATTTCAATACACTATATCCCCATCCCATCCAGAGCCCATGCTGCACCATTTCAATACACTATATCCCCATCCCATCCAGAGCCCATGCTGCACCATTTCAATACACTATATCCCCATCCCATCCAGAGCCCATGCTGCACCATTTCAATACACTATATCCCCATCCCATCCAGAGCCCATGCTGCACCATTTCAATACACTATATCCCCATCCCATCCAGAGCCCATGCTGCACCATTTCAATACACTATATCCCCATCCCATCCAGAGCCCATGCTGCACCATTTCAATACACTATATCCCCATCCCATCCAGAGCCCATGCTGCACCATTTCAATACACTATATCCCCATCCCATCCAGAGCCCATGCTGCACCATTTCAATACACTATATCCCCATCCCATCCAGAGCCCATGCTGCACCATTTCAATACACTATATCCCCATCCCATCCAGAGCCCATGCTGCACCATTTCAATACACTATATCCCCATCCCATCCAGAGCCCATGCTGCACCATTTCAATACACTATATCCCCATCCCATCCAGAGCCCATGCTGCACCATTTCAATACACTATATCCCCATCCCATCCAGAGCCCATGCTGCACCATTTCAATACACTATATCCCCATCCCATCCAGAGCCCATGCTGCACCATTTCTATACGCTATATCCCCATCCCATCCAGAGCCCATGCTGCACCATTTCAATACACTACATCCCCATCCCATCCAGAGCCCATGCTGCACCATTTCTATACGTTATATCCCCATCCCATCCAGAGCCCATGCTGCACCATTTCAATACACTATATCCCAATCCCATCCAGATCCCATGCTGATCCATTTCAATACACTATATCCCCATCCCATCCAGAGCCCATGCTGCACCATTTCTATACACTATATCCCCATCCCATCCAGAGCCCATGCTGCACCATTTCAATACACTATATCCCCATCCCATCCATAGCCCATGCTGCACCATTTCAATACACTATATCCCCATCCCATCCAGAGCCCATGCTGACCCATTTCAATACACTATATCCCCATCCCATCCAGAGCCCATGCTGCACCATTTCAATACACTATATCCCCATCCCATCCAGAGCCCATGCTGCACCATTTCTATACACTATATCCCCATCCCATCCAGAGCCCATGCTGCACCATTTCAATACACTATATCCCCATCCCATCCATAGCCCATGCTGCACCATTTCAATACACTATATCCCCATCCCATCCAGAGCCCATGCTGACCCATTTCAATACACTATATCCCCATCCCATCCAGAGCCCATGCTGCACCATTTCAATACACTATATCCCCATCCCATCCAGAGCCCATGCTGCACCATTTCTATACACTATATCCCCATCCCATCCAGAGCCCATGCTGCACCATTTCAATACACTATATCCCCATCCCATCCAGAGCCCATGCTGCACCATTTCTATACACTATATCCCCATCCCATCCAGAGCCCATGCTGCACCATTTCAATACACTATATCCCCATCCCATCCAGAGCTCATGCTGCACCATTTCAATACACTATATCCCCATCCCATCCAGAGCCCATGCTGCACCATTTCAATACACTATATCCCCATCCCATCCAGAGCCCATGCTGCACCATTTCAATACACTATATCCCCATCCCATCCAGAGCCCATGCTGCACCATTTCAATCTTCCTCGGCTCAAGGGCAACGTTTATATCACACGTTTTGTTTAGCTGGTGCAATCAACATTTTCTACAACTCAATGTCTCAAACAAGAAAGAAATGCTTGTCGACCATTTGGAGGGGGAATCAACCCATTGCAGATCTATAACAAATCACAGAATAGAGCAAGTAGAGACCTACAAGGACCTAGACGTCACCATTAATAATAAGCTGACACGGCATGAAAATGGAAAAATTGCGTATAAAAATGTAAACCAAAGACTTCCCATGTTAAATATTGTAGATATTTGGCATACAAAAAACCAGTTAATAACTGACTGTACAGGGCTAACATCGGAAGCCTGCTAAACTTGAGTATTACCTGCTGTAGGCATTCAAGGCCTGATACCACACACCAATGAAATAGCCAATCAAAGAAAGCAAGTAACATCACACAAACTGAACATCCTTCACTTGAACAACTAGTTGATGAAAAGTGATGTTTTAAAACTACACAAAACAAATTGTTTGGACGATGCATGCCACCCTCTTCATCACAAATACCCAAGATCGCCTTCATCATGGTGGATTCTTTCTATCACAGTTAGAAATGAAAAAATATAAAAATTATTTTGATCCCAAGTCTGTCAGAATTTACCAGTGTGCTCCCTCAGTGGTAATCAATTCTAAATTATCATTAATTAATTAAGTGATTATTGTCACTAAGGGAGTTAAGTTTTATGGTATATGTTTGTTGATTTTTATGCTAGAGAAATATTAGATATCTTGTGTTTAAATTGTTATAATTTTAAAATTTCTTGGTTAAAATATGTATTTATTTATAAGCTGAAATTGAATCTGTCCAATGTAATAGAAAAATATTTACATTTTTTTTCAATCAATAAAAAATCATATCTTATGAACATATCGGCATCCTTCCGTCTCGTGAGACGATGGTGCATCACCGTTGGGTTGGGTTGCATTTTCTCGAGTGGCTGTGCAGTCCTATCCTTGAGTGACAGTCTTTACCACAGATTTTACACACGAGTTCCGTGCTTCTAAATGTTTTGGCCTTTCTCCTAGCTCTTCTGTCTGCAGCCTCTTCCATTCTTCGCTCCTCGGCTACCATGACGCCCTCTTTGACAACTGTGCGCCACGTAGATCGGTCTTTTGCCTTACACTCACAGTCGCTTGTATGTATTTTGGCTGCTTTCATGTCCCTTTGACAGACATCTTTAAATCGCAGACGTGGGCGACCTGTTTTCCTCTTTCCCGATGCAAGTTCATCTTATGAACAATACATAGATAACTTGATGTACATCACATTGCTAGCCTGATGTACATCGCATTGCTAGCATCATTTAAATCACATTGCTAACCTGATTTACATCACATTGCTAGCCTGATTTACATCACATTGCTAACCTGATTTACATCACATTGCTAGCCTGATTTACATCACATTGCTAGCCTGATTTACATCACATTGCTAACCTGATTTACATCACATTGCTAACCTGATTTACATCACATTGCTAACCTGATTTACATCACATTGCTAGCCTGATTTACATCACATTGCTAGCCTGATTTACATCACATTGCTAACCTGATTTACATCACATTGCTAACCTGATTTACATCACATTGCTAGCCTGATTTACATCACATTGCTAGCCTGATTTACATCACATAGCTAGCCTGATTTACATCACATTGCTAACCTGATTTACATCACATTGCTAACCTGATTTACATCACATTGCTAGTCTGATTTACATCACATTGCTAACCTGATTTACATCACATAGCTAACCTGATTTACATCACATTGCTAGCCTGATTTACATTACATTGCTAGCCTGATTTTCATCACATTGCTAGCCTGATTTACATCACATTGCTAGCCTGATTTACATCACATTGCTAACCTGATTTACATCACATTGCTAGCCTGATTTACATCACATTGCTAGCCTGATTTACATCACATTGCTAACCTGATTTACATCACATTGCTAGCCTGATTTACATCACATTGCTAGCCTGATTTACATCACATTGCTAACCTGATGTACATCACATAGATAGCCTGATTTACATCACATAGCTAGCCTGATTTACATCACATAGCTCACCTGATTTACATCACATAGCTAGCCTGAGGTACAGCACATAGCTAGCCTGATTTACATCACATTGCTAACATGATGTACATCACATAGCTAGCCTGATTTACATCACATAGATAACCTGATGTACATCACATAGCTAGCCTGATGTACATCACATAGCTAGCCTGATGTACATCACATTGCTAGCCTGATTTACATCACATTGCTAACCTGATTTACATCACATAGCTAGCCTGATTTACATCACATAGATAACCTGATGTACATCACATAGCTAGCCTGATGTACATCACATAGATAACCTGATATACATCAGATAGCTAGCCTTATGTACATCACATAGATAACCTGTTATACATCAGATAGCTAGCCTGATGTACATCACATAGATAACCTGATATACATCACATAGATAACCTGATATACATCACACAGCTAGCCTGATTTACATCACATAGATAACCTGATATACATCACACAGCTAGCCTGATGTACATCACATAGATAACCTGATATACATCACATAGCTAGCCTGATGTACATCACATAGATAACCTGATATACATCACATAGCTAGCCTGATGTACATCACATAGATAACCTGATATACATCACATAGATAACCTGATATACATCACACAGCTAGCCTGATTTACATCACATAGATAACCTGATATACATCAGATAGCTAGCCTGATTTACATCACATAGATAACCTGACATACATCACACAGCTAGCCTGATTTACATCACATAGATAACCTGATGTACATCACATAGCTAACCTGATGTACATCACATAGCTAACCTGATGTACATCACATAGCTAACCTGATGTACATCACATAGCTAGCCTGATTTACATCACATAGATAACCTGATGGACATCCTATAGATAAGTAAATAAATCAATTTGTCAGACTTATTGATATCTAAATATTATATTACCTATAAAACCGTTTCTTGTGTTATGAAAAGCTAATTTTATGGAAGACAGCATTTAGGATTAGAGGTTGTGGGGAGATAAGCTAATGATATTTTTAACATAAAAATATTCACAATTATTTGGTAACAATTGAAGTCCAGTAGTCCATTTATTCCACTCTTCTACTTTTCAACAAGTCATATAGAGGTTAACACCAATGTCCCACGTAAGTCTTTTAATTGTGGATATAATAGGAGATACACCGAATGGAGTGATCGAAATGAATTTTTTTAGTGAATGGATTAGAGAGGGAAATGGGTGTTGGAATTGAACAGGTAACTTTACCTGGCGTTGATCAGATGCCTTTGGTTTTGGAATGGAACAGGTGCCTTTACTGGGGTCAGAATTAAGCAGGTGTCTTTACCTGGGGTTTAGAATTGAACAGGTGCCTTTACTGGGGTCAGAATTAAGCAGGTGTCTATACCTGGGGTTTGGAATTGAACAGATGCCTTTACTGGGGTCAGAATTAAGCAGGTGTCTTTACCTGGGGTTTGGAATGGAACAGGTGCCTTTACTGGGGTCGGCATTAAGCAGGTGTCTTTACCTGGGTTTGGAATTGAATAGGTGCCTTTACTGGGGTTAGAATTAAGCAGGTGTCTTTACCTGGGATTTGGAATTGAACAGGTGCCTTTACTGGGGTCAGAATTAAGCAGGTGTCTTTACCTGGGTTTGGAATTGAACAGGTGCCTTTACTGGGGTCAGAATTAAGCAGGTGTCTTTACCTGGGGTTTGAATTGAACAGGTGCCTTTACTGGGGTCAGAATTAAGCAGGTGTCTTTACCTGGGGTTTGGAATTGAACAGGTGCCTTTACTGGGGTCAGAATTAAGCAGGTGTCTTTACCTGGGTTTTGAATTGAACAGGTGCCTTTACTGGGGTCAGAATTAAGCAGGTGTCTTTACCTGGGATTTGGAATTGAACAGGTGCCTTTACTGGGGTCAGAATTAAGCAGGTGTCTTTACCTGGGTTTGGAATTGAACAGGTGCCTTTACTGAATTAAGCAGGTGTCTTTACCTGGGGTTTGGAATTGAACAGGTGCCTTTACTGGGGTCAGAATTAACCAGGTGTCTTTACCTGGGGTTTGGAATTGAACAGGTGCCTTTACTGGGGTCAGAATTAACCAGGTGTCTTTACCTGGGGTTTGGAATTGAACAGGTGCCTTTACTGGGGTCAGAATTAAGCAGGTGTCTTTACCTGGGGTTTGGAATTGAACAGGTGCCTTTACTGAATTAAGCAGGTGTCTTTACCTGAGTTTAGATTTGAACAGGTGCCTTTACTTGGCACACAAAAATCCTGTTTTGTCATTTCAATATTTTAAATGGGCTCACATTTGTTATGATCATTTATGATCTCCCTAATCATGCTGATGTTTGTTATTGTTAAGTCATCTTTCACTGTTCTGTGTTTGTGTAGACTTTTACAATCAATAAAAGGAATTTTCTCACAACTCTACACGATTTCAGAATTTGTTTAGTTCAACTTTCAAATAAAGTGCATAAAAAAGATATAGTAAAATGAATTTTAGTTTTGATAAAATGTTATGTTTGTGTAAGACAAAATTTACTCTGTGCATAGAAAAAGATTCAAGTAGCTTCAAGTTCCATGCAAAAAAAACACTTATTTTTTAAAATTTGCTTTTGCCCTTTTTGAAGAAATCTTTACACTGACTGAGCTTAACACAGCAATGAAAAAACTGAAAGCTCAAAAAACACCAAGTCCAGATAAAATCCATACAAGTTGATGGTGAATTTTGGTCATACAAAGAAAATATTCAAAACTCTTTACAAACAACTCTTGGGGCAAAAACAAAATCCCCCAAAATCTAGAAAAATGCCATTGTGTATAAGGCTAATGGTCAAATAAGGGAAGGTGGCAGGTGATGGCAAAAGCTAGAGACCGATATCTCATATCCTGCAGTCGAAAGCTTGCAGAAAGAATAATCAATGATCACCTCTATTGGTGGCTAGAAACAACTAGCACCTCCAATAAGCACCAAGCAGAAAGAATAATCAATGATCACCTCTATGGGGGGGCAGAAACAACTAGCACCCTCAATAAGCACCAAGCAGAAAGAATAATTAATGATCACCTCTACGGGGGGCCAGAAACAACTAGCACCCTCAATAAGAACCAAGCAGAAAGAATAATCAATGAACACCTCTACGGGGGGCCAGAAACAACTAGCACCCTCAATAAGCACCAAGCAGAAAGAATAATTAATGATCACCTCTACGGGGGGCCAGAAACAACTAGCACCCTCAATAAGCACCAAGCAGAAAGAATAATCAATGAACACGTCTACGGGGGGCCAGAAATAACTAGCACCCTCAATAAGCACCAAGCAGAAAGAATAATTAATGATCACCTCTACGGGGGGCCAGAAACAACTAGCACCCCCAATAAGCACCAAGCAGAAAGAATAATCAATGAACTCCTCTACTGGTGGCCAGAAATAGCACCTGCAATAAGCACCCAGCTGGTTTCAGAGCTGGATAGAGTACAGATGATCAATTCTTCCCCCCTAAAGGATTCTAAATGGCTTCCAAGAAAAAAAACACATTACAGCCACCTCGAGCTGGCCTATGATAGTGTGTCGAAAAGGCTTACTCTGGAAGTTAAAAAATGCAGCTATTCATGGAAAGCTGTATAAATGGTTAAATTCTTTCATATTGATAGTACTATCCACACACAAAAAATAAAATTCCACCTCATCAAAGTGTGTCCTGAAAGAAGGGCTTCCACAAGGTTTGACAGAGTTGTACCCTATTCCTAATGTTCATTAATGGGCTACCAGAAGAGCTGCAGGTGGAGAAGGCACTCTACACAAATGGCCTTGTAATGCTGCATACTTGCTGACACACAGGTTTAAGAGCAAGGCATTTTTGAGAAGATTTGATCAGACTCAGTACATAATGTGAAAGGTGGAAACTGAAAGTAACAACACCAAGACAGTAAACTCAGTCTCCACTAAAAGACAAAAGGTTGCCTAACAGCAAAAAAGCTATCCTACAAGGCACAGTACTCCAAAAAGAAGACAGACTACCAACATGTCTTGGTGTTCAGTGAGATAGACAACTGAATTTTAAAAAGCATGTTCAAAACTTGAAATAAGATGGCTAAACATTGGTCAAAGGCTGGCCAGTATCTCTTAGGGCAGTCACAAGACCACACTGCATCAGTTGTACATAGAATATGTGTGATTAGTGATGAATACAGCTTTTTGCTACAGTCAATTTGCAGCAAGAAAGTACAGGAATATTACCAAGCCAGGAGGTCAATTTCATCTCAGGAGGTCTGAGATCTACCCCTACAGCTGCATGTGAAATAATATTGAGCCACTAACTCTTAGAAGAGAGTCAGCAGTTATTAAGATGGTTGAAAAGTACAAAAGGTTAGACAAGCAATATTCAAATAGAAAAAAATAGTTGAAAAATGGAGACTAAATTATAGAAAAGAAAATTACAGACCGACAACACATAATGAAAGCTCCAGAAAACCATAGCATCCTACTGAAAGGATATATTCCAAATATATATACAGATAGGTCAGTTCTCAAAGGAGCACTACATGCAGGCTATGGAGTACAAATAGAGTATCCAGACCGATCATATGACGACCTTGTGGGGCCATCTGCTTTAATTATAAAGCAGAAGCACTGTTACACTACCTATCACTACTTCTGAAAATAAACACCTTCCTCTAAAACCTATGCAATCAAGCTAAACTTACAGTAGATACCAGGAAACCACCTAACTATAAAATGAAAGAGTAGACAAACTAGCAAAACAGGGAGAATCCAATGAACAACAAAACATATCTATATCACTCAAGACTGCAGAGCAGATTAACAGACCTAACAAAAAAGAAGAGTGGTTCATTGGATGGGCTATGAAATGCCCAGCCAAGACCCTAAAGATCCAATAAACTACCTCCAAAGACACTAACACATACTCTTTCACCTGTGCACAGGACACATACAACTTAATTCCCACCTTAACCACATAAAACAAGATAAAACATCAATGTGTCACCTCAGCAAAAAGCCGAATAAGATCGTACCACACCACCTCTTTCACTGCCCAGCACTTCCAGAACTTAGGCCTGAACATCAACCAAAAGACTACACCAACAGCTGCAGAGGGTGTGTAAATTCTTCAACATGACAACAGGCCGAAGGACACATGGCCAAATAGGCACTGGGTGTGAATGACGATGATGATGCATAACAGATAGCCGGCTTAATGTTCATTTATGCAAGTGATCCTTACATAATTTAATTTTAATAAATATTTTTTCATGTTTTATTTCATTCTTATATGATTCACAGAAATTTATCAAGTGATGTGTCTAGCTTAAGCTAATGTTACATTAAAATACAAGAAATTAAAGCAATGAACAAAAATTGTTTTAGAAACATACCTTGACTTCTCCTAATTCTACAGCATTATGCAATGGACTCCCTCCAAGATTATCGAGAGTGATTTTAGCCCCACCATCTTTAAGCATCCATTCAACAATTTTGGCATGTCCTCTGCTTGCTGCATAGTGAAGGGGAGTCGCTCCTTCAAAGTCTCTGTCATTTGGGTTGCATTTCTCATCCTTTATCTAGCAATAAAAGACATTCTTAAATTAACATGAGAAATTCTACATGCATTTAAAAAAAATGTTCCTTTTATTTCAAAGAGAAAAATAAACAACAAAAATGGCACATGTTTGCCAGAAACTAATAATAATGTGATCCCCAACAATTATCAACCTCACTCTGTCTATTGGAGAAGAATTGTAATTACAGGAAAAAAATTCTTAGTATCTTAGAATACTACTGACCAACCACTTTACAATATCCAGGTGTCCCATCTGAGCAGCTGCATGAAGACAAGACATGGCATCATATGCTTTGATTTTTGTTGCTCCATTTCGGCTGACAAGATATTTAAGAATATCTAAATACCCAGCTTGACAAGCAAGATATACAGATGTAGTTCCATTGTTCATTTGCATGTTGATCAGCCTTAAAAAGATATTCTTAAAATAACTACAATAATATAAACAGCCCAATTACTCAATGGCTTTAAAAAATTGAAGAAGAAAAAAAAAAATTAAGAAATAATACAACTTTTGGGATTTAAAAAAAAAAAAATTTATTACGATGTTGCAACAAAAAATTTGCTTTTAAAAATAATAGTTGAAAAAATATAATTAGACTAAATGTTTAAAGCTTAAAATATTTCTTACAATTTGATATTTAATAACATACAATTGATACAATATTATATGTGGCAATTTAAAAAAAATATTTAGTATGTAGCAGTAAAGGAATAAAAAATAAATATAAAAAATTAAAAACCTTGGATTCTCATCTACCAAAATTTTCACACAGTTCATATTACCCCCCACAACCGCAAAGTGAAGCGGGAGTGCATCATTCTGGGCTCTAGCGCCAGCATTGGCATGAGCCTCATCCAACAACCACTGAAATAATAAGCAAAAAAATTTAAATAAAATAGTTAAATTTACTTGATATCGATTTTTAAAGACAAAATTTGCGTTCTTTTGAGATACACTATGTTACCTAGGTATTCTAAGCCAGGGGTGTACATATCCTCTGGGTGCAGGAGGCAGTGAGGGAAGACCCAGAAATATTTCAAGCGAAAACACAAAAAATTATTATTATAAATTATAATACTTCTTCGCGAGAGGGGGGGGGGGGGGGTAGAGGAGGGTCAAGGAAAATAATTTAAAATCTTAAGGAGGTACAGCCCAGCTAAAAGGTTAAGAAACCCTGATCAAAGCTAAAGGTTAAGTAGGTCAGAGGCGTAGCTAGCGGTGGCGGACGGGGAAATGTCACTGTGCGCAAGACTTGTGTAAGTGGGGCACAAAAATGGACTTAGCATATTTGATTGATGAAAATAATGAGTTGATGAGGGGGGGGGGGGAGAGTGAAAATGAATCTTTTCCGCGGGCGACACTCTAGCGATACCTCTGAAGTACCTTGGCGTTTTTAAATTTTAAAAAAATGGAAACATAATGGACTTAGCATATTTGATTGATGAAAATAATGAGTTGATGAGGGGGGGGGGGGGAGAGTGAAAATGAATCTTTTCCGCGGGCGACACTCTAGCGATACCTCTGAAGTACCTTGGCGATTTTAAATTTTAAAAAAATGGAAACATGATTTACTTTTGATTGGGTACCAGGGATTGATTATTATTTTTATATAATAATGTATTAGAAATTACCTCGACACTAAGTAAATGTCTGTATCTAGCAGCAAGATGAAGGGCAGTGACAGCACTACTATCTTTTTCATCCACTTGCAATTCAGTATTTTCCAAAAGCCATTTGATTATGGCAGTGTTTCCCTTTGCGGCAGCATCATGCAAAGGTGTGGCACCTGTATATGATCTTTGTAAGGGTGAAAATCCTAGATTTTTAACAAGGTATTCTACAACAGCCACACTTCCACCTCTAGCAGCATAGTGCAAACAAGAAGCCCCGTTTGAATCTACTATTGCTGGTGATACACTTTGAATTTTTTTAAGTGTTTCTATGTCTCCAATTTTACAAGCTTCTAATGCATTAAGAGCTACCATCTTTATTATGGCAATCGTTTTAAAATAAAAATCACCTTTCTATTGAAATATTCTGAATTAAAACCAATCGTGATACTTCTTTCACAGATGACGGAGTTGTTGACATTTTTTCCTCGAGTGGAGACGCCCTCATTGAAGAAACAATTTGGGATGGTTCATTGTTTTATTAATAACTTTGTCTTATTATACTATATTAAAATAAAAAGATCTACATATAATGCATATACAATTTTTAAAAAAAGTATTTTCTCAAAATAATCATACAAATATTTTATTGGTTATGCTTGCTAAGTGAAAAATGTTAAAAGATAATATTAAATAATTATTTCAACATCGTCTCCTTCAACTTTGTCGTCACATCCTCTACCAAGGCAACATGGCTGCGTCCTTGGAGGAAGACGATGATATTTTGAAGAGTGATTATTATGCTCTTTTAAACGTCGACAAAAAGGTTTTCATCCCTAAACATCAAAATTGTGCATTTTATTCAATAAAATTTTATGGTTCTATGAATATCCAGAACCTAGTTGTACTAGAAGAAAGGAGAAAAAATATCTTCCGGCGATCCCTGTGATTAGTGTAAAGAAATGTACAGGACAATTTTGGGAGAAAAAAACGACTCTTACATCATAATTATCATTCTCATAAAATTTAGATAACCATGAAATTTTACTTAATTAGCTGAATAATTACTAAGCCTCACTATTTATCTTAAGTCTTTAAACCTATAAAACTTTCTTATGATTTTGTTGGGTCTAACACTTTACTCTTAACTTAAATAATAAATAAAAAATCATCAGAAATTATTAATACTATTACTATTATAATTAAAAGTTCTAGTTGTATTATTAGTATTAGTATTAGTAATTCACTAATTCTAACAGTAAAATGTGTTTGGATGATTTGACATACATGTCATGAATTATACAACAAAACATTGGGTATAAAAGCATTCTGATTCTGTGCAAGCATTTTTCTTCGATACAAATAACTATAAGTTTGAGAGACCATAGTACTTATTATAAATCATAGTAATATGAGTATTAGGTTTGGAGGGTGAGTTCATATTCATGTGCTTTTGAGTTATGTGGGTGTAGATATAGCTCCCGATAATTTCAGAAAGGGAAGCGTTATACGCAGTCGACTGCGCATAACCCTGTAGGTTATTCCCAGCCGACTGCGTATAACTCTCAGGGTTATACGCAGTCGGCTGGGAATTTAGCCAAATAAGGTTTATTGCCGCTAGTTTGGCAATTTAAAAAAAAGTATAATGCGTAATTAGCTGCAGGATTATGGATTGTTTTGAATTGAACTAGAACTTTGGATGTGTTGAACGTAAAATTTTAATTGAATTAATTTTAATTAATATTGAAATTGAATGATAGCAATAGTATTAGTATTAGTGCTATTATTAGTATTATTGCTTGTATCTTATATATTATAATTATAAGTCAAAGTCTACATTTCTTAGAGTCTAATCCTAAGTCTAAGATTTTTTAAAAGGCATTTCCATGATCTAAGTCTAGTTATCTATTCTGATTGATTCGGTTTTTATGGTTTTTATATGTTGCTATGACCATGTCATGTGATTGGTTTTACTGACTAATTCAGGAAATACATTCTATTTATTTTTTTTAAAATTATATCATTTATGATTTTTTTTTTTGATGACCTAACTGTAACAGTTTTCAGCTTCCATGCAAAACTATAACTGTGTGAAAGTATTACTTACAGTGCCCCCCTCTACAGAACCCCCTGCCCCTACAGCGATTTTTTTTACTGCTACTCTCCACCCATGATTATATTTATTACTGTACCAGAGATACATGATTTTATCTGCCACAAAATTAGTTAGCAACACAAAATATATGTTAACAACACAAACATATATTTGATAATTATAACTATAACATTATTAACATTACATTGGTCACGTTAATAATTCTTCTCATGTTTTAACATTTTTTAGCCAAAACAAAAGTAAAACAATAAGCCTAGTTGTTTTTGCTTCATTCTCGAGAGCAACTAGCACGTTTCATGGCTTTCCGTTGGCTGGAATTGAACTCAAGACCACCAACTTGGGGTTTGGTCAGTTTGTACCATTCGACCACCCAGTCACCCCTATAACGAGGCACCCTTATCAATTGATACTCTAACACAGGAAGAATATAGACCTCACGTGACTTGCCGACTGCGTATAACTCTCAGGGTTATACGCAGTCGGCTGCGCATAACCACTTCGTTTCAGAGAATAGACCTATAGCTTAGTCTAATTAATAGATAGAGTAATTAAATGAGTAATGAGCTTTAAATTTAAAATAATAAAAACATTGGTAGATAGATGAGTAATGGGCTTTAAATTTAAAAAAATAAAACATTGGATGCATCGATAGGCAAGCAGTTACCCTCATAAATTTTTATTAATTTGACTTTGACACATTTGGAAACAATTGTAGTTTTAACTTTCCAGGCATCTGTCGACGAGATCAATAATGCTTTTCGTCATCTAAGCAAAATTTACCACCCTGATAAACATGTTGATCCTGTCAAGAAAAAAAAAGCAGAAGAGGTCTTCAACAAACTTAGAAAAGCCCACGATGGTAAAAAAAATACTTTCAAAATTTCATTTATTTAATAATTTTGAATGATATAATTATAATCTATGGCAAATTTATAAATTCAAAAAAATTAATATTTTATTTTGTTGTAATTTTTAATGTCTATTTAAATTTTTTCTAATCAATTTCTACTCTTATGATTTACAGTGCTACGAGACAAGTATCGGCGCACAGTATACGACATGTATGGGGAAAAGGGATTGGAAACAGGAGATATGGAGGCAAGTATAGTAATAATTAGATTCTGTTCTTTATGCTTCAATAATAGAAACTTCAAACATTACAAACATGTTTATCTGTAATGATAGTATTGTAATGTAATGATTTGTTAAATTTCAAAATTATACAAGGATGAACTGGTTTTCTTTTTATTTGGTAAAATATATGTACAAAAACTAAAATAACTTCTTTTCTTTCACTTTAAAAATTGGGTTTCAAATGTAATGAATTAAATTTGTTAAAACGAAAAATTCAAATTAAGTAAAACTTTTATATTTTAGATTATTGCTCGCACCAAAACACCTGCAGAAATTATTGCAGAGTATGAAAGGATTCAGAAAGAAAGAGAAGAGCGACGACTTCAGCAGAGGACTAATCCAAGAGTTAGTAGAAACTATAATATTCTTTTTCAAAATTATTCCTAATATATTTTTTTATACATTTCATCTTTCGAGTATATAGCTCTTTCCAGGATTTAACATTTTTTTTAGAAATGATTTTTAGTAAAGATGGTCTTTTAGTGTGTTATGATGCATTTTATTTTGTAAGCCTCAGTGGGCGTTAGCTGCATTTGGTTAGTGTCATTAAGAACTAGCTGTCGATGCTTAGCATCCTGAGATGTTAGCTGTCTTTTGGATATCATATACTTAGGTATTTTTAATAAGGGTTGACTCAGGTCATTACTGGATCTAGTGAGCTTATTATTTAACTTCTTCTCTTCCATCCATCTCATGTTTTATTTGTAGGGTACCATCACTGTAGGCATCAATGCTACAGATTTATTTGATGCAGATTACGAAGATGAGGAACTCTCTGATTACCAGTAGGTATTGTTTGCAGGGGCACTTGTTGCCAGAATTGAAATCATTTTTCATTTCCACTGCATATAGTGTTCAATTATTTGTTTAAAGTCTTAATCATATGTTTAACCAAAAAAAAAACATTTTGTAAAGAATAGTGATGACACATTTTTATTTAAGTAATTTATTGTAAGAGAGATTAAAGAAAGTACACCCACAATATAATTGGATCTAGATTATAATGACCCAACAGATTTATTTTCCTGTGTGCCATTTGATTTTATTGTCTGAACAACTATCTTTATATTTCTTTAGACCCAGCAGATCCGTAGAGATAAGTTCAATGAGCATTGCTCAGTCTGTGGAATGTCCGCTCACACTGAAAGATACTCTCGTTGTTGGAGGAAATCTGGACACAAGAAATGGTATAGGCCAAGGGATGTTCAGTGTTATGTGGCGAAGGCTTGTGTCCACCAAAGGGTGGGCAGAGGTATGTGCCATTTCACTGATCTGATTTTATATGTTGCTTCCTTACATCCCCACAAGACAACTACGTTCTTCCATTGACAGTAGAACCCTCTCAATCCCAAGAACCAAAACTAAGACCATCGGTGAACGCTCCTTCTGCTTCCATGGGCCCACGTTCTGGAACCAGCTCCCCTTCCATATCCGTCATTGTGAAACCTCGTCCATTTTCAAAAAGTCCCTTAAAACTCATCTGTTTAGGTCCGCCTATGACCTGTGATACACCCTACTTGCCCTGCCTCATTTTCTGTTTCGGGTTGATCCTGAAGTATAGACCAAAACGTGTCAAAGTGTCCTCGTTTTATAGCCATTTTCATTGTCTCTATAGTATAGTAGTTACTATCCTAGTGTCTCATTTTTATTTTACTTAGTTTACATGTTTTTAATAATTGTAAAGCGCTTAAAGCTTTATGGTAAGCGCTATATAAAAATGCCTAAATAAATAAATATGTAGAACAGATAAAATCAGACAGTTAAATTAATTTTTTGATATTTATTATTGAATGTAAATGTCATATTCTCAACATTACTCAAATTTTGGAATGCTACCGCTATGATCCTTGTAAAAAAAAGTAATAATCAGTGTACCCACACAGTCTGGAGAACGGGAACTAGTCTGGAATTTATTGAATAATTTTCCCGGTCATGAAAACCAGGAAAATGGGCCTTCTAGTAAGGAAATTTTCTGATAGCCGGGAATTTTTTAATTTGTAAAAAATAATAATAAATGTGGCTTTGGATGACAAGAAAGTTGATGTTAATCACCGATCTTGTCTATTTTTAGCCTTTCTTTTATCATAAGGGGTTTTGCTAGTGGTTTCCCCTTAACTGCGCATGCGTTTTGAGCTCTACACGTTTCTATTACCGGTACTAGTATTAACGTGCAACTTCGATAGAACAGAAATATTTATTTTTGTTCACATTGCCGATCAAGAGATCTTCGATGTTTGGGTAAGTAAAGTGTAAA